GCAAAATAGATTGATAAAAACAGAGGTGATAACCAAGAGACTTGGAAGATCACCTTGAGAATAGCTGCCAAGATGGAAGATGACTTTTCAGCTTGAACCTTTTGTTCTAAGCCCAGCCACCTTCAGCAGATTCTCCTACCCTGTGCTGCCCTGTCCGCTCCACTGAATACCAATCCCTCCTCTCCATTCTGCAGCCATGGGTGGAGGGGGTGGAGCTACCCTGAAAATTTTTCATTTGGAGCTAGACGTGGGTTGAGGAAAGAGGAATCAGATTAACTCACTTGGGTTGCAAAGAAGCCATTCTGTAAGCCCCAGACAAAGGTCCCTGAGAGCTCAATAAGTGTTTTGTGCCTCTCCTAAATGTACCATTGTATGAAGACTTAAACCCTCCACCTGCAATTCAGGAGCCGCCCAGAAGCAAAGAATGCAAAATCTTGCCCCACAGAAGAATGTTTCTTCTGGCCAGACAGTCTCATAGATCATTGCACATTGAATTAGGATTTCTGGAACCCTCTGGTGTGTTCGTGATACAAGTAGCTACGTTTTTCCTTCACAGAAAAATTTTAATTTGGAGGTGATAGTATTCTTTACAGTATGTTTATATTATTCTCTTAAATATAGACAATTTATTGCATTTAGATGAGTTTGCATTTAGGAAAAGAAATATGTGTATATGTGCTTGTTTATGGCTAAAAATTTCTTGAATAACATGAAGAAAAGTATCAATAGTTTCTTTCTTAGAGAGATGGGTTTCTCCTGCCTCCTCCCCCCCATACTGGGATTTGAACTCAGTGCTTCATGCTTGCTCAGCTTTCTTGCTCAGTTAGCATTCTACCAATTGAGCTGTGTGTCTAAACCAGCTTTGTGCTTATTTTGGAAGTGGAGTCTTAAGAACCTTTCTGCCTAGGCTAGCCTCAAACCTCTATTCTCCAAGTCTCAGCCTCCTGAGTAGCTAGTATTACAGGTGTAATTCTGGGTGCCAGGGCACCCAGCTGAGAGGGGGATTTTTGATTTGTCAGTTTTCATGCCTAATCTGACTGTACAAGTCTTATTTTTTTATATTTTAGAAAAATTAAAAATTAAAAACTTGATTGGTTTGCTTTATTTATTTTTTTAAAATTTGTTTTGTTTTTTGGAGTCATGGGGCTTGAACTCAGGCCCTGGGTGCTGTCCCTGAGCTCTTTTGCTCAAGGCCAGCACTTTACCACTTTGAGTCACAGCTCCACTTCTGGTTTTCTAGTGGTTAATTGGAGATAAGAATCTCATGGACTTTCCTGCCTGGGCTTGCTTTGAACCTAGATCTGCAGATCTTAGCCTCCTGAGTAGTTGGGATTACAAGCATTTGCTACTGTGTCCGTCTGGCTTTGTTTTTTTAGGGCCAAGTGTCTAATGCAGAGGCAGAAGTTGGAAGTTCAATTATGCAGAACAGTAAATAGTTATCCACAAAAACAGCCTCACCCAGAAAGGTACTATTTACAGAGTTAGAGATCTTGTGTGCCTTTCTGAGCCTCCGCTTTCACAAAGCTCTGCTGTCTTTGGAGAGACTTGACCCACAGCACCCGGTGGCTCCCTTTTCTGCTCTGCTGTTGTGGTCTGGTGTGTATGCCTTTCTATACTAACAGGATGTTTGGAAACACCTGAACCTATTTGATATTAGTAATTAGGCCAGGTCTGCCCTGGCTAGTACCTGGATAAAACTCATGACATATTCTTTCCTTAGACCTCATATCCTTGGACTTGTCCCTCTCAATCATTGTAGTAGTGAGCAATTGATGAGTTCTACATGTATTCCATTTCAGTCTAGTAGTTGTGCACCACATGCATCCCAATGCCACTGTTTTAGTAGAGCCTGTCCAAAAAGAAAAGGGTCAGATTTCCCAATGGCTTACAGTAGCACAATGTTCCTTTTGCCCTTCAGAAGTAAGTTAGTTCCATGCATGCAGAAGGACACGAAGGCAGGGAAAGTTGTTAGGTGTAGCAAACCATCATGGCTGGCTCTGATGGCATGTCTCTGATGTGAAGAGTAGCCAGTATTTACAGAGCCTGGGCGAAGAGTGGGCTGTTTGGGTCTCTTGTTTGAATTTTAAATGAGAGCAATGCAGCTCTTCAACTCTTAGATCCCCTAACTGCTGTGTCCCCTGGCTCTCCAGGAATTTGTGTGGGCCCATGGGAGATAGAATCAGTGAACTCCTTAACTGCTGCTTAAGAATTTATTCTTTAGTTAAGTTTCTTTAATTGCTCTGAGTATAAACTTAACCCCTCCCCCCAGTATTGTTGACAGCTATCCTAACTTGCTATTCATAAATTCATTCATTTCTTCTTAAGTTTCTTTAATGTCCTTCCAATTTAGAAATATTGCCAGAAGCACTGCTGGAAGCATGGCTCAAGTGGTAGAGTGCCAGTTGAGATATGTCACCATCCATATATAACTTCGTGTGACTTTCAATATAGTTATCCCTTGATATCCACAAGGCATTGGCCCCAGAATCCCTGACAGGTACCAAAATTGAAGAGTGCTTCAGACCTTTACGTAACATGGCATAGTATTTGCATATAAGTTACATGCATCATATTTTTTGTGGTACTGAGGGTTGAACTCAGGGACTTTGACTGCTCTACCCCTTGAGCCATGCCCCCAGACGTTTGCTATTAGATTTTCAGATAAAGTCTGTACAAGCCCAATATAGTGGGATTATGTGTGTGTGTGTGTGTGTGTGTGTGTGTGTGTTGTGTGTGTTTTCAATCCTCTGTTGAATCTGCTAACGCAGAACACCCAGATAGGAAGGGCCTGTTGTACTCACTCCATTCTGGTACAGCACAGCCCTGCAGCATTAGGCTGGTGTCCTTTTTTGGGGGGGGGCGGGGGGCAGGAGGGTGGGGGAAGATTTGAACTCTGGGCCTGGGCGCTGTCCCTCAGCTCTTCAGCTCAAGGCTAGCACTCTACCACTTGAGCCACAGTGCTATTTCCGGTTTTCTGGTAGTTAGATGGAGATGAGTCTCATGGACTTTCCTTCCCCGGGCTGGCTTTGAACTGTGATCCTCAGATCTCAGCCTCCTGAGTAGCTAGGATTACAGGTATGAGCCACTGGTGCCTGGCTAGGCTGGTGTCCTTATCGTCATTCGTCAGATAAAATGTTCCAGCTTAGAAAGATCAAATGGCCTGAGCAAGATCACAAAGCAGTAAACAGTAAAAAGCTGGCGTTCCCACTGAGGTCCATTTGCTTTTCTCTCCATCCTCATGTATGCATCAGGAGGGGATGCCAAGGACCTCCCAAGTACACCTAAGCAGTATCTGTACCAAATGACAGCTGATGTTAGACACAGGAATATTTAGCCTCTGCCGCCTGTTGGCACTCATAGCCTTGTGACATAAACCTGTAAGAAACACCTCCAAGTGAACAGCCAAGTATCTGTCTGTAGGTTCCTGGTGGTACAGATGAGCTCTCTGTATAGTGGAGCTGGAGGCCACATAGCAAAGAACAATTGTCTGAATGGAGAATCCATATGAAAACATCTCCAGGTATAGTAAATGAAAAAGACAGTGTTGGACATAGTGGTTCATGCCTCAATTCCTAGCTATTTGGGAAGCACAGGTAGGAAGACTGTAGTCAAGGCTAGTCCCAGGCAAACGCTTAAGGCCCTATTACAAAAATAACTAAGAGCAAAGAAAGATTTAGGGTTTTGGCTGAAATGGTAGAGCACCTACCTAGCAAGTGAGGCCCTAAGTGAAAGGAAGGAAAGATGCTGAGCATTGTATGTGGTACATTTTGTGAGAAAACAAAAGGGAGGAGGATATTTTGCAAACTTGAATCTGCTTTTACTTGCAGAAGGGAAGATTGAAAAGTTGTGTGAAAGTGTTTATGAACATAGTTGGATGGGGACAGGAATGACATTGCTCAGTTTATACTATTCATTATTAAATATCCACAAGAAGTCACAAAAATAGTATAGAGAGAAATCTCTGTGCCCTTATCCTAGCTTTCTCCATGGTAACATCATCCTAACTAAAGCCAGAAAAGTGACATGCTACAGAGCTCATTTTCAAATTTTACATGCACTCATTTGTGCAATTTTATCCCGTGTAATTATTGTGACCACCATCCAAACCCATTCCACCAGCAGACTCCCATTACTACTCTTTTGCAATCACACTCATCTTCTTCCCCCTCCCCCATCCTCCCTACCTCTGCCTACCCTCCAGCAACTGTCCATCTTCAACCCTTTCTCATAATCTGACCTATAAACATAACAGAGTCATAGAGACCACAATTCCCTTGAGCCTCATCATGATGTCATTCCAGAGTCTGGATAGCCATTCTGGCAATCACTCACCAAAGGACATGGGTGATTGCTAGTATTTCGTTATTGCAAATAAAGCTATTATAAACAGTCATGTATGTTTTTGTGTGGACCAATGTTAATTTTTTTTCTTTTTTGAGACAGGGTCTGGCTATGTAGTCCAGACTGGCCTCAAGTTCACAATCCTGCCTCAGCTTCCTAATTTTTTCCCCCCAGGTAAGCCTAGGGTACCTAGCCAGACCCTGTCTCAAAAGAACAAAAATCTGCCCCAAATATTTCAGAGTAGCATTTTTTTAAACACATAATTAAAACCAAACTGCCACAAGCACATCAAGAATGTTACTGTTGGTGACTTGACAGTGGGTTTTTTTTTTTTTTTTTGTCAGTCATGGGGCTTGAACTCTGGGTCTAGGCGCTGTCCCTCAGCTCTTCAGCTCAAGGCAAGCACTCTACTACTTGAGCCACAGCACCACTTCTGGTTTTCTGGTGGTTAACTGGAGATAAGAGTCTCACAGACTTTCCTGCCCAGGCTGGCTTTGAACCACAATCCTCAGGTCTCAACCTCCTGAGTAGCTTGGATTATAGGCCTGAGCCACCAGCACCTGGCTTCTGACAGTGTTTTTAAGCACAGGCCAGTATATGGGTCTGGTTTGGCCTGGGTGAGCAAGGCCATGTTCACCCCCAACTTTCTCTTCCCCCAGGTGTGGTGCAGATAGTGGAGGTGATCCTCAATGTGATGGTTCTCATATGTATCGTGGCCTCCTACTTTGTGCTCGCAGGATTCAGCGCCAGCTTTGCCAGCGGTGGTGGCTTTGGGAACAACTATTACTCACCATTTGAGGGCACAGAGCTGGAGCAGGTTCGGCAGCTGGACCAACAGTACACAGTCCTCCGGTCACCTCTGATATACGGTGGTGTGGCTGTGTCTTTGGGTCTGGGGGTCCTCACCATGGGTGTTTTACTCCAAGGAGCCAAGAGTCTAGCAAAACTGCCGAGGAAGTGGCTCCTCACAGAGGCTACCTTCAGCCTCCTGGCCTCAGTGGGCTACTGCGTAGGCATTGGTGTTTACCTCCGTGTGGCTTTGCAGATCAATGCCACAGACACTTGCAAAACAAGAGAGAGGCTCTATGCCCGCAAAGGCCTCACCTGGATGAACTGCCAGCTGGCTGGCACTGATGGTGCAGCAGCTACCTTTGCTTGTCTTCTGGTGATTATGTATGGTGCCAGCGTGGTGCTAGCCTTGCGAAGCTACCGAGAACAGAAGCTCTACAAAGACAGCCAAGAACAGCACAGAAATTACAGTGACACACCAGAATACCTGTGGTCTGGGACACTCTAAGGAGATCTAAAAATGTATCAGCTCATCCCCATCATTTCCTTCAAAAAGACAGGCTCTTTGCAAGCACACAATGGACCACTTTGGGTTTCACATAATTGATTTTTTTTAAGTGCTCTCTTTGGTTTGTTACCTATGGAGAATTAAGTGATTGTCTCATTTTTCTCTTGGAAAAGATCAGTAAGTCGTTGTTGGCCAACTCAATGAGAGCTTGAAAAAACTATAACCATCTTTAATGCAAAGAGCAACAGTAGACTAGGTTCACCCTATTGTAGGGCTCTCCTGACCTGTAACAATTGAAGTAGCTAGTTAACCTTAGAAATTCTAAAAGTGAGAGCTATACATCAGAGGGTAGCAGATCCAGTGTTATGGTAGAAATGTTACCCATCTTCACTGTCTATAAAGTCATCAAAAAAAATGTTATCATTGATAATAGAGGTTGAACTCAGGACCTCTCATTCTTATCCCACTTTTTTTTTTTTTTGTCAGTCATGGGGCTTGAACTCTGGGCCTGAGCACTGTCCCTCAGCTCTTCAGCTCAAGGCTAGTGTTCTACCACTTGAGCCACAGTGCCATTCTGGTTTTCTGGTGATTTATTGGAGATAGATAAGAGTTTCACAGCCTTTCCTGCCTGGACTGGCTTTGAACCATGATCCTCAGACCTCAGCCTCCTGAGTAGCTAGGATTACAGGCATGAACTACCGGCACCTGCCCTTATTTAGCTTTTGTTTTGCTTATGACTGGTAATCTACTACTCTCGCCATGCCGCCAGTCTACCTTTTTGCCGGTTATTATGAAAAGTCTCATAGATGTTTCTGCTAGCCGCCAGTCTACCTTTTTGCCAGTTATTATGAAGAGTCTCATAGATGTTTCTGCTAGGGCTGACTTGGAACTGTGATCCTCCAGGTCTCAGCTTCCTGAGTAGCTAGGATTAGAGGCATGGATTCTAAATGTATCAGTACTTTCTCCCTCCAAGAGGGGCAGTACTTGCCATGGGAGAGGTGTCTACCATGGACATGGTAGCTGCGTGCTTCCAAGCAGACCTCTTCCTTAAAAGATGGAAGTTGGGTTCCTGGCAAAGGAAAAGAGATGCTTTACCAAACCCCAGACTTCCTGCCAGCTGTTCCAGGTTAGTTTCCCTGTACGGCAAGACATTCCATAGGAACTGAGTCTTGAAATAGTTTATAATCTTTTTAAACATACAATGCTTCTAAACAGTGAGAAAATTCATACTAATAGTGAGAAAATTCGCATCTTAAATATATCAATGCAACTGGTTTCAAAGATAAAACAGTTAATTTTACTAGACAACACAGGCTTATCAGAGGCCTCTTTATTTCTGAATTTGCTGACAGGTGCCACAGAGAAAGCCTTCAAAGATAGTTGGTGGCTGGTCGGTGCCCTAAACTGTCTTCAAAATGTAACAGATCTCTAACATTTAGCCTTGAAAATAAAATTCTTTAAGTAATTTTAATCTCAAATACTTTATAACTACCTGCTGTTATACCTTACAACTGGTCTCCAATATACTGGGTTATGTCAGTTCAATTACAAATAACACATTCTTGTTATGCAGTCCTTTTTTCTAACAGGTCTCTTTTAATAGCTAATTCATACTTGTAAGAAACAAAGGGTCGAAGGTAAATCTGGAAGAACCTGGAAAAGAAAGCATGTGGGGAAAATAAACACCTAGAATCTATATTGCTCGGCTGAAATAAATGTTATGCTGCAGGAATGTGCAGCCATGATGTCAAAGTTGACCTGAAGCAATGTGGCTAATTGTCCCACGCAAGGTTCACTGAGTGGTAGAGAAGTGTAACAACAAAAATCAAATGCACACTTCAAAGACAACACCCTACACCATGCACTGGTGGCTCATGCCTGTAATCCTAGCTACTCAGGAGGCTGAGATCTAAAGATCCTGGTTCAAAGCCAGCCCAGGCAAGAATGTCCATGGGACACTTATCTCCAATTAACCACCAGAAGACGGGAAGTGGCGCTGTAGCTCAAAGTGGCAGAGCGCTAGCCTTGAGCTGAAGAGCTGAGGGACAGCACTCAGGTCGAGTTCGAGCCCATGACCAACCACAACAAAAGACAACACCCAAACATGCACTATTCTCTCCAAATACTTACTCCCTGCAACATCCCTACTATATCCCTATCCACATCAAGTCCTGTGCTGGATTAAATAAGGACTTTGGCCTATCTGACCCATATTCCTCCTGACATGACAGTGGTTGGCAGCAACTCTGCCACATGTCCATTTACAATGTTCAAAATGTTTAAGCTAACTTGATCTGGTCTAGTATCAGCAGGCAAGCAGGCCAAGACTTGTTATTCACATGTTACAGATGAGAAAACAAAGCTCAGGTTAAGAAGTCTAGTCTAAGGTTCGCACTTCTCATTGAAGGCTTATTATGGTGCCAAATACATTACTGTGCTAAAGGAGCAATTTGTACCACTTGGGTCACTGGAGCGTGCCCTGCCCTTGCCAAGTAGTTCTCACAGAAGAACTCTCAGGAGGGGAGTGTTACAAATCTGAGCTTGGCCCACCCAGCTCTGTGCTTCTGGTTTGATATGCAATTATTTGCTCTAAAACATGCTTCCGCTGTTGCTACCCACTATGATGTGACATGGCTAAGAATGGAGCCCAGACCAGGGCCAGCCCTTGAACCTCTGAAGCTGTGAGCTAAATAAGCCTCTTCACAAGGAGACTGCCCTGGGTATTTTGTTCCAGTGACACACAGCTAACACAAAAGCGATCAAAAATATTTATTTGTGCCTTATAAGACTCACAAGTTCATAAGATGTTATATAATGTGTTTCACATTATTATTCTTATTTATCTTTCTTTAAAGCAAAGAAAAAGTAGAAACATCCTAAACTTTTGGTTAAGAACCTAATTTTACATACAAGTTAGGGAAAAAATGTAGCTTCCCACTAAAATAAAGTATAAAATGACAAGTATTCCGTTTTAAAACAGAAGCAGAGAAAGATATTCCATTTTATTATATTTATTATTATTGTTATTTATTACAAACAATAGATTTGCTGCAACATGCTCTGGCTCATATTATTGAATTAAAAAATTTAACACATTTCAAAAATATCAAAAATACACTATAATGAGTCTTAGGACTACAATACGACAATGATTGCACAAAACCTTAAGATATGAGCCCACTGTCTGGATGACATCCATTGGCAACAGTGAGAGAAAACCTTATAGCATTTGGGAGAGGTGTGTGAGATTTAGAATACAAGGAGCTTATGCTGATTGGCTGATCACCAAATGAGGGAACAGAACAGGTTTGACCAAAGCTGCTTTTCTCAATCTAGGAAGTGCTCACCCAACCACAGGGCAGTCACTAACTGGAGAGAAAGATTAATTTGCCCCCATGACTGGGGAGTCTGGAAGGCTCCACCCAGAGGGAAGCAAAAAATGACACAAGACAGTTCTACAGTGATGCTGCAGACATCACCAAATGGCTTGGAGACTAATTTTCAGGAATTGGTACATGTATCAGTAACAGCCAAGTGCTCCCTATGGAGGTCTCTTCATTAGTCATTATTGAATAGATAGAGAAGGTGAGCCTGTGGCTTTTCCAAGTACCTGCTTTTGCCAAAGGTCTACATGGAAAGCAGAGCATCAATTGAGAGTCAGTAGATTGGCCAAACCTAACTGGCTCCATCTCCTGGAAAACAGCACTCGCTACAAACAATTGTAATAGCACCCTGTGATTACCAAGTTGTTCATGTTTGCTCTTCTGTATGCCAGGAGAATGAATTCACAGACTTATTGCACACGTACATTCTACAGTAGTATAATAAAGCCTTCAGTTGGGTCAGGAGTAGTAATTCAATGACTTGACTCTTAATAGTAGCACAGTAGCTTTATATCATACCAACATTCAAATTTTTCATGTGTGTGTGTGTGTGTGTGTGTGTGTGTGTGTATGTATGTGTGTGTGTGTATGTATCTCCTTTGGATAAACTAAGAATATCTTGGCTTTCACACCACATGTACTTTCCTTTCCCTGTGGGACTCCTGAACTGTACCCATAAGTAGGAATGTTCTTCTTCTGGAAATTCTCTTTAATTTCTCTATGAAGTGGGAGGTACACACAGAGACCCAGGAATCATGCTGATGCCAAGGACCTCTGTACTCTGCCCACCTGGAGAACACATCCACTGGGGCAAAGTACTGGGAAGATCTCCTTTCCTTGGCCTTCACTGACAGCCCACTCAGGTAACATGTCTGCCAAGTACCTCATAGGACAAAAAGAGATGTGTAGGTAATGGACTGTGGCCTTTTTACCCTCTGTCTTAATTCAGAGCAACTGTAGAAGGACACAAATGAGAAGAAATTTCAAAAATATATATAGAACCAATTTTGGTAAAGCCTATATTAAGGTTTTCAATACAATCTAATGATTTCTGAAAATAACCACATTTGGAATTTCTGAGTTCTGCTGACCAAAATGTAATATACGTATATATATTGGTGCAGGTCCTGGGGCTTGACTCAGGGCTGTCCCTGAGCTTTTTGTTTTTTGCTCAAGGCTAGTGCTCTACCACTTGAGTCACAGCTCCACTTCTGGCTTTTTTGGTGGTTAATTAGAAATAAGAGTCTCATGGACTTTCTTACCCATACTGGCTTCAAACCATGGACCTTAGATCTCAGTCTCTTGAGTAGCAAGGATTAAAGAAAGGCATGAGCCACTGGCACCTAGCAAATACTTTCTTTTTACAAGGCCATGTCAGAATTAGATTTTGAGGGGGCTCCAATAAGTAATGTTGGAAACCAGTAGAAGTCAAGAAAAGGGTTCACAGATAAAGGACTTTTTTTTTCCCATCGTGGGGCTTGAACTCAGGTCTTGGGCACTGTCCCTGAGCTTCTTTGCTCAAGGCTAACACTCTACTACTTGAGCCACTGCCCTACTTCTGGCTTTTTCTGTGTATGTGGTACTGAGCAATTGAACCTAGGGCTTCATGCATGCTAGGCAAGCACTCTACCGCTAAACCACATTCCCAGCCCCTAAAGGACAATTTAAAAAAGACTATATACTATTAAAGTGGTACTTTTCCAAAATAATTTTGATGCCTTTATACATCACTATTCTATACCCAAAGGTTCTGCTGTCTGAGTAGGAAAATGTTTTACATCATTCATCTTTATCATCTTGGGTTTTTCCTTCATTTTTTTCTGCTTTTTTCCCATATAAAAATAAGGTGGCAACACACTACTGTCCCATCTAACAGAATCTACACTATATATGAACCACCATGTTCCCCACTTCAAATCAAAAACCTGAGTTCTAACAGTTTTCAGTAGCTGACCAGTAGTTTGGCAGAAGGAAGTCAAATGTCCCTAACTCATTGGAGCTCAGATACACAGGAGGCTGAATACTGGGGAGTCACTGGAGTAAGATGAGTCTTCCAGGATCCACCCCACTGATACATGCATATGGGCACAGGGCCTGGGAAAGGATGAAGACAGAACTATTGTGGACAGTTACCTGGTTTTCAACTATTGCTTTAAACAAAAACTTCCCCCCCAAAACCACAAAGGAATAAATATATGTTTCCAACTTACGTTTAACATGTTGTTTCAAATGAAACAAATTAAAAATTGTTCCATTCTATTTTCTCTTCAATTGTAAAATGTTCCAAAACATCATAGCACATTTCCTATTGGATAAGATCAAGTGATGCTAAAATTTATATGAAGAAATAGGAATTAATTTTCCTAAGTAAACCTTTTAATTAATAAAGCAACAGAATATGGAAGGAATTGCATTTTACTAGGGCTATGTGGAATATGCAAAACAAAACAGGATTTCTGTAAGCTTAGGAATTTCTCAATTGAATCTTTCTTATATTGGTATTGAGCCCATTACTTTGAAACAATGTTTTGAATCAGCAATGTTCAGAACGGTCCACTGTCAAATGTTAGCTCTTGAGAAAGAGAAGGACCAAGTCTAATATGTGAGCTCCACCCATCCATCTGTCCTCAGTCAGCCTCCATCTGTTTCACAGCCGTCTAGAGTAACTTAAGGTGACTTGAATGCCTGCAGTGTCAGCCTTAGCCCTACCTGGAAGGTAGGCTGACTGCCATCAGTAAGCTAACTGCCAACTCTACCACATGTTTGGGAAAGAAACTAATTCCCAAGTGCCTCACTTCATCTGCTGGGACCACAATTCCTAGCAGATATCATATTCATCAAGGAGTGATTCTCTTTCTGACTGGAAGAAGTAGTCTTAAGTTCTTACTTCTTTCCTGTCTTCATCCCCCAAAGAAGACCATCCTCCTATCCCAAGTTTTTTAGGAGCTTTCACAGTCTGACATGCAACAGTTACAATGATTTCCATGGCTCTTCCAAGTACCCCCAGAGAAGGCTCCAACACCCAAATATGTCTGCCTATGGATAAAGGTGCTGGACTGCTTCTAAGAAGATTGGCTCGAGTGCAGATTCAAAAATAAAAAGTTCACAGTCAATGAAAAGTGCTCTTGTTACATTTCATACATAAATTATCTGTTTGATCAGTTCTATACCTCCAATAAACATCATTTTGAGGCTATATTCTCGTAGAGAAGAAAGAAAAGCCATGTGACTAGTCACATCATACCCCCTTAGTTAGTCTGAGAGATAAGGTGATTTCTCTGTCACAGAGATCCATCAGCAGCAATTAGTAAAAGGAATCAACCTTCAATTATTTCCTCCACAAAAATAGTCCCTTTCCTGCCCAGGCAGGCAAATTTTGAAAATGATCCTAGGAAAGAAAGGGTTAATGGCAGGTGGCAGGACTGATAGAGAACATCTGCTTTTCTCCCAGTAATTGGGAATTACAATGTGGTTAAACATGAAACTTAACACTGATGGCAGTTCTGGCTCATCTAGAGCCAGTCCCTGATAGCTCTTACCTTTTTTGGCTCCAAATTCGACCCCACACATCCATGGTTAGAAACAGCGAGGCCAAGTGCCTCCCGCAGGTCCCTTCCCTAACACTGTTTCACAGCCTACCCTCACACTGTGCCCATTAAGGGCAGAATCACAGCGCCGTGTCAAACTCCTCTGGGAGCTCGGTCCGATCCTCTTCGCTGGGCTCAGGCTCAGGCCTGCCTTCGTGCTGCTGTTTCATTTGCTCCTTCACTTCTTCTTCCAAGTCACGAGGTACAACAAACTGATCCTCTGGTTCCAACTGAGTAGGGGCAGCAAAATAGCCTGTTTTCCTCTTGGGGGCTTCAGTGGCCACTTCAATGAGGTTCAGGCTGTCCTCAAGGGGCACAATGGAGCCATTGGAGAGCTTCTTTCCATAGAGGCAGGAAGTGGAGGGGGACTTCTGTAACTCCATCTTGTCCCTGCTCATTGGCAAAAGTATGCCACTATTCACACTGTTCTGTCTCCGGATCCCCAAACACAACCCTCTAGCATGTTCTTCAGGACACGGGATAGAAGAATTCTCTGGAAAAGTAGGAGGATTCTCAAAATCTCTTCCTCGGCAGCAGTGAATATCTACTTCTACTTCTACCTTGCTGCCATTAGTAATGACCCCTTCAACAGGTTGGTCATCATCACTGTCCAGACCATTATCTGACTGATTACTAGAGAAGGTCGCACAAGAAGGCTGGCGCTGAAAAACCCCAGAGGTGGGTGTTGGGTGGAGGCTACAGCGCCTCTCTGGTCGTGGAAGCAAGCCAGCCTCCAGGCCCATAGTGTTATGTTCATCAGAAGCAGTGGAGCCCACTTCACTGCTCACCTCAGAGGTGGACATTTCACTGCTGAATTCCGAGGCAATACCACTACTAGAGGAAGGAGTGGTGGGCTTAGGGGCATCCTTGATGGTGGTGGTTGAAGCAAATCCCCCAGGACCTGGGAGGGTGAGCCCATTCATTTCACAAGTGCAGCCTTCCTCACCAATGTTCAGATAAACCACCATGGCCCCCACGTTATCCTGACAACCATAGCTCTGTGCTAATGTGCACAGCTTCTTAGCAGCTGCTAAGGGGTCTTGCACATGACGTACTGCATTGACAGCTTCTGTATATGATAAGTGTTCCCACAATGCTTTGTTTCCCAGAATTAATAATTCATCTTGAATGGTGAGTGGAGTGGAAGATATGTGGGGCTTGGGGAGGATCCAAGGGTAGAGGTATGTGCAGCCTAGCATCCGGGTACAGTAAGTCACCCCATTCACTTTGTTGTCCTAGAGACAAATAGAATACAAATTTTGAGAAATAAGCAACAATGACATGCAATTTTCTATCATTCTAGATCACAATGTATAGGGATCTATAATACAATAGTATATGTTATATGTTTTGTCCTAGGAACAGTCTAAGTAGACTTACAAAAATAAATGTAGAGAATTCTAAAATGACAAAATATCATATGGTTATTATACCGAATAGTTCAGAGGAAAATGAAATCAGGGTGACTAACTGGAAGGACCATTTCAAAAGACCTTCTAACAAAAAGGATGGGCCTCAGCATGGCCTTAAATAAAGAAATGTGTCTGAGAAACAAGAAGTACTGTCAGTAATTCTACATCAGTACTTTCAGAGAGGCCAAAATTCAGGTCACTAAAAATGATTTCTTGGCCGGGCGCCAGTGGCTCACACCTGCAATCCTAGCTACTCAGGAGGCTGAGAGTTGAGGATCATGGTCCAAAGCCAACCTAGGCAGGAAAGTACATGAGACTCTTATCTCCAATAAACTACTCAGAAACCCGGAAGTGGCACAGTGCTCAAGTGGTAGAGCACTGGCCTTGAGCTGAAGAGCTAAGAGACAGCATTCAAGCCCAAAGTTCAAGCTCCATGACCAACAATAAATAAATAAATAAATAAATAAATTCTTATTTTAAAAGGCACCAATAGGACTGAAAAGACTTAAATGGTTAAGAAAATCTTAAAATATTAAATAATATTTGTTTTTTGGTCTACAGAGGAAGAAGCTAACATCTATTGTATGATTGATCTACTCTGTAGAGACTTTACCAAAAATGAATAACAGATCAAATAGGACCCATATGCTTCTAAACTTAGAGGACAGTCACCTAATCCTATGGATGACAATTGGAAATGTTTGTATACTGACACTTTTATATTGATTTCTCTTTGGGAAATAAAACAGATGCTTTACACATACCAACAAACTAATTTCAAAGTTGCAGTTGCTCTTTGGATAAAAATTCTGTTTTCTCATTTACCAGAATTGGTCACAAACTGTAAGTTTTATTTTCTTCATCAGTAAAATATAGCCATTTCTTTCATGGAGGTTATTAATAAAAGTATGAAAGTACTACACATAGCAAATAGGCAAACAAAGATTTCTGTGGCTAAAATAACATAAAAGTTGGGTGCTGGTAGTTCACCTCTCTAATCCTACTCAGGAAGAGGGTGGCAGTTCAAAGCCAGTCCAATCAGAAAAGTGGAGCTGTGGCTCAAGTAGCAGAACACCAGCCTTGAGGGAAAAAAACAAGAGAAAACTTGAGGCCCTGAGTTCAATACTTACACACACACAAAAGTCCCTATTTGTCTAGAGCTCCCAAAGAAAAACTAAACATTGTCTAAATTTTGTAAAAAAACAAAACAAAAAAAAAACCAGTCTAGTCAAACAAAAAGATGTCTTCTACCTTCTATTTCTTTTGACTAAAAGACTGGTTTTACAGTAGGAAAAGAACAGTCTTTAACAAATGGTACTGGAACAAATAGATATATATGAAAAAAATCTAGACACAGAGCTTACACTTTTTACAAAAACCAATTCAAAACTGTCATAAACTTAAATGTAAAACTCAGAATGGCCAAACTTGTATGACATCACTTGAGGGTATGGATGGGATGGGGAACGATGGGGGAGAACGTTGAGGGAGAATGATGGGATGCATTGACTCATAATCTGATTTGTTGAATTGAAACCCTTTTATATAACTACCTAAAGATAATAATTTTTAAAAATGAAAAACAAAACAGAAAATATGAGCAACCTTGGGTTTGGCAATGTGCTTTTAGATACAACACAAAAAACACAATCCATGAAAGAAAAAAAAAGGATAAATGGGACGTCATTAAAACTAAAAACCGTTCTGCAAGAGATGCTATTAGAGGAATAGAAAGATAAGGCCCAGGCTGAGGGAAAAAATACAGAACACTCATAACAAAACAGTAAAAATCCAATTTAAAATGGTCAAGAAATATGAGCATAATTTTTGTAGTGAACAATGTTTATATTGTAAGGTCTGCCAACCTTACACACATATAATTATATGTCACCAGGCACTGGTGGCTCACACCAGTAATCCTACTCAGGAAACTGAGATCTAAGGATAGTGGTTCAAAGCCAGCTGAGATCTAAGGATAGTGGTTCAAAGCCAGCTGAGGCATGAAAGTCTAAGATTTTTAAAAAAATTTTTTGGGGGGTCCAGTCATGGGCCTGGGCCTGGGCGCTGTCCCTCAGCTCTTCAGCTCAAGGCTAGTGCTCTACCACTTGAGCCACAGCACCACTTCCGGCTTTTTTCTTTTTGCTTATGTGGTGCTGAGGAATCGAACCCAGGGCCTCATGCATTCTAGGCAAGCACTCTACCATTGAGCCACCTTCCCAGCCCCTGTAAGATTCTTTTTTTTGGGGGGGGGGGGGGGGCGGGGGTCTGGTCGTGGGGCCTGAACTCTGGGCACTGTCCCTCAGCTCTTCAGCTCAAGGCTAGCACTCTACCACTTGAGCCACAGCTCCACTTCTGGCTTTTTTCTTTTTGCTTATGTGGTGCTGAGGAAGTGAACCCAGGGCCTCATGCATGCAAGGCAAGCTCTCTACCATTGAGCCACCTTCCCAGCCAGGAAGATTCTTATATCCATTTAACTACCAGAAAATTGGAAGTGGCACTATGGCTCAAAGTGGTACAGTGCTAGCCTTGATCAAAAAGAGCTCAGGGACAGAGCCCAGGCCTGGGTTTCAAGCCCCATAACCAACAATAACAAAGAAAATTACTAATGTCTCTCTGAAAGCAAAAGGTTATGCTAATCTCTATAAAAGGAAAGAAAGCTAAAAAAAAAAAAAAAAAGGTAAGTAATGTTTCATTGCAAGGGAAAAAACTCCCTAGAACATAGAAAGCCATACACAAAATAGACTTTGCATTTCAGAATGGAGATGCCAAACTATAGGTCTTTCTTCTTCTGAGCAACAAAAACATGACTTTTGCATTTTCTTTTTGCTAGTCATTTAAATGATTAGTAGATTTTCTTGTAGTACTATACTGAAATCATACGAACTCAACATTTATCTGGATTAGTTACAATTTAAAAGGTACTTCTATGCAAAGTGGCTTTCACTAGATTTGAATAATTGAAGTGACAGCAGAGAGTGAGATGCACCTCTGTTATGATGGCTTTTTGGTCCTTCACCCTTTCAGCTTCTTCTGGGTCCTGTTCCAGGCTGAAGACTTTAGAGAGAGGCACCGGCTTCCCACCTCGGCACAGAACAGCCTGGCATGTGCCAACGTTGGCCACTGTCAAGCTAAAACTACTTGTTGGATCAACAGTGTCAGGGCGAATATAGCACAGGAGAGCAGAGGAGCCCAGCTTCTGGCCAGCCATTCCTAACTTCCTGTATAGAAAGAAAATAAAATGGAAACAGGGTAGCTAGTTTTAGAAGAAAGAAGGTGGTCTATATGCCCATACTTTACTTGTTTTCTTGCTATGGAATTATGACCTAGCCTTAGCCTTATCAGCAGAAGGACTTGGTCATATGTAGTGATATAACGAGGATTTGCCTTCCTCTCTCAGTTGTTGGAGAAAACAGGATTTTAAAAGTGGAACAGGGACAGAGCAGGGGAAATTCTCTCTCCTCCTGTGTACCTGATCAGACACTTTCTTATTTAGGGGTTTTCAAATTTCAGCACATCAGAATCATCTGCAGGGCGTGATAACTGTTGGAGCACACAATGATGGGCCCTGCTCCAGAGTTTCTGATTCAGTGGGCAAAGGACTAGCATAATAATCTGCATTTCTAATGATTTCCTAGTGTGCTGAGGATGCTAGTCCTAAAGAAGCATTTTGAGAACCACTCAGGTTTTAAGTTCCTTGTGGAAAGGATTATGATTCTCCGTATATTTTCGTCATCTGACCATACATGGAAGAAAACACAAACATATAGTAAATGCCATATAACAATCTAGTTTCAAATTCGAGCCTTGCATTTATTGGCTGTAGATCCTCAACCAGTTATTTCTCTAAGAAAGTTCTCTGATTAAATATCTATCTGTTTGGCCTACTTTGAATTTATAAGATGAAAAATGTATAGTATAGTTCCTGCCTGATTCTTAGAAGTGCTTCAGAAACTGAGCTGCCTTCCCAAACCCTTTATTCTAGCCCGTCTACTAAAACAGACTCCTTCCCAATGCCTTGCTTTGTTTTACTCATATATTTTAAGCCACCCACCTAATGTAGAAGATGTTCCATTAGCTACCAAGAGGTTTTTCAATAGTTTGTATATGGAGTTTTTGCCCTAAAGTAGCTTAGATTGCTGAGAACATTAATTTGTTAAACCCTTAATAACAAGTATTCTGAAGACATGGCTCTGACCATGTCTTGCTTGCTAGCTTGCTAACCTTTTATCACAAATTTTTTGGAGAATTATGTGAATGCTTATTACATTCCTTCCCCAAATATACAAACAAACATATAGATTCACAATCTGTTATACATATTTCTGGGCTTCCCAGATTCTTAGCCACCTTTGGTTCAATAGAGAAGGCACAAGGTTTTTCTTTGTTTTGTTTTTTTCTCAGTGGTGGGGCCTGAACTCAGGGCAGGGGCACTGTCCCTGAGCTCTTCTGCTCAAGGCCAGCACTCTACCACTTTGAGCCACAGCTCTACTTCTAGGTTTTGAGTACTTAATTGGAAATAAGAGTTTCATGGGGACTTTTCTGCCCAGGCTTTGAACTATGATCCTCAGATCTTAACCCCCTGAGTAGCTAAGGGTTACAGGCATAATACACTGGTGCTCAGCAAAAATTTGAGTTTTTTTTAAGTGTTCTTAGAGTCAGGCTTTAGGTACTTTTCCACAAGTTCTTTAAAGAAACAAAGTTCTATACTTCTGTTTGGAAAGAAAAACCACAGAAGAAGGAACAGGGTCTCTTCTTTATCACACAGCTATAAACCATGGCCTCGTACGTAAGAAACTTACTTCTCAAAAGTAGACCTGAGTTAGGAATGATCCAATCCATCTGCTCACCTGTGAGATACCAAGAAGGTGTTGGCCATGAAAACCGTGTCATTTGTAGACTGTTGTACCTCATCCAAAAGCACATCTGCCATCGTACACTGCAGCAGGCGAGGGAGCTCCTCATTGCGGTCTCCATCAAACATGCCATACACGGCTCCCACCCCCTCTGCAAAGTTATCCATAGCAAGGGCAGAAACACAGAGCCTACAAAGAAAGACAAGAACACAATCATCAAAGAAAGCTACTTGTAGAAGCATTCTTTTAACAAGTGTTAATAAAAGATGACAAAGCAAAGCAGTAAATCTTAATCTACACAAGAAAAAAAAAAGCCCTAGATAATGAAGCAGCATCTTAAAGTGTTGAGATCCTAAGGAACGGGGAAGTTAGCCATTAATGGGTAATATTCATGGGTAATACTTATTAGCTTTGCAATACTGTCAAAGGCTAGTTTTCTTGTCATAATGATTAAGGACTTTTGTCAATCATCAGCCAAAAATCAGCAGAACACATCTGTGGTTGAAGCAGGTTATACTACTTGTAGCAAGAAAAACAGCACACATGGAACTCTGGAGTATACAAATCATAGGCTTTAGCTGGCCACTGGTGGCTCAAACCTGTAATCCTAGCTACTCAGGAGGCTGAGATCTGAGGATGGTGGTTCAAAGCCAGCCCAGGCAGGAAAGACCGTGAGACTCCTATCTCCAATAAACCACCAGAAAACCAGAAGTGGCGCTGTAGCTCAAGTAGTAGAGCGCTCGCCTTGAGCTGAAGAGCTGAGGGACAGCACCCAGGACCAGAGTTCAAGCCCCATGACCGACAAAAAAAAACAAACAAATCATAGAATTTGGGCCTTCATTGGAACATTGTGGAGAATGCCTTAACTGAAGAACTGTACCATATTGGTGTCTGTAAGAAAGTAGGGCTATTAGACAATTGGGTCTCTCAATCAATCTAAATATAACAGATAGTAGAGGAAATTAGCATGAGAAAGCCATGAGGAGATGTTTGGTGTTCAATGAAGGTTCAATATTCACTTTGCTTTTATCTTTATCATGATTTCAAAGGTATCTTAACTGTTAACATGCTATGATTTGTTTTTGTGTGACACAACAACGTAGTCTAAGCTGTGAACATTAGATGTCAGGGGCTGCCTTTTCTTTTCTCACTTCTCAGGGCAAATATACTCACTTGTTTCTCTGTCCTGCCATCTCAGCCAGTCCATGGCTCCAGAAGGTTGAAGTAACTGTTGAATCTGTGGTTGGCAAAGGTTTCTGATCAATTTTCAGGGTTGTGATATGGCTGTGGGAGGTGGAAGAAAGGAAGATTAATAATGTTTCTTTTTTTTTTTTCTCTCTCTCTCCCCCACCCCACCCCTGTGCACCTCCGCCATAAACTATCCCAATCAAAACATATTTTTATAAAATAATCTCTTGACAGACTAAGATTCATTTGCAAAAAAGACTGAATAAAAGATTAGCTCTTGTCTCAGATATAGGAGAAAGAAAGGAATAAAACATATAGGTGATGAATACTATCAAAATTAATGGATGATGAAGACTTCTAAGTTTCAGACAATTGTCTACTTACTTAAGTGGTAGAGTGCTAGCTGAGCAAAAGAAGCTCAGGGGCAGTGCCCAGGTCCTGAGTTGAAGTCCCAGGACTGGCCAAAAAAAGTTGCAATATAATCTGTGCTACCTAAAATATTTGTCTAGCCATTACTGGATAGAACATCCATTCATAACTGAATCAAAGAAGTGACTCTAGATACATTCTAATCTTTTAATTAGTTGAGATCTTCAGTCCTGAAGAAGACTCACAGTTGGTTGATAGGCCTCAGGATACACATGGATTAAATTTTTTTTTCCTACCTAAACATATCCAATGTCTTGTGTTCCAGAACCAGATTTGTATTTCCAGTCAGGTCAAGGTCTTGTAATGTAGCAGGCAGAACCTCTGGGATTAGTATTTCTGTCAAGTCATTGCAACTTAGGTCTACAAACTGAAGAGAGATAAATAAAAGAAAACACAGTATAGGTCATTCTCTACTACCAATCACTTAGCCATCCATTTAATCCTTGAAGGAGAATTTAAATTTCTTCCCAGGAATGAATTCTATATGCCCTGATCCTAAACTGGTAAGAAAACAGTATCTCTTTCTATAAGGAAGAAAATAGTCTCATTTGCACTCCTTTTTTTCTCTTCTTCCTTATAAAAGAGGCATCTTAGAATTCTGTCATTCCCTCATAAAGATCTCATGCCAGTACACAAAAGTACATGCGTGGAGGCCGGGTAGTAATCTCAGCCACTTTAGAGGTAGAAATCAGGAGAATCACAGTTCAAAGTCAGCCCAGGCAAAATGTAAGAAAGACACTCAATTCAACAAACAAGTCTGTAATTCCAGCTATGTGGGAGGCACATAGGAAGTTCACAGTCCAAGATCAGGACTAGATTAAAAAAAACTATGCAGCCCTATCCCAAAAGCAAAAAAAGAGCTTGGAATGTGGCTCTGTGAGGCCCTATATTCAAACCCCAGTATCCCCTGCCCCTCAATTCAAAAAGAAATCCATACCTGGATCTGAGACAACTGCAGTATTTCTGGGAAAATGCTGATGTTGTTGGAGTGTGCAACAAGGGTGTGCAGTCTTTTGCAGTTTGCTATGGTTGTGGGAATGGTTTTAAGCTTGTTGCCACTTACATTCAGTTCTTCCAATTGCTCCAATTTATTTAATTTGCTGAAAAAGAGCATCAGCCCAGTGAGTGCGATTTTACAGAAGCCACAGAGTACAGATGGCCAAATTGGTTCATTGCAGAGGTAATAACAGCCAGGTAGTGGTTCACCAATGTGATTGAGTTGCTAGATTTCAGCCTCACCTGCCTCTCTGCATGTTTCCAGGCTGGCACTGCCCTTGCTTTCCTTACAGCTACGGGCATGAACATCTTCTTGTTACCCGATTTTAGGATATGACTCAAAAAGCACTGACTTACTGTTACAAGATTAGTTCAGGTCCTTGCTTTGCCAGTAACTAGTTGCCAAATACTGGATAAGCAAAAGTCAGTGGACCTTGACTCTCTCAGCCATAAAATGAGCAAGTTGTATTAAATCATCACTAAGATTCATTTGTTTTAAATTTCTATAGTTGAGCATAACAATTCATCTTCACTAAGTACTCATCTAATTCTTTTTTTTTTTTTTTTTTTTACTGGTCCTGGGGCCTAAACTCTGGGGCTGGGCCCTATTCTTCAGCTCTTCAGCTCAAGGCTAGTGCTCTACCAGTTGAGCCACAGCGCCACTTCCAGCTTTTTCTGCTTATGTGGTACTGAGGAATCGAACTCAGGGCCTCATGCAAGCAAGGCAAGCACGCTACCTCTGAGCTACATTCCCAGCCCGCTCATCTAATTCTTATTATACATACAGCACAACTTTGGGGTCTCACTTACTGGTTTAAAAAAATATCAAAAAATGCTAGGAATGTGGCTTAGTGGTAGAGTGCTTGCCTAGCATGCATGAAGCCCTAGGTTTAATTCCTCAGTACCACATAAACAGAAGGCCAGAAGTGGTGCTGTGGCTCAAGTGGTAGAGTGCTAGGGACTCAGGGACAGTGCCCAGGCCCTGAGTTCAAGTCCCAGGATTGGCTAAAAAAAAAAGAAAAAAGAAAAAGAAAAAATTAACAAAACATTTAACAATAATGGAGAACAATTTTAAAAAATAACATTAATAATAGTAGCAACTTGAAGGAATTATTATAATTTTGCTAAATTTCCTACCAAATTTCTCTAATGAATATTTGTCTTACATAAATTTTACAAGTGACTTATCTCATATCAAAAATAATTTCTGGGGCTGGAAAGGTGGCTCTGTGGTAGAGCGCTTGCCTTGCATGCATGAGGCCCTAGGTTCGATTCCTCAGCACTACATAAGCAGAAAAAGCCAGAAGTGGCACTGTGGCTCAAGTGGCAGAGCGCTAGCCTTGAGCTGAAGAGCTGAGGAACAGCGCCCAGGCCCAGTTCAGGCCCTATGACCGACAAAAAAATAATAAAAATTCTATTCCTATAAAATTCATACTTTTAAAAACTAAGCTTAGAAAGTTCTTAAAATATATATTAAATGAAAGAAACTGGAAACAGAATATAAAATTATTTTAATTAAATACCAAAGATAATCTCTGAAGATATTTTAGTAGATAGTATGTTTCAAATTTTTAAAAAGTGATGATGGCTGGGGATGTGAATTAGTGGTAGAGTACTTGCCTAGCATTCATGAAGACCTGGGTTTAATTCCTCAGTACCACATAACAGAAAAAGCTGGAGGTGGGGCTGTGGCTCAAATGGTAGAGTGCTAGCCCTGAGCAAAATAAGCTCAGGGACAGTGCCCAGACCCTGAGTTCAAGCCCCAGGACTGGCCAAAAAAAAAAAAAAAGTGATGACACTCATAATTCCAGCTTCTGAAAGACTGAAGCACATTTATAGGCAAGCCTGGGTATACAACTAGACCCCATCTCAAGCCTCACCCCTCAAAATAGTTCTATATTAAAAATATATTGTTTTATACTTTACTTTAACTTATTAATGTATTTATACATAATGTCTACATAGTCAACTTGTATCTTCTTCTCCTACACTATCAGTTAAATAGAAATGCATATCTCTCTACATTGTCTGTTAAATAGAAATGCATATCCATATCTCAATCAGCATCTAACTGAGTACTCAAACTGTGCTTGATTCAATCCAAAAGAAATAAGTTCAATTTTAACATTGTGTAGGAAACTATTATTTGGTATGGAACACATAGTCTTCATGGGACTTGAACTCTGGGCTTGGAGCTATCCCTCAGCTCTTCAGCTCAAGACTAGTGCTCTACCACTTGAGCTAGAGCACCATTTCCAGCTTTTTGTGTGATGTGATGCTGAGGAATCGAACCCAGGGCTTCATGCATGCAAGGCAAGCACTCTACCACTGAGCTACCTTTCCAGCCCATGACTAACTTCTTATTTTCACTTTCTGTGATGTATTGGCAATTTTAAATCAGCCTGTCTTTGATTCTTCCAATAGTAAAAGTATCATCAAAATTGGGTAAGATTCCTAATAATACCTAAACATACTCTACAATGCAATATTGATAAGAGAAAAAAAATCCTATCTTTAGAAATTCTTTAAATTACTTCATAACACTGTACTTTTCTAGGAAACATTTTCAGAAATTTTTGAAAAATTAAATCTAAAAATTAAACACATTTGAACCACAATTTCTCTGGTTACTGATACTTAACAACTGGGTACAAACAATTAAGGTGAGAGCTCCCAAGTTGGGCATGCTAACATATAATACTGGCACTAGAGAGGCTGAGGTAGAGGGATCACAAGGTTAGACTGAGCTTCATGGCAAGACACTGTCTCAAGAAAAAGCAAATGATGGGCTGGGAAGGTGGCTCAGTGGTATAGCGCTTGCCTTGCATGCTCGAGGCCCTGGGTTCGATTCCTCAGCACCACATAAGCAAAAAGAAAAAAGCCGGAAGTGGCGCTGTGGATCAAGTGGTAGAGTGCTAGCCGTGAGCTGAAGAGCTGAGGGACAGCGCCCAGGCCCAGAGTTCAGGCCCCACTATCGGACCCTCCCCAAAAAAAAGAAAAAACAAATGAGATTTTCCCACTGGATTAGTGAAATCACAGCACCAGTAAGTCAGTTGACATAAAGAAAGTATAATTCAGCCTGACAAATGCAGAATTAACATTATGTTCTCAAGTGGTCACACTTTACATTCATTCACCTTGCAGGAAATGTCTGTAGTTGGTTGTTTGCAAGGTGCAAGATTCGCAGGTGTGGGTGCCCAACCAGGACAGGAATGCACTGGTCTGTCAGGAGGTTGCTGGTCAGATACAGGAGCTGCAGCACACTCAGACTCTCCTCCCCAGCACAAGCAGAAGGCAAAGACTCCAGATTATTTGCAGATGCATTCAAGTATCTGAGACTGACAGAACACATAGATCATCATCTCCTTTGTGTTTATTTGTTGCTTTCTTATGATGTAGACCCCATGGTACCCATGCTCTTTGTGCAGAATGCTGCCATCCTAAGCTCACACACTCAAAAGAGTAATTTCCTCCAGTTCATTTTCTCTGAGTTTATCCAATGCAAAGTTCCCTTGACTCAGTTCATGCAAGCCAAATAGAAGAAAGCATATAGGTATGTCTTCTTTTCTCAGCCTTTTTCAGTGGTTGAATTCTAACCAGGTTTCATCTGTATTTTCACTGAAAGGATTGTTGAGTACCACACTGACATATATCTCAACTATGAAGATATTCTCCAGAAAAAAATTTTTGTCTGAGCTGGGCACAGTGGTATATACCTATAATCCCAGCACTCAGGATCTTGAGTTTAAGGTCAACCCGGGCTACATAATGAGTTCAAGACCAGCCTGAGCCAAGTGACACTGTCTCAAAAAAGCAATAGCTAGCTGGGTGCCGGTGGCTCACGCCTGTAATCCTAGCTACTCAGGAGGCTGAGATCTGAGGATCACGGTTCAAAGCCAGCCCGGGCAGGAAAATCCTTGAGACTATTATCTCCAATAAACCACTAGAAAACCGGTAGTGCCACTGTGGCTCAAGCGGTAGAGCCACACTGAACATTGAGCTGGCATTGAACAGCTTGCCTTAAGCTGAAGAGCCGAAGGTCCAGGCCCAGAGTTCAAGTCCCACGACCAAAAAAAGAAAAAAAAAGCAATAGCTAGTCTAGGCATGGTGGCTCCCAGCTTACTCAGGAGACAGAGATCAGGGGACTCACAGTTCAATGCCAGCCCAGGAAAAGTTAGCAAGACCTCACCTGAAAAATAAAGCCGAGCATGGTGAATCAGGTCTGTCATCACAGCTACACAGGAAATATAAATAGGAGGAGTACAGTCCAGGCTAGCACAGGTGAAAAGAGGAGACCCTATTTCAAAATTAACTAAAGCAAAAAAGCTGGGGCATGGCGCAAGTGGTAGAGTGACTACCTGGCAAGTAGTCCTATAGTTCAAATGCTAGAATGACAATCTAACCTCCCCTAAAACAAGGGTTAGGGATAATTCCATGGTAGATGCTTGCCTAACATGCACAGGCCCTGAGTTCTACCCTCAGCACCAAAGAAAGAGAAAAAAAAAAAGAACAGAACAGAACAGAAAAAAGTTTTATGGTTTAATAGCATGATTATTTACTTAGCACATCTCATAATAATTTCTTAATAATGATGGATATTTGGGCTATTGACATTTCCATACATACACTATTATAGACATTATAATGAATACATTTGAATCATTATCTAATTATATCTTTAAGATACAATCCTAGAAACAGAATTTATGAGATCAAAGGATATATACTTTTAAAAAGTGTTTTGAGTATTTTGCCAAATTGAGTTTTACAAAGGCTACACCAAACTGTACTTCTTCTACAAGAAGAATGCTATTAATACATTTTGTAAACAGTATTATAATTGAAATTTACTCTTTGCCAATCTAAGACATAAAATATGATTATGATTTTTAAAGCTGCCAAGAATGTTGGGTGCACATAGGTTATTCTCAATTAAAGGTATCTAATACTATTAAACTTGTGTTTTCTTAAATCCTCTTCATGTTGTATGATCAACATTCCTAATTACTTTTGTTATTATTGTAGGTAAGGTGTACCCATTGTGTCTTTGCTCCAAAACTGCTCTAGACAGAGTTAGTATTAAATTAGTTAGCTAGTATTAAATTAGTTGACCAGGCACTGGTGGCTCACGCCTGCAATCCTAACTACTCAGAAGGCTAAGATGTAAGAATTTAGGTTTGAAGCCAGCCCAGGTAGGAAAGTTCTATCCCAACCAGAAAAGCCAAAAGTAAAGCAGTGGCTCAAGTGGTAGAGTGCTGATCTTGAGCAAAAGAGTTAAAGGATAGTGCCCAGGCCCTGAGTTTAAGCCCCAGGACTAGCACCCCCAAAAAAATTTTTAGTTGACTGTTTGCTTCAGGTAAGTAACTTCCTCAACTACACATTTTAAGATTGCAAGCCAAATTGATTAATAATGTCATAAACACTAAATGCAGTTATGTATTGCTAACAAATACATAACAAAGTCATTCATCCAAACCACAGTGCCAGCAAAAAAAGCAAAAAATTCCTTCAAACATTATTTTTTACAATTGCTAAAGATTTTTTTTGTTTGTTTTTTGGGTTTTTTTTGGGTCCAGTCATGGGGCCTGAACTCTGGGTCTGGGCGCTGTCCCTCAGCTCTTCAGCTCAGGGCTAGCGCTCTACCATTTGAGCCACAGCGCCACTTCCGGCTTTTTTCTTTTTGCTTATGTGGTGCTGAGGAATCGAACCCAGGGACTCTGGCATGCAAGGCAAGCGCTCTACCACTGAGCCATCTTCCCAGCCCCAATTTCTAAATATTTTAATAAATACTCATCCAAATGTTAAAACTAAGAGGATAAGTTATAGAACAGAGAAAAATATACTCGTGGGCTAAATGGCTTTTGTGTTTCCTGCACCCCTATATTAAATTGTTAGTGATTATCTTTGTTTCTTTCTGGGTTTTTTTTTTTTTTTTTGCAGTCGTGGGGCTTGAACACTGGGGCTGAGTTTTGCCCCTCAGCTCTTCAGCTCAAGGCTAGCACTGTGCTACAGCACCACTTCTGATTTTCTAGTGGTTAACTGGAGGTAAGAGTCTCAAGGACTTTCCTGCCCAGGATGGCTTTGAACTACGATCCTCAGATCTCAGCCTCCTGAGTAGCTAGGATTATACAGGTGTGAGCCACTAATGCCCAGCTTGTTTTCTTTATTTCTAAACTGATGATATTGTCTTCTCTATATTGTAGAATATTACCATCAAAAGCTAGTTTACTAAAGGAAATAAAATATATTATTACTACTAAAGGTAATAAAATAAAAAAAAATTTCATGGATCTGTATGGGAGCCTGAATTTAATTACCAGTAAAACACAAATATACACAATACATAGTTTTCATTTGAAGGAGACATATATATTAGTTAAACCTGATTACAGGTCTTTTTTTTTTTTTTGGTCTGGGCTTGGGCGCTATCCCTCAGCTCTTCAGCTCAAGGCAAGTGCTCTACTGCTTGAGCCACAACGCCACTTCTGGTTTTCTAGTGGTTTATTGGAGATAAGAGTCTCACGAAGTTTCCTGCCTGGGCTGGCTTTGAACCGCGATCCTCAGATCTCAGCCTCCTGAGTAGCTAGGATTACAGGAGTGAGCCACCAGTGCCCGGCTGATTACAGGTCTTAAAATAGGAAGATACACCATTTACAAATTTACAATGAGATAGCAACTAATACATTTTGGAAGCATTTTACCCTTAAATGCAGTTTTCAAAGTAGGTAGCAAAAAAAAAAAACCTCTGAAAACAAAGAACATAACGCAAAGATAATCTGGTAAAGCTGGAATTAAATTGAATTTAGTGATAAGCCCTTCCCTCCCCAATGCAAAACTGAAACAGTTCCAAGGAATGTTATAATAAACATCACAACTGTATTCATTTTATAAGCTAAAACCAACCTGTTTGAAACTTTTTACAACACAAAAATTTTTTAGGAACTTAATGGATATTTCAACTTTGATGACTACTACCTCATGAAACAGTGCCATATTTTTGTCATAAAAATTTGAGGTTTCCACACAGCATCATCTGAACTCTGTAAACAGAGTTCCAAAGATCACTCTAGTGACAAATCAACGCAGTTTTCTTAGCCAGTGATTCTATTCTTGGGAGAAAAGAATATGTAGTACTCACTTTAAGGCCTTCGAGAAGAGAGTGTCTGGCAGCCTGGAAAGAAGGTTATGCTGGACATCCAGCACCTCCAGGGGGATATGCTCTACCAGGGCTGGAAGCACTTGGATGTGATTGTGTCCCACCATCAGTTTCCTAAGACTCAAGCTACTCAGAATTCTAAGGGGAAATAGTACAAAGAAACAAAAGCTTACTTAAATCATTCTAAATCTGGTCTAGGCTACTTAGCTAAAATCAGTCAACTAATAGAAGAAACATTTTTTAGACCATACAATCTCTGAACAAGTGCCTGAGCTGAGCCAAGAAAGCAGTCATGTCCATGTGTTACCTACCACCCACCAGGAAAATCATGAAGATGCTTCTGAGAAAAGGTGACTTCATGGAGACAAGCAGCATAGGAGATGCAAACTAAAGCAATTTCCACAGTAAGTCCATTTAGAATTTTAAGTCTAGACAGACATTAAATCTATATAACAGCTACTAATATTAAAATAAAATAATTTAATGTAATAAAAGCTTCATTACACTAAAACCTATTTTCTGAATGCTTAAAATGCGCTAGCCATTTATGATGAAGTTCAGAAAGATTAAGTGACTTTGATTTGCCAAAGATCTCACACTGAATAGTAAAGACACAGTCTAGATTTGAATTAAGATATGACTCCAGAGGTTGTTATTAAACATAACAGGCTACGAAGCCTCTAGTTCAATTTTCAAGACTCCATAATCACACATTTTACATATCGACCAGCACTTTTGAGTACAGAATACTCCACTCTAACCCATCAAGCACCATTCTTCTCCTCCACTTAGAGAAATCCTTCCATCTGGTAAAGGTCAACCCAAATGCCATCTCCTTTATGAAGCATTCTCTAATTATTCAAAGCTCTTCTAAATTTCCAAATCAATTTATACAGTGCTGTGATTAAGAGTCGAAGCTCTAACAGCAAGAATGACTACATCCAAATGCCAGCAACTCCCATTACTTCCTGGTTAAGTACCACTTTGGATACATTACCTATTCTTCATTTCCTCATTCCTAAGCTGAAGAGGACAGCATCTACATACTAAGGTTTATAAAGGATTAGGTTTGATCATAAAAGTGAAGTTATTTGGACATGTAACTTATTCTACTGAAGTAGCATTATTACCATATCACCAGCCATGCAGCAACTTCTGGTACATTTTATCAGTTATTGTGCACATATCACACTACCCTCTACGTTTCTTTTAGGCCAAGACAACGCATTAGCCATCACTACAATCCTTATGGTACATTATTCTGTCTTAAACTCAGAAGGAATTCAATATTTCACTACAAAAAATAAAAGGAGGGGCTGGGAAGGTGGATCAGTGATAGAGTGCTTGCCTCGCGTGCATGGGGCCCTGAGTTCGATTCGTCAGCACCATATAAACAGAAAAAGCCAGAAGTGCTGCTGTGGCTCAAGTAGCAGGGCACTATCCTTGAGCTGAAGAGCTGAGGGACAATGCTCAGGGCCCAGAGTTCAAGCCCTACGACCAACAAAAATAAATAAAATAAAAGGAAAACCAATCTAGGAAGGCACATACACACATACGTATACAATATATGCACTCACACACACATACCTCATAGGAACCTCTGTGAGAAGATTAAAACTCACATCAAGTATTTCTAGCTTCTTTGCTTCACAGGCCCAGTCAGGGACACACTCTAGCAGGTTTCTGCAGATAATAAGTAAGCAAAAGGCATGATTTAAGGTCCTAAATGTTCTCTAGGGCCATGTATTACAGGCCTGGTCACCAGCCCATGGAATCGTTAGGGGGTGGAGCTAAAGGAAGTAAGTTAAGCTCATGAGGGTGTGCCCTTGAGAGGAATACTGGGACTATTAACTCTCTCTTTGCTTCCCAGCTGCCATGAGATTGAGTAGTGTCAATATGAATGATATCACAATGATGTACCTAGTCACAGGCCCAAAGTGAAAAGGCCAAGAAACCATGGACTTCAATGCCTAAAGCAATGAGGCCGAGTGCTAGGGGCTCACACCTATAATTCTAGCTACTTAGAAGGCTGAGATCCGAGGATCATGGTTTGAAGCCAGCCAGAGCAGGAAAGGCTGTGAAACCCTTATCTCCAATTAACTACCTGAAAACTGGAAGTAGGGCTATGACTCAAAGTGGTAGTGTGCTGCCTTGAGCAAAAAAGATAGGGCCAGCAGTCAGGCCCTGAGTTCAAGCCCCATAACCAACAAAAAAACAAACAAAAATCCATGAGCCAAAATAAACCATTCCTTCTTCCAATTGCTTATCTCAGGCATTTTATTATAGCTACAGAAATTTGAATAACAGACAAGTGGAATCCATTTCACTACAATGCACATGTTAGCTAACCTGTGAGTCCTTGAGGGCAGGGACACTGTCTCAAGGCATCCTCTGGTATATTACCTAGAATACAGTTAGCACTTGAGAATGTTATTAAATTAGAAGGTGAGAGTCAAGCACAGTGGCTCAAGACTATGAGTCATAAAAGTATTAAGGAAAAAAAATATTTTAGACTGAAGGAACCATTTTATAGGAGCTGGGAAGGTGGCTCAGTGGTAGAGCACTTGCCTTGCATGCCTGAGGCCCTGGGTTCCATTCCTCAGCACCACATAAGCAAAAAGAAAAAAGCTGGAAGTGGTGCTATGGTTCAAGTGGTAGAGCGCTAGCCTTGAGCTGAAGAGCTGAGGGACAGCACCCAAGTCCAGAGTCAGGCCCCAGGACTGGACCCCCCCCCAAAAAAAAAAGGAACCATTTATAGACACCTTCCCATTTCAAGAAGACTCTCATGTAATTACACATACACACTGTGGCTATTAAACTCACTTGTCTCCAATTCATCCTTTTGCCCTTCTCTAGGCTAGCCAAATATGTCAGTATGTTTAGATTTACTGTAACACAAAACTGCCAAAGAATCTACATGTGCCTTAACTACTAGACTCAAACAAATACATTTTAATGAGATACTCACCTGGAGAGTTCCAGGGAAGTGAGTACATTGGGCACTGGGTAGACATTCACTGCTGTCAGTCCTATCAAAAACAAAAAGGTGTTAGCAACATTCTCTGAAGAAAGCAAGTGAGCTATCAGTAAAAGCAGCTTAATGAAATATTTTAAAAACACTGATATTCCTCTTACTTGAAATGACTACAGATAGAAACTACTGAATAACTCATTCTGATTCCTGCTTGATTCCAACTTGTCTTGGAAAACAATTACTAATTGAAGGAGTATGTGTGCTCTGCTGGATTTATACTAGATCAACTAGTTGTTAAACGCTAACAGTAACTACTGATTTTTTTATCTTGAAAGAAATACCTGAATTTTTGCTGGTAGTATTCTAACTTTTAAAACTAAAGTATAGCTTAAATATGAAAGCAATCTTTTTTTTGGGGGGGTCAGTCGTGGGGCTTGAACTTTGGGCCTGGGCGCTGTCCCTCTTCAGCTGAAGGCTAGCGCTTTACCACTTGAGCCACAGCACCATTCTGGTTTTTCCTGTTTATGTGGTGCTGAGGAATCAAACCTAGGGCCTCATGTGTGCGAGGCAAGCACTCTACCACTGAGCCAACTTCCCAGCCCACTAAAGCAATCTTAAGTGTATAGATCAGTAAATTTTCACAAGCAGAACATACTAGTGGAACCAATACCCAGATCAGAAAATAGATGAACCCCAGCTCCAGATGCATCCCCTTACCACCTCTTCTACTCAACACACCCTCTTCAAGGAAACCAGTGATTACTCTGTCTTGGAATACCATGGATAGATGGCTTTTGCCTATTTATATAAATAGATACACACAGTATGTAAAATAATACATAGGATATGTACAGTAATAAATATAGTATGTAAAATAATACATACAGTATGAAACAGGGTATAACTGTATAGATCAGATGTCCTAGAACTTAGAATCCTCTTCTCAGCCTTCAAAGTGCTGGTAAAACAGTACATCACCATGCCATATATAATTTTTTCTAGCTTTATTCACTTCAAATTATGCTTGTGAGATTTGTTCACATTAGCTGCATATAGTTAACTTCATTTTTTTCCTGCCTGTGTAAAAAAACTCTTTTATGTGAATATACCACAATTCATTTACCTAGTTTGACACTAATGAAAATTTCATTTTCCAGTTCAGGGTGACTAATTTTGCCCATGTCCTTATAAACTAATATAAGCACTTATATTGAGTATGGACCTAGAAGAGGAACTGCTGAGAACACTGTACATATTCAGTTTTAGTAGATATTTCTGAACAGTTTTACTACTACACATTCCACTGGTATTTTCAGTTGGTCACTGTAGTCATTCTGAAAGGTTTGTAGTAGTTGGGGGTTTCAATTTGCCTATTTCTGATGATTACCTACTCTAATTATGTACACTGATCATCTGAATAACTTCTTTTGTGAAGCTGGGTTCTTTACTTTAAGGCACCAAAACTAATTATTTATGTGAATTCTTCCAGGTTGTATAATTCAAGGCTTCTGAAAACAGTAACTAACCCTAGTGTCCAGAATACTGCTATGATACTCAGAACTGCTTGTGTGTTGATGAGCTCACTTTCAGTGTAGTGAGGCATTCAGAGCCCGTGAACCCATGGGAGTAGACAGATGGATCTGATAAGGGATCTCTCCATGTCATAGGATCAATACACAGCACCAGTCAACACCCTCATCTGATCCAAGAGCATAATCTAAGCCACAATTTGAAGATTCTATAACATAATGAAAATAGAAGCCCTTAACTTTCTTTATCTGAATAATATATTCTACAATACAGAAAACCAAAGAAAATGAACACTCAGTCATCACCTAGATTTTAACAAATCTGCATTCTACTTTATATGTGTCACTTTTTTTTCCCTTCACTTCTGGGGGTTGAATCCAGTGCCTCATGAGTGCTCAGCAAGCCCTCTATCATTTAGGCCACATCCCCAACCTTATTTTCTGTCTGTTTGCTTTGGGTGATACTAGGTAGGGTTTGAACTCAGGGACTCACACTTGCTAGGAAGGTGCTCTACTTCTGAGCCAGGCCAGTCTTTTCTGGCACTGGCCTGCTTTGAGATAGACTCTTGCTTCCTGTCTAGACATAGCTGTCTATTTTAGGCTTCCTGTTATAGCTTCCTGTTATGGCACCTCATCCAGCTTCTTTTCAACGAGATAGGAGTCTCACAAACACTTCTGCCAAAGCTAGCTTAGGACTGCAATCCTTCCATTCTCAGCTTCCCATGCAGCTAGGATGACAAGCACACACTACTACATCCAGCTATGGATGACAAAGGGATCTTGTGGGTATGCTCAGGCTGGCCTCGAACTGCAGTTCTCCTGATCTCAGGATCACAAGTAGCTAGGATTACAAGTATGGTTCACATGTCCAGTTTTGTTTAGTTTTATTGAGACAAGGCTCCATTAACTTTGCTTTGGCTGGCATTGAATTCACAATCCTCCTGTTTGCATTGCCTTAGTAGCAAAAAAGTAAAGCCAAGGGACAGAATGCATGGATAGACCTTGACTTTTTTTAAGGATTAAAGTACTATATAGCTGGGCACAGGGTGGCTCATGCCTATAATTCTAGCTACTCAGGAGGCTGAGATTTGAGGATCACAGTTCAAAGCCAACCTGGGCAGAAAAGTCTGTGAGACTCCTTAACCTTGAGCAAAAGAAGTTTGAGGACAGCATGTAGGCCCTGAGTTAAAGCCCTGTCACCAAAAACAAAACCAAAAAACGTACATGTACCAAGATGTAGTCATCCTGAGCATGAGTTTTATTATTCCTATGGATTCTTACATGTAGTTATGACATTTATAGCTAAGGAAACAATATTTATGCTGTCTTTTCAATTGTGGTACAATGGCCATAGTATACATGTAACCACATTTTCTTGTTTAAAATTGTTGCTGAGATTTATCTATAATAATATACAAAACTTCAGTACCATTTCATTTCCACTGTTGAATATACATCCTCCAGCACATATATTTCAGGGATTATTCCAAGCAGGAAATTTCTAGAGCATGGATTACATGGACCTTCAACTTCTCCAACTCAGTTACATTCCTCGAAGGAATTTTTACAGTCAACCCTCTGGAAGTTTGAGGCCTCTGGAAAATGCTTCTCATCTCTGCTTATATTCAGTATTATTTTTTTTCATTTTTTAAAATTTGATGCAGATAAGTTGGTATATCTTAACTTTACATTTTATTTCTGTCACTTAGTAAAACTGAATTTTATTGCTTTCCTTCTTCAAACATAGAAAACATAATTAAAATTTACATAAGTCTCTGTAAGAAAAATGATCTCAACAAATATAAGACCCTTATAATGACACTTATTCCCAGATCCAAACATTATTTGAACGGAGAGAATTTTCTTTAGAGTTGAACTGAGGTGGTACATGTTTCTGCACGTGTTTCTGGACAAGATTCTGGCAAACCTTTCTATAAAAGACTAAATATTTTAGGCCTATTGACTATAATACAGTCTCTTACTTCTACTCAATCTTCTCACTGTAACATAAAAACAGTAGTGTAAAAGCAAAAATGTAAATCTAACCGTGTGGCTATTCTCAAAAAAAAAAACAACTATTTGTGAGTGTAGAAACTTGAATACATTTATTTCTTTTCTTCCTCTATTTTGTTTTATTGTGAAAATACCGTGCAGAGAGGTTAACTTTTTTTTTTTTTTTTTTTTTGACGGCACTTGGATATAAACTCGGGGCTTTGTGCATGCCAGACAGGCATTACCACTTGAGCCATGCCATCCAACTTTATTTTGCTTTCAGGTGTATTTCACATAGGGTTATGTCTTTTTGCCCCAGAGTAAGCTTCAAACTGAGATCTTCCAATATATTTCCCCTAGTATCTCAGGTAGACAGTACTATGTTCTTAAGAAGCTGGCCTCAAACTGTTATCTCCTGCTCTCTGCCTCAAGATTAGCTGTGATTACAGGTATGAACTACCAAGCTCAGCCTCAGCATTTACACACACAGATGTGAATATATGTTATATTATATGTACATATAATTTAATATATAATTTTTTTGTCAGTTGTGGGGCTTGAACTCTGGGTCTGGGTGCCCTCAGCTCTTCAGCTCAAGGCAAGTACTCTACTACTTGAGCCACAGTGCCATTTCTAGTTTTCTGGTGGTTAATTGGAGATAAGAGTCTCAGGGACTCTCCTGCCCAGGCTAGCTTTGAACCGTGATCCTCAGATCTCAACCTCCTGAGTAGCTAGGATTACAGGCATGAGCCAACTGGTACCTGGCACAAAAATATTTTTTTAACCTACCAAAAAATGTAAAAAACCATTTTTTACAGGCTATACAAAGAAAAAAAGATGGTAGTTTAGATTTAGCTCCTCAGCAATAGTACTTTGCCTGACCCTGTTATCAATACTGTCTGAACATACAAGTCTACCCACTCGAATGATTTTACTATGTTCATTTAGTGAATCTCAAAGTATCTTGCCAAGTCTTTTTGGGCATATCTCAACTACTTAAGAGTTGATAGCCAAGTAAAAAAATAAAGCTAAGCTTCCATTAGATATAAACATTGTGAAGAACAGGTAGGAAGGACCACACATGCCATTGTTCTCAGAAGTTTCACACTAGAGTTGAAAGAAATGACAAGAGGTTGGATAGAGAACTCACTGTTTGAACTGGCATAGAGAGTTCGAAGAGAGAAGCCACTGAGTGTCAGCTCCCTCAGCTGGTTCCGCTCACAATGCAGCTGCTCCAAACTACATAAGGAGCTAAGATCCAAGTCAGTCAGCTGATTGTCCCGCAAATCCATGTGGACAACATGCTTATTTCCCTCCAGGTTTTCAATAACTGTGGATTTCACGCAGTTCATCCTTAATATTCAAAAACAAGGAAATAATCAGAAAAAATTCTATTAAGTATGCTTTCTAAAAAACAGGAAAAGTTGGGGCTGGGAAGGTGGCTCAGTGGTAGAGCACTTGCCTTGCATGCATGAGGCCCTAGGTTCGATTCCTCAGCACCACATAAGCAAAAAGAAAAAAGCCGGAAGCGGCGCTGTTGCTCAAGTGGTAGAGCACTAGCCTTGAGCTGAAGAGCTGAGGGACAGCGCCCAGGCCCAGAGTTCAGGCCCCACGACCAGACCCAAAACAAACAAACAACAACAACAAAAAAAAAAAACAGGAAAAGTATGATCCATTTTTTACTAAACAACTTGGGAGTTTCATGACTTGCCTCATCTTTCAAAACTTATAGCAAAGAATTCAAAAGGCAGCTGGGACAATCCAGACTAGCAAACACAGAGACAAATTATACAAGAAAGCAGGAAAAAAAGAGGGGACTATATTCACAGACAGGATAATACTGACACCTAAGTATCTAATAAGGTTAGGTAGAAACAAGGACTAAATGAACAAACTTTTGGATGGGTGATGAATTAAGCAGTCCTGACAGGGAACAGCTACTGTTCCTTCCATTATTGTACCTACTCTGTTCCTAGTGCTAAGATTCATATGACACTAACAGAGAAAATAATATGTGCACAAATGGACCACTTCAAATATAAACTCCAGAACATGAATTCTTGGGGGAGGGTTGTTTGTTTGTTGGGGTGCTTTTTTGCCAGTCCTGGGGCTTGAACTCAGGGCCTGAGTACTGTCCCTGTGCTGCTTTCTGCTCAAGGATAGCACTCTATCACCTGAGCTAGTGTCACTTCCAGCTTTTTCTGTTTATGTGGTGCTGAGGAATTAAACTCAGGGCTTTGTGCATGCTAGGCAAGCACTCTACCACTAAGCCACATTCCCAGCCCTCCCCCCTTTTTTAAAACTATATACCTATTTAACTTTATGTATTTAGGTCTGTTCTCTTTTTCCTGCATTTCAATAAATGTCTTTTACTATTTCTTTACAAGGTATATTAATGGTTTTTGGCAAATTATAGGCCATCCAGTAGGTCTTTATGGGCTGTAGGAAAATGCTGTGAATAGAAAATAAAATCTGCTGGGCACTGGTACTGTAATCCTAGCTACTCAGGAGGCTGAAATCTGAGGATTTCAGTTCAAAGCCAGCCCAGGAAGGAAAGTCTGTGAGACTCTTATCCCCAATAAACCACCAGAAAACCAGAAGTGGTGCTGTGGCTCAAGTGGCAGAGCACTAGCCTTGAGCTAAAGAACTGTGGGACAATGCCCAGGCCCAGAGTTCAAAGCCCCACGACCGACAAAAAAAAAATCGTTTTTGAACATTCTTAGTAGTAAAGCCTTGAACATTTCAATTATAACACAGTGTTATTCAAGAAGAAACCCAGTGACTCAACAGAAAAATGGTCAAGCTTATAGAGAACTACAAACTAGTAATAATATGTATATGTATATGCATATACATATAAATAGATGGTCAACTTCACTTATAACTAAATAAATGTTGACTAAGACAATCATATACTATTTTCTTTTTGTCAGTTGTGGGGCTTGAACTCAGGGCCTGGGTGCTGTCCCTGAGCTTTTGTGCTCAAGTCTAGAGCTCTACCACCTTGAACCAGATTGCCACCTCCAGTTTTCTGGGTTTTCTGGTGATTAATCGGAGATAAGAGTCTCACAGAGGCCAGGTGCCAGTGACTCACACCTGTAATCCAAGCTACTCAGGAGGCTGAGATCTGAGGATCACAGTTCAAAGTCAGCCCAGGCAAGAAAGTCCGTGAGGCTCTTATTTCCAACTAACCGTCAGAAACTGGAAATAGTGCTGTGGCTCAAGTGGTAGAGTGCTCACTTTGAACTGAAGAGTTCAGGGACAGCGCCCAGGCCCAGAGTTCAAGCCCCATGACTGACAGAAAAAAAAAAAGGAGGGAAGGTGGTAGAGTGCTTGCCTTGCATGCATGAGGCCCTGGGTTCAATTCCTCAGCACCACATAAGCAGAAAAAGCCAGAAGTGGTGCTGTGGCTCAAGTGATAGAGCACTAGCCTTGAGCTGAAGAGTTGAGGGACAACACCCAGGCCCAGAGTTCAGTCCTCATGACCGACAAAAAATAAAATAAATAAATAAATGGTGAAATTTAAAAAAATGTTTTTAATTTAAAAATTTTTTTAAATTAAAAAAAAAAAGTCTCACAGACTTTCCTGCCTGGGCTTGCTTCAAACTGGATCATCAGATCTCAGCCTCCTCAGTAGTTATGATTATAGCAGTGGGCCACCAGCAGGGCTGATATAGTATGTTTTATATTCTACTAACAATTGAAACACAATATGTGGGGAAATGGGAATTCTCATAAAATGTTGCCTTAAGTAAGGATAATCTTCATCAAAGGCAATTTGATATTATCTATCATGTGATAAAACTATTCGATTCTTAATGCTAATGAATGACAAATGAAGTTTTATAACACCTAAAGGTGTAGTTTGATGGTAAAGCACCTGCCTAGTAAGCACAAGGTCATGAGTTCAAACCCAGTGCTGCCAATAAATTTAAAAAAAAAAAAATGATGCTAAACAAAACGAACCCCAAGATAGGGACACAAGAGGTTTTATCTTTGTTGCTGTTATTTTCAATGTACTTATAATGTGATTTTTCTGTATCTTTTGTATGTTCTTCCCCCATGGTATAACCCCTGTTTTCACTGTATTTGATTCTTGTATATACATTTTTCTAATTTGAGAAGGGGAAGGGAAATAACAAAATGCTGAAATAAGGATACAGGTTGACCCACTGTAACAATGAGACATATAAGACACTATGTTGATGGGCTGGGAAGGTGGCTCAGTGGTAGAGCGCTTGCCTTACATGCATGAGGCCCTGGGTTCGATTCCTCAGCACCACATAAACAAGAAGAAAAAAGCCGGAAGTGGTGCTGTGGCTCAAGTGGTAGAGCGCTAGCCTTGAGCTGAAGAGCTGAGGGACAGCACCCAGGTCTAGAGTTCAGGCCCCACGACCGGACCAAAAAAAAAAAAAAAAGACACTATGTTGAAAACAAACTTTACAGCTTTGGCAGGGACAGTGGGAGGGTGGGGGAAGGGAGGGAGATGGTAGGGGAAAAACAAAGGAAAGGGTAACAATGCATGATAGGAAATGTACTCATTACCTTACTCATTTTGTACAGTATCTTTACAATAAAAAATATATATTCAAAAAGAAAATATTTTCACACTGTTATAAAATCCTAATGTTTTAAAGAAGTATTTGTAAAGAGAAGACTTTAATAGCTGAAGTCCAGGCAAAAGAAGCTCTGATAAAGAATAACTCACCTTAAATCCACATGCTTGATATTGCTCATCCTGGTCAGCACCCCTAAGTCCAAGACTTCTAGGCAATTTCCCGCCATAACTATTTTATCTAACATTGTGAGTTTCTCATAAACCCCTGGAATTTGATTAAAATTGTTGAAGGAAATTCCCAGGGAGGAAAGCTGTTGCAGGTTTCCCAGTTCTTCAGGCAAAGTAGTCAGAAAGTTGCCATCAAGACAGAGTGTTTGAAGACTGGGGGAAAAAGAACCAAAACAAGTCTATTCAATCAAAGATTTCATTCAAATACATAGAACTAGAGTTACAGATTCTGATTTGTGTCACTAATTTATTACGAAGCCAACAGTGGCAAAACATCGTAACTCTGGACTCACAGACATCCTAACTCTAAATCCAGAGAGACAGGTGGTTTGAACATAACATCCAAGGATGGGCTCTTCGATATTAAAGAGTCAGGCCTCTGCTGTTGAAATAGAGGACTGATCATTGCTACTGACATGGAGATTTCAGACATCAAAAACTACTGCTGACTAGAATCCTAATAATTACATGTAGTTCACTGCCAAATCTTAGGACACTACCTTCACTCCCAATGACAGATAAGTTCCTTATATCCAACGGAAAAGAAGAATTTAGTAAAAAGTCAGATACTTACTTTAGCAGACTGCCAATCTGACTTGGCAGGTCATGAAATCCATTACAGGAAAGGTTGAGCTCAGTCAGGGTGGAAATCTCACATAATGATACAGGAAACAACCCAAGTTTATTATGAGATAAATTCAGGCCCTTCAGTTGAGAAAATCTAAAAAGAAAAAGTAAAAGTATAAACTGGGTTTCAAATGATCTATTTATTAATTTTACTTTATTTGTTTTTTGTTTTTGATACAAGGTCTTGCTTTGTAAACTAGGCTGGCTTTGAACTGGTGATCCTCTTGCTAACACTTTCCAAATGCTGGGATTTCAGGCTTGTGTTACCACACCCAGCAACAGGATTATTTTATATGTCCAACATAGAATTTGTTCCAAAAATAGGTACTGAGCAAGCACTACATGCCAAACAACTTTTTTTTTGTCAGTCATGGGGCTTGAACTTTGGGCCTGAACACTGTCCTTCAGCTCTTCAGCTCAAGGCTAGTGCTCTACCACTTGAGCCACACCACTTCTGGTTTTCTAAGTGGTTTATTGGAGATAAGAGTCTCCCGTACTTTCCTGCCCAGGCTGGCTTTGAACCGTGATCCTCAGATCTCAGTCTGCTGAGTAGCTAGGATTACAGGCATGAGCCACCAGTGCCCGGCTGCCAAACAACTTGGTAGCATAGAGAATGCTAAGATGACTAAGACTACACTATCAAGGAAACAGGTTAAGTGTGACAGTTTTCTTCTCCCTAAAAAGGCAGAAAATCCTGAATGATATTCATGCTGGTGTAATTCTTTTCTGTCAAGTAATGACCCAAAATATGTTTGAAAACTTTTCTGTTACTAAATTCCTAGATGTAATATATAAAACTCATGAAAATTAATGAACTTATAGAAAGAGGACTAGCTAAAAACTATGTGGATTAAAATCCCATTATAAGGAACTTCTTTTTTCATACCAAAATTATATTGACTTAAATATCCACTGAAATAAATGAAATTGGGCCTGAAAACGTATATGTTACAACACTTTATTGTAAAACCTGAGTTGATATTTAACATGAAATAGTAAGTTTCAGTGTGTCTATTTTGTTTGTAGAAGTATAGTGTCTTGCCCAGTAACAGTATAGTCATAAAGCAAACCTACAGAGTCTCTCTGGGATATGAGAACATCACATTTGTTATACAGGTATAAAATGGCAAGGCTGGGGTGTTATTCTCTGTAACAATAGCATACAGCCTGCTTCCAGATTTTGAGCCCTTGGTACCTCACTTTAAAACTCCTCTAAGTTTCAATTCTTGATTTCTAGATTACTTTGAACTCATGTTTGACTTTAAAATTTTGGATCCAATCTTCTAACTGGATTAACTATATTTTCATATCAATTGAAAAGGAAATACTAGCTGGCATAGGTAGCTCATGCCTGTAATCCTAGCTACTTAGGAGGCTGAGATCTGAGGATCACAGTTGAAAGCCAGCCTAGGCAGATAAGTCTGTAAGACTCTTATCTCCAAAAAACCACTAGAAAACTGGAAATGGTGCTGTGTCTCAAGTGGTAAAGCACTAGCCTTAAGCTGAAGAGCTGAGGGACAGAGCCCAGGCTCAGAGTTCAAGCCCCACAACCCAGGGAAAAAAAAAGAAAAGGAGATACTAGAAGCTGACTTCCCTATCAATATATAACATACTTTCTTTTTTATATAAAAATAGTATTAAAGTATCTATCTTATTACTAAACATTGGCTTACTGTTTTTTGGGGTTTTTGGGGGGTCCAGTTGTGGGGCCTGAACTCTGGGCCTGGGCGCTGTCCCTCAGCTCTTCAGCTCAAGGCTAGCACTCTACCACTTGAGCCACAGCGCCCACTTCCGGCTTTTTTCTTTTTGCTTATGTGGTACTGAGGAATCGAACCCAGGGCCTTGAGCATGCAAGGCAAACGCTCTACCACTGTGCCACCTTCACAGCCCTGGCTTACTGTTTTAAAAAAACTTTTAAATCATAATATCAGATGGGATTTAAAAAATGGAATTTTCTGGAAATGACTCAAATTATAAGATGTAAAGGAAGGACATAAAATAAAGGAAGTATGTAAAATATGTCACTACAATACTATTATGATTTTATCTTATTTTTTCCTTTTTTTTATTGTGAAAATACTGTACAGAGGGGTTACAATTACATGGGCAAGATAATGAGTACATTACTTTTTTTTTTTTTGGTTGGTTGTGGGGCTTGGGCGCTGTCCCTGCGCTCTTCAGCTTAAGGTGAGCACTCTACCACTTGAGCCACAGCCACAGCCACAGCGTGCCACTTCACAGCGTGCCACTTCTGGTTTTCTAATGGTTTTATTGGAGATAAGAGTCTCATGGACTTTCCTGCCCAGGCCGGCTTTGAACTGGGCTCCTCAGCTCTCAGCCTCCTGAGTAGCTAGGATTACAGGCGTGAGCCTAATGAGTACATTTCTTATCAAGCATTGTTGCCTCCTCCTTTGTTTCCCCTCCCCATCCCTTCCCAAACCGCCCCCCCCCCGCAGTCCCCCTACCCAATCCTCCCCCTACCACCCACCAAATTTGTAAAGTTCGTTTTTTCGACATAACGACTTGTACATCTTATTGTTGCAATGGGTCCACCTGTATCCCTGTTTAAACAATTTGTTTTTTTTCCCTTCCCCTCCACAAATTATACCAACATCAAATACAGTGAAAGCAGGTGTTATACCATGGGGGAGGGACATACAAAGCAACAAAGAAATAATCTTACAAATATGTTAGAAACAATCGCATGAAAGAAAAAAACATTTAAATACTTATCTTGGGGTTCATTTCCCTAACATCAACTTATCTGACCTTTTCTGCTTGACTCAGACATACTAGTTATTGCAAATAAGGGAAACCATGGGACCTGTGTTTCTTTGGGCCTGGCTTACTTCACTTAATATAATTTTTTCCAAGTCTTTCCATTTCCTAACAAATGGGGCAATGTCATTCTTTCTGATGGAGGCATAGAATTCCATTGTGTATATATACCACATTTTCTTGATCCATTCATCTACTGAAGGGCATCTGGGTTGGTTCCATATCTTAGCTATGGTAAATAATGCTGCAATAAATATAGTTGTGCTGGTAGCTTTAGTATGGTCTTGTTTGTGATCATTTGGGTAAATGCCCAAAAGTGGGATTGCTGGGTCATAGGGGAGCTCTATGTGGAGCTTCCTTTTGAGGAACTTCCATACTGCTTTCCAAAGTGGTTGAACAAGTTTCCATTCCCACCAACAATGCAGTAAGGTACCCTTTTGGTCACTCCCCTCCAGCATCTGTTGTTATTAGAGTTCTTGATTATAGCCATTCTAACTGGGGTGAGGTGGTATCTCAATGTTGTTTTGATTTGCTTTTCTTTTATGGCTAGAGAGGTTGAGCATTTCTTCATGTGTCTATTGGCCATCCTTCTTTCCTCTTCAGAGAAACTATTATAATATTAATCACCATGTAATTTAAACTTTGAAAGCTTTAATTTCCATTTTCTCCCTTCCCCATAGGAAGCTCAGATAATTATAATGCCATATATTTATTCATGGCCAGCCATTTTTAACTGGAGGAATGACGTGAAATAAGGGGAAGGTAGAAATGTGGAACATATTCTAATAAAGAAGATAAAAAAATATTTAGACCATAGTCCTGTAGGAATGACAGTTTCTCTATTAGAAGAGAAAGATTTCATAAGTGATAAGGGACTCTACAGTTGGAAGAAGTAGGTACAAAGGGAAAAGCCCTGTTTCTGATTACTGAAATTAGTCCTGTCAGCTTCTAGTTATTTAAACTGGATACTTTTGATTGAGAAACTGTTCATATACTGTATCTCAATTTACTATAATTACAGATTATGTTTCCAATACAATGAGATATATATATATATATATATATATATATATATATAGATTATCTAGGACACTTAGGAGGCAGATTAGGAGAATCTTGGTTTAAGGCTAGCCTAGGTCAAAGCCTAAGGCCCCATACCAACCAGTAAAAGCTGAGCATGATGACACATGTCTATAATCCTAGATAAGCAGGGACTGTAAACAGGAAGATCACAGTATAGGCTAGCCTAGACAAAACATTTTGCTATTGAAAAAATTAACAAAAGCACAGAAGACATCTCTAAGTTAGTGACCACTTGCTTAGCAATCACCAAAACCTCATTTCAAACCCCAGTACCACAATAATCAGTTAATAAATTACAAAACTAAGAAAGGCTGGAAATGTGGCTCATGCTATAGAATACCTACCTAGAAAGCATGAAGCTGTGAGTTCAAACCCTAGTACCATCCCTCTATAAAAAAAGTTAACTACATCACTGGCAACTCATCATGATCTCCAACACAGATAAAAATCACACAAAATCTTATTTTATGGGAAGAAGAAAGAGGTGGGGACAATGGAGAAAATAATAAATTTTAGCCAGGTACCAGTAGTTCACACCTGCTCAGAAGGCTGACATCTGAGGATTGTGGGTTGAAGCCAGCTGAGGCAGGAAAGTCCATGAGAATCTTACTGCCAAGTGATTAGGCAGAAGTGGTGCTATGGCTCAAGTGGAAGCCTAGTCTTAAGCAAAAAAGAGCTCAGGGATTGTACCCAAGCCCAGAGTTCAAGGCCTAGGACAGACAAAAGAATATTTTTTTTACTTCTTCAAAAGGAGTGGCAAATTTAGTAGATAATGGTAAATGCTATAGGTTTGGGTGTGGTTCATCTCTCAATGTTTCATGTACTAAAATCTCAGTCCTCTGGGATGGTAGGACTAAGAAATGGTAGAACTTTAAGAGATGAGGTCTATTAGAGATAGTTAAGCCGTTTTGAGATGCTGACCTCAGAAGAGATTAATGTTGATCTCATGGAGTAAGTTAGTTCCCAAAAAACGGGTTGTTTTAAACCAGCAAGCCTAACCCTGAAGCTGTGACTTCCCATCTTGTATTCCTTCTCTCCCTCTACCATGAAATAATTTAGGTGAAGAAGCCTAAGCAAGGCTGAAATGATGGGGCTGTCAGATATTGGACTTAAACCTCTTCTCCCTATACATTATTCAGCCTCCAGTATGTTGTTAGAAAAATGGAAAATAGACAAATACACTATGTGTAATCATTAAAGTTCATAAGATATGAACCACTAAGAAACTGATTACAACTTGTTTTTAACATATTGATCTCAAAACATACTTATAGAGTGTGTCGAGACCTCCTGGTCTTTCTAATTGCATGAAGTTGTGTCGCAAGTTGAGGTAGGTGATATCTTGACTGTAGAAAAGATGTTCAGGAACCTCCTCAAGGCTGTAACATGAGAGATCCACTGTACTGATTCGCTGAGACACCACCTAAATAAAGTCAAAAAGATTAGCTTTCTGAGCTAGTACTGAATTTCTTTCATCTTGCACAAGTGAGTGACTTACACACACACACACACACACACACACATACACACACACAATGGGGCTGGGAAGGTGGCTCAGTGGTAGAGTGCTTGCCTTGCATGCATGAGGCCCTGGGTTCGATTCCTCAGTACCACATAAGCAGAAAAAGCTGGAAGTGGTGCTGTGGCTTAAGTGGTAGAGCGTTAGCCTTGAGCTGAAGAGCTGAGGGACAGTGCCCGCCTAGAGTTCAGGCCCCAAAACCAGCAACCCCCCCCCCATACACACACACACGTAAACAAAAAAAAATAAATAAATAAGCTGCTTGAAAAACAAAGGTATAAAGTCACAATGTCTCTATAAATAAAAGGCAAAAGAACTGTATATCACACAATGGAATTCTATGCATCCATCAGAAAGAATGACATTGCCCCATTGGTTAGGAAATGGAAAGACTTGGAAAAAATTATATTAAGTGAAGTAAGCCAGGCCCAAAGAAACATGGGTCCCATGGTTTCCCTTATTTGCAATAACTAGTATGTCTGAATCAAGCAGAAAAGGTCAGATAAGTTGATGTTAGGGAAATGAACCCTAAGATATGTATTCAAATGTTTTTTTTTCTTTCATGCAATTGTTTCTAACATATTTATAAGATTATTTCTTTGTTGCTTTGTATGTCCCTCCCCCATGATATAACCCCTGCTTTCACTGCATTTGATGTTGGTATAATTTGTGGAGGGGAAGGGAAAAAACAAATTGTTTAAATAGGGATACAGGTGGACCCATTGCAACAATGAGATGTACACGTCATTATGTCGAAAACGAACTTTACAACTTTGGTGGGGGGGGGGGAAGATTGGGGGGGAGAAGATGGGAAGGGATGGGAAGGGGAAACAAAGGAGGAGGCTACAATGCTCGATAAGAAAGGTACTCATTATCTTGCCATGTAATTGTAACCCCTCTGTACAGTATTTTCACAATAAAAAAAAAACTGTATATCACATAAAAATGACACATTAGCATTTCATCATGTTCACAGTCATACTAGGAATAATGTTAAGATGATTCAAAATAACTGCACAAAACTTTGGAAGTCAGTATCATGTGAAAAATGTGGTCTTTTACAGCCACATTGGCTCTGCCACTTAGTGGCACAGCTTCTTCATCTGTTCTGAGGATAAACTTTGTCTTTTAAAACTTATTCAGTTTTAAAATACATTTCTATTGGGCTTCTGCATTCTTACCTCCTTACTAGGACATCTGAGAGTGAATTACTTACCTTAGAAGCTTGCCGGTGCCACCTCTGGTACTCAGCTACAGTCTCAAAGCTGACATGATAGGTTTGAGCTTGGGCTCCTGCTGAGCTGAATGCAAGGGAGTGCTGCCGGCGCTTCACTTCTTCTATCTGAAGAATGGGGAAAACAAAACAACTGAATAGAAATCCTCCTCAAAAAGCAAAAGGAAAACTGGATGCCAATGGCTCATGCCTGTAATCCTAGCTGCTCAGGAGGCTGAGATCTGAGGATTGAGGTACAAATCCAGCCCAGGCAGGAAAGTCTGTAAGATTCTTATCTCTAGTTAACCACCAGAAAACTGGAAGTGGAGCTGTGCCTTAAAGTGGTAGAGTGTTAACTTTGAGCAAAAGAGCTCAAGGACAATGCCCAGGCCATGAGTTCAAGCCCAATGACTGCCCCCCCCCCCACCAAAAAAAAGGACTAACAAGATAGATAATCTAATTTTTTTTAATTATAAAGGACCTGAAGAGGCATTTCTCCAAAGAAGACACAAGTGGCCAATAAGCACACAAAATGATGATCCACCTCAATAAACATCAGGAAAATACAAATCAAAACTACAATGAAATACTAGTTCATATCCACTAAGATGGTTAAAATTAAACAGATAATGGCAATTATTATATAATAAATACTGGCAAAGAAGCAGAGAAACTGGAACCCTTGTACACTGCTGATGAAAATGGATAATGGTGTAACCACCTTGAAAAACTGTCAGTTCTGGAAGTGGCGCTGTAGCTCAAGTGGTAGAGCGATAGCCTTGAGCTGAAGAGCTGAGGGACAGCACTCAGGCCCAGAGTTCAAGTCCCATGACAAACAACAACAAAAAGAAATGATCAACATAGCCACTATGACCCAGTAACTCCACTCCTACACTTATACCCAAGAGAATCAAAAACTCCCATTTGCACAAAAACTTTCATATGAATCTCACAGCAGCCATAAAGTAGAAACAAAAGGTAGCATATCCATACATATTATCTGACCATAAACAGGATCAAAGTGTATTGAGTCCTGTTAGGTGAAAGAACTCAGTAACAATAAACTATGTACTTATGATTCTATTTATATGAAATATCTAGAACTGGTAAACTGAGAGTCAGAAGATAGACTAGTAGTTGCCTGGGGCTGGGAGGAAATTAAAGGATGAAACTAAAGAGTGCAGGATTTCTTAGTCATAAAAAGATTCTAAATAGTTGTACAAATCTGAAAAGCTAAAAGACTAAACCCCCACACATTATGGCCTGTGTGCTCACCCACTGGTACACATGCACTTGCTCTAAAGCTCCTACTCTCTCTCTTCTCATTCTCCCCTCACCCTGCTACCTCTAGCCATCTGCCAATGAGTCACACATTAAGAAACCCAGAGTAAACAATGATCCCATCAGCAACACTTTTGCTGTGTTACCAACAAAGGAACATATCTCTTGTCCTCCAGAGTTCCAACTGAGGAGGCTGGGCATAAGTACACACTCCTTACTGCAGGGGATCTTTATCAAGCCCTAGAGTCCACTGAAAGCTCTTTCACTAGGTTAAAAGAAAACCTCCCCTGACTCCTATGTTTGGAGTGGTAGTAGGGATTCATGGTACAAAACTGCTCTTCAAAGGAAGACAAATAGATGTGGAGGTGTATGCCTGTAATCCCAGCTTTCAGGAGGTTGAGGAAGAAAACCCATTTAAAGCCAGCTTGAGCTACACAGCAAGATCCTATCTCAAAAACAAAACAAAAGCCCAAGAAACTCTTCTTCAAACTGTAATAGCACAACACATATTGCTGTAATGAAGATTAACTCTTTTTATAGTCATAGAACCACTTATTTCTTTGGCATCATATGTTGATATTATCATACCTACTGAATCTTGGCAGATAAGCTGGAAATTTACAAGTTGTAAATTTCAAGTTATACTTGTAAATTACATTTCTGGTGCCAATTAAGGAGTGAACCAAATGACAGAAACACAAAATACTCTGAACAAAAATTCATGTTGAAATGATTCATTAAAATTAAGTGAGCTTCATGGCATTCAATTGTGACATTCACAACACAATAATTTTTCATGTAATAAATCACTGCCATTGAATAAGTCTATGTCAAAACAAAAGATCTTATTGAAATGAAGATCAGATAATGTTCTGGAAAAAGCTTCTCTTTTCAATATTATAGAATGTTTCACAGAAAAAGTATAGAAAGTCCTCTAACATCAAATATGAAGAAATGTTTGTGAATCTTCCAGGAAAATTGTGTCGATTTCCTATGAAATTTTGCTAATTTTTCATTACATATTGACACTATGTTACTATATATATAACTATATATACATATAACTAAAATTATTAAATATTCATAATTAATTGTTGCTTTTACCATTTCCAGTAAGTTTCTTTATCTCTACTAATGCTTTTTCCATTCAAAGAATTTGAGGAAGCCAGGTGCTGGTGGCTCACACCTGTAATCTTAGCTATTCAAGAGGCTGAGATCTGAGGTTCCATGTTTGAAGCCAGCCCAAGGCAGGAAAATCCATGAGACTCTTATCTACAATTAAGCACCAAAAGCCAGAAGTGCAGCTGTGGCTCAAGTAGTAGAGTGTTAGCCTAGAGCAAAACTACTCAGGGGCAGTGTCCAAGACCTGAGCCCAAACCCCAGTACCAGTACCAGTACCCCCCTATACACACACACACACACACACACACACACACACACACACACACACACACACACACACACACACACACACACACAAACAGGTAGTGAGCTAGTGGCTCACACCTATAATCCTACCTACTTGGGAAGCTGAGACTTGGAAGATACCAGTTCAAAGGCAACCCAGAAAGAAAAGTCCACAAGACTCCATTTCCAATTAACAAACAAAAAGCCAGATTAGAGGCTTGGCTCAAGTGGTTGAATACCAGCCATGAGCAAGCAAACACAAGTTCCTAAAAGTTCAATCCTTTAATACGATTTCTTCCAAGTCTGATATAGGTCCCATGGTTTCCCTTATTTCCAATAATTAGTATACATCTAGGATAATCTTAGCAAATGAGCAGAATGGCTCAATAACTATGTACATATGACCATATAAGTGAAATTAACTCCAAGACATGGACACAAGAGGTTTTTCTTTGTTGTTGTTGTTTTTAATGTACTATGTGATTTCTTGTTTCTTTTGTGTTTTCTTCCCCCTATGGTCTATCCCGCTGTCACTGTATTTGATTTTGGTACCCTGGTATTGTACATCTGTTTATCTGAATTAGGGAAGGGAAGGGGAACAACAGAATGGTGAGACATAGGGGGAGCCTATGCAACAGCAATAGTCACAAGACAATAGGTTGGAAATGACTGTACAATTTGGGGAGTGGGGGTTGGGCTGGCCTTGAGCAGAAGAGCTGAGGGACAGTGCTCAGGCCCAGAGTTCAAGCCCCATTACCAACCAAAAAAAAAAATCAATAAAAAAATATATATAAAAAAAGTTCAATCCCCAGTATTGGCAAAAGAACATAAAAAAGAAAGACAAGAAGAGAAAGAAACAAAAAGAAAAGACTGTTTTGGGGAGGACAGTTTTACTAAAGAAAATTTAGGATACTTAAAATTCAGACTTTTTAAATGCACTGATTCAAAGTGGGCTGTCTAATCTATCTTGATAATGTTAATACCCAAAATATCCCATGCTCCTTTGCAGTCAATCCCTTCCCTGTAACCACTGATCTGTTTTCCATCACTATAGCATTTTTGTTTTTTCCCTTTGACAGATTTTCATGTAAGTGGAAACATGGTAAGTAGATGTTGGTATCTAGCTGCTTTTTCTTACAATAATGTCTTCCAGATTTGATCCTTGTTTGTGTGTGTCAGCAACTCATTCTTTTTCACTGCTAAGCAGTATTCCATTGTACAGATCATATCTATCGTTCATTAGTTAATGAACACTTGGGTTGTTCCTGATTTGGGCTATTATAAAGCTGCTATGAATATTCACTTGCAAGTCCTTATAAGAATGTGTTCATTCTTCTTAGATAAATAACTATGAGTAGGACTGCTTGGTCATCTGATAAGCATGTTTAATTTTACAAGAAATAACAAACTGGGGCTGGGAATGTGGTTTAGTGGTAAGAGTACTTGCCTAGCTTGCCTAGCATACACGAACCTGGGTTCAATTGCTCAGTACCACATAAAATATAAAAAGCTGGAAGTGGCACTGTGGCTCAAGTGGTAGAGTACCTTGAGCAAAAGACGCTCAGGGACAATACCCAGGCTCTGATTTCCAGCCCCAGGATGGAAAGGAAAAGAAAGGAAAGGGAACGGGAGAGGGAGAGGGAGAGGGAGAGGGACGGAAAGGGAGAGGGAGAGGGAGAGGGAGAGGGGGAGGGGGAGGGAGAGGGAGAGGGAGAGGGAGAGGGAGAGGGAGAGGGAGAGGGAGAGGGAGAGGGGAGAGGGAGAGGGGGAGGGGGAGGGAGAGGGAGAGGGAGAGGGAGGGAGAGGGAGAGGGAGAGGGAGAGGGAGAGGGGAGAGGGAGAGGGGAGAGGGAGAGGGAGAGGGAGAGGGAGAGGGAGAGGGGAGAGGGAGAGGGAGAGGGAGAGGGAGAGGGAGAGGGAGAGGGAGAGGGGAGAGGGAGAGGGGAGAGGGAGAGGGAGAGGGAGAGGGAGAGGGAGAGGGAGAGGGAGGGAAAGGGAGAGGGAGAGGGAGAGGGAGAGGGGGAGGGGGAGGGAGAGGGAGAGGGAGAGGGAGAGGGAGAGGGAGAGAGAGAGAGAGAGGGGAGAGGGAGAGGGGAGAGGGAGAGGGAGAGGGAGAGGGAGAGGGAGAGGGAGAGGGAGGGGAGAGGGAGAGGGGAGAGGGAGAGGGAGAGGGAGAGGGAGAGGGAGAGGGAGGGGAGAGGAGAGGAAAGGAAAGGAAAGGAAAGGAAAGGAAAGGAAGGGAGAGAGAAAGAGAACGAAAGAGAGAGAAAAGAAAGAGAGAGACAGAGACAGGAAAGGAGGGAGGGAGGCATGGAGGGAGGGAGGGAGGGAGGGAGGGGGAGGGAGAGAGGAAAGGAAGGCTTGTTTTCCCAAGTAACTTTATTCCCACCAATGATATAAAACTGGTTCAGGATGCTGGGAAGGTGGCTCAGTGGTAGAGTGCTTGCCTCACATGCATGAGGCCCTGGGTTGGATTCCTCAGCACCACATAAGCCAAAAAAGCCGGAAGTGGCGCTGTGGCCCTAGTGATATAGCGCTAGCATTGAGCTGAAAAGCTGAGGGACAGCACCAAGGCCCAGAGTTCAGGCCCTATGACCAACAAAACTTATTCAGTTACTCTACATCTTTGCCAAACTTGGTATTTAACAGTTTTTTTTTTTTAATTTTAGACATTCTAGTGATATATATCAATGTGATTTTCATTTTAATTTCCCTAATGACTAATGGTGCTGAGGATCTTTTCATATGTTTATTTGCAGTCTGCCTATCTTCTTGGTAAAGGGTCTATTCAGATATTTTCCTCATTCTTTACTGGATTATTTTTCTTTTTATTAACTAGTTGCAAGTTATTTATATATTCTAGATACAAGACTTTTGCTCCAGATCAACTTCCACAAATAAGCTTCAATGGCATTAATTATTAGAACTACACTAATTTTCTTTTGCTTGTTATTTAACTAGTACATATTTTCCTATCATTTCATTTTCAACCTTCTAAGTATAAAGTTTGTCTTATAAACAACAAATAGGATTGAAATAACACAATTTGATAATCAGTTATTGTGATTATCACACAATTAGATTTTTATCACTACAGTTTATGCTAATTTACCATGCTAACTACCCATGCTCCTTTTACCCAATTTTACAATCAGTTGTCCTTTCTAGTAATTCTTAAAAGCTTGAAATTCATATTTGACAAGTTTTCTAACAAAGTTTAAAGTTATGTGGTTTTTCTATCTTCCAGGCATATCCCTCATCCCAAGGCAGTATCACACTTTACTTACGTGGGACATAGCCATATCTTATACTTTTCTTTAGGGTAGTTAGAAAAATAAAAAAAAAATCTTATCCAGGCACTGGGACTCATGCTTGTAAACCTACCTACTCTTAGATCTGAGAATCTTGGTTCAAAGCCAGCCTGGACAGAAAAGCCTATGAGACTCTTATCTTCAATTAACCAGCAAAGAGCTAGAAGTGGAGTTGTGGCTCAAGTAGCACAGCGCTGCCTTAAGTGTAAAAAGCTAAGTGAGAGTGCTTCCTACTTTGAGCCACACCTCCACTCCTGGTTTGAGGGTAGTTAATTAAAGATAAGAGTCTCCTGGACTTTTCTACCTGGGCTGGCTTCAAACCTGGATCCTCTAATCTCAGCTTTCTGAGTAGCTAGGATTACAGGTGTGAGTTACCAGTGCCCAGCTTTGAAGTCCTCTTTAAGTTACACTATTTATGACATTCAATGGTCAAACAAAATAAAATTATATATAACTTACTTTGAATATTAACAGGTATGTTTATGGATACCAGTCACTCTGTTTAATTAGTAAGTATACTCCTTTTTCTGGATGCAGAAGTGGTATATCTCTCTGGCTACTGCACTAAGGCTCATGACCACCCCAGACTCTCAGTCCTAATCTAGTGAGGAAATAAAAGAAACTAGAAGGAATCTATTTTTGGAACTGATATTGGTAGCTAACTTCTAGTTTCTAAAAACAATTTCTCATGGTAGTATCCCTTATCTACTTCTGGTGTTGTTATTGGCAACTAGACCAGTGCCCAATAGCAAAAGCGAAGGTGTTTCACTACAGGCAGTTCTGCAGCAGGATTTACAGGCACTGATGGCCTTTTGAATCTCCCAGAGATTTAATCTTCAATGATGCTCATACTGGCTTCTTTGAAAAGATAGAGGAAAAAAACCTGTGAAACTATGTGGTATTTTCTTGATTTTTTTCCCTTAAATTAAACCTTGACAAATGCTATATCAAGCTACTTTATCACTGAGTTATATAGTCCCAGTCCAATTTTATTAATGATCAAATGAATAACTCATCTCTGTGAGTCTTACCTTTCCCCCAACCAAAGGCAAAATGTGCATCTTTCCTGTTTGACAGTCCTTTACTGAGGAAACAATAAGGCAGGTACCACAGAGAACAACTAGGCGTTCAGCCCACTTATGCAGCTGAGTCTTTCCTTTGCGTACATTATAGATACCAGACAGTAGGATTCGATCCAGATGATCCATCTGGCATGGTTTTTCTGAAAAGAAAACAGTACTTCAGAATATACCATTTAAAGTAGTATAGCACTGGAAGGGAAAAGGAGATTATTATGTGCCAGCATTTGGCAATCTTATTTATAGATATAAGTAACCAAGCAATATGGATTTTACAAAGTAAGATCTCAGTTCCAAAACAACACTCCCCACTCACATAGTGGAAATACTGTGACTTTTGATGTACAGATCAACACTTCATTTCAGATGTAACTATTAACCCTTCTTCATATAGCCATCTCTCATGCAGAGAAAAGCAGTATGGCAGAGAAGATCATGAAATTTGAAGTTAGACACAGCTGAATTTGAATACTAGTTCTGACACTTATTTTTTGCCCTTAAACTATCTATCTTACGATTTTCCTTTCTTTACTTACAAAATTTGCATTCCATTACTGCATCATGATTTGGAGTTTAGGTTTGATTTTGATTTTGATTTTTTTGTCTCTCATGGAGCTTGAACTCAAGGCCTAGGTGCTGTCCCTGAGCTCTTTCACAAAGGCTAGTGCTCTACCACTTGGAACCACAGTACCATTTCCAGTTTTCTGGTGGTTAATTGGAGATAAGAGTCTCATGGATTTTCCTGCCCAAGCTGGCTTTCAACTGTGATCCTCAGATCTCAATCTCCTGAGTAGCTAGAATTACAGGCATGAGCCATCAGTGCCTGGCAGTTTAGAGATTATTAACCCACTACCCTCATGTAGTTCTTTTAAAAATAATGTGCATGGGGCTGGGAAGGTGGCTCAGTGGTAGAGCACTTGCCTTGCATGCCGGAGGCCCTGAGTTCGATTCCTCAGCACCACATAAGTAAAAAAAAGAAAAAAGCTGGAAGTGGCGCTGTGGCTCAAGTGGTAGAGTGCTAGCCTTGAGCTGAAGAGCTGAGGGACGGCGCCCAGGCCCAGAGTTCAGGCCCCACGACCGGACCCAAAATAATAATAATTAAAAATAATGTGCAGTAGTAGGCAGTTTTATGTACAAAGCATGGAATCAATGACAGCCATTAATGATATTAGTCTATTTCAGAAAGAAGAAAGGAAAAACTAATGGAGTTCTCTCCCTTTGTACAAAATTCTCTATCTCAATTCCTCATGAGGAAAAGTTTATGGGTGATATTTGAATGAAGTGCTCCTATCACAGTGGTGGGAAACTGACACATTAGTGTACAAGCTTCTCTTTAAGCACTCTCCCTATCATCAGAAGTCATATGACTGGGACACAGTAAAAAAGACATTGCTACAGATAGAGATACAAGTTCTTGGTAAAAGTACTTCCAGAAACAGACAAGTACCATTCACAAAATGAAAGGAGCAGCAGGAATATGAGATATTGCAAACAGTAAACTGAGTTGAAAAACCAGAGTACATTGTAGATATTCACACAGGATTGATAGTGTAATATCCACATCACTTTGCCCACTTAGCTAGGTGTTTCCCTAATGTAATATACAGAAATGACTGAGACTACTTCAAAACCTCAAAATTATATTACTTAATAAAATCCCATATGTCAACATCAGACTTATTAGATGACATTTCTCCTCATATTGTAAGCAATCCTTCTACTTATATTCTAAAGTCTACCTTTCTTTTTTTTTTGTTTTTTTTTTTTTGGGGGGGGTCCGGTCGTGGGGCCTGAACTCTGGGCCTGGGCCCTGTCTCTCAGCTCTTCAGCTCAAGGCTAGCACTCTACCACTTGAGCCACAGCACCACTTCCAGCTTTTTTTTTCTGCTTATGTGGTGCTGAGGAATCGAACCCAGGGCCTCATGTATGCAAGGCAAGTGCTCTACCACTGAGCCACCGTCCCAGCCCATTTCCAGCTTTTTCTGCTCATGTGGTGCTAAGGAATTGAACCCAGGGCCTCATACATACTGAGCCACCTTCCCAGCCCCAAAGCTATTTACTTCTAAGAGAATACTTCAAAAATATTTTGCCTCTAGATTCAGAATTTGAGCAAGATAAGAGGGAAGCATACCTTTTTGTGATGGTGTTTAATGTGTCCACACATTTTCTGATACTCCTCCCTTGAAAGGTTAGAGTCTAGTTACCATTCCTCTCTCTCACTAAGACATCTATGTGTGTGTTGGGGGAAGAGGGATTTCCAATCCCTGGGGATAGCTAGCTGCCCTGCAGCCCTATGGAAATGTATGAAGTGCAGAATGCAAACCTTGACCAAAAAAAGCTCAGGGACAGTGCCCAGACCCCAAGTTCAAGCTCCAGGACTGGCACTAAATAAACTAATGAACTAAGTCAATAATTTAGGAAATAAGAACAAGGAATCTTAACACATGGTTATGCCTACATATGTCAATATTTTAATCCTTTAGTAAGTGTGTCATATTAATTTAAAACTATAAGGTGTCAAATAGTACTGTCTTACTAGGTCTATGACATTAAGCACAATTTGGAAAGCTGAAGGAGCCAGGCACCAGTGGCTCACACCTGGAATCCTGGCTACTCAGGAACCTGAGATTGAAGATCACCAGAAAGAGCAGAAAAGTTCCTTTGAGACTCTTACCTCCAAAAAAGCCAGAAGTGACTCTGTGGCTCAAGTAGAAAGATAGTCTTGAGTACAAACAGGCTTAGGGACAGCACCTAGGCTCTGAGTTCAAGCCTCAGGACAGGGAAAAAACTTGAAGGAAGGTCTGGGGACATAGTTCCACAAGTAAAGCACCTGCCTAGCAAGAGTACAAAGCCCTGTTTAAAACTCAGAATTTCAAGCCCAGAATTTCAAGGAAAAAAACCTGAGGGTAGATGGAAACATAAGTAATCAACTTAAAAGTAGTGAAGATATTCACAAAGCCATTGATAAATGCTTACCACCATAAAATCGAATCATACAGCTGAGGTCAGGATTTGTAGCCTCCTCCTGTATGCGCACAGGATCATCAAATCCCAGCCTAGATAAGTAGTCATAAACAATCTGAAGAGGTCGCTCAGTAGGTTCCAGTTTCCTGCTTCCACAATTCAAAAGAAAAAATATATAATAAAATTGCTTTTAATTTCATATATCTTTCAATAAATATACTCTTAGTTTTTATTTCAAAATAAAGATCTTCTCCAATACCATATTATACAACTACCAAACAAGTCATTTTCAAACTTTGGGATCTCAGGTTCTCTTTATATTCATTAAGAAAATTGAACTGGGACTATATAACTCAGTGATAAGCTAGCTTAATATAGTATTTCTCAAGGCGTAATCCCCATGAAGTGGCGCTGTGGTTCAAGCTGCAGAGCGCTCGCCTTGAGCTGAAGAGTGCAGGGACAGCACCCAAGCCCAGAGTTTAAGCTCCATGACTGACCAAAAAAAAAAAAAAAAGGCTTAATCCCCAGCACAGAAAATAAAATGAGGTTCAGAGAGTCTTATGAGTAGTACTCAATGACATCAGGGTTTAAACTAGTGTTTGTATCATTACAAAATCAATCTTTTAGTCAAACAACATTAACTTTTATTGCTGAAATAATTCATTCAGAAGAGAGCTCAGAGCATTACACACACACACACACCTCATACCATGGAACCTAAAAAGTCATGTTTCTAGATTACTATATTCCATCACATATAATACACCATCATTCAAAAGAAACACTTTTTTTTTTTTTGGTTGGTCATGGGGTTTGAACTCGGGGCATGGGCACTGTCCCTCAGCTCTTTTGCTCAAGGTGAGTGCTCTACCACTTGAGCCACAGTGCTACTTCTGGTTTTTGAGTGGTTTTGAGCCACTAGGACCTGGCAGAAACAACATTTTTTATGCACCACTGTTGTATAATAAAAAGTATAACTGGACTTTGTCCCTGGCTCCTGGGAAATAAAACTCTAAATGCTAAATAGAAATATCTTTGTTATTCAAAGACCCACCCCCTGAATTTATACTAAGAGACAAGGTGATGTAGGCTGAGACCTAGACACCAGAAAGACCACCATCAGCAAGAATTTTGGACCAGCCTGACTTGGGTGGGTGAGACATGGGACACACCTGGGCTCAATCACATGGGCAATAATTCAACTAGCCTTTGTAATAGAATTCCAATTTAAAGCTCTATATTAACTAGATATTGGTGGTTCACTCTTGTAATCCTAGTTACTCAGGAGGCTGAGAACTGAGGATCACAGTTTGAAGCCAGCCCAGGCAGTGAAGTCCAGGAGACTCTTATCTCGAATAAACTACTCAGAAAAAGCCAGAAGTGGCACTGTGGTTCAAATGGTAAACTGCTATCCTTGAGCAAAGAGGCTCAGGGACAGAGCCCAGGTCCTGAGTTCAAGCCCAAGTAGCAGCCTGCATGTGCACATTGGCGCGCCCACACGCACGCACACACACACACAATTCTGTAAAAACTCAATGGGCCTGGGCACTGTCCCTCAGCTCTTCAGCTCAAGGAGAGCGCTCTATCACACCACAGCACCACTTCTGGTTTTCAGGAGGTTTATTGGAGATAAGAGTCTCACAGACTTTCCTGCCTGGGCTGACTTTGAACCTTGATCTCAGCCTCCTGAGTAGCTAGGATTACATGTGTGAGCCACCAGCGCCTGCCTATTTTATTTTTTAATAGGGTCTTTCACTTTTGTCCAGGGCCAGTTTGGGACTATGATCCTTTTATTTGTGCATCCTGCCAAGCTAAGATCCCAGGCTCAAACCATTTTGCCCAGTTGGATGAGATGAGAGGGATCATGGATGAGATGGAGTCATGATTATTACTCCAGCTGACCTCAAATCATGATCCTCCTGATCTCTGGCTTTAAAGTAGCTGGAATCATACCTATGCACAGTGGCTAAAAAAAGTGGGTTTTTTTATGTTAATTTTAAGAAGTCACTAAGCAAGTTAATGACGGAAAGATTAGAACTCAGGATCGAATTCCCACAAGTGTTCTTTTACAAACACCTTATTAGTTCTCACTTTATCTTAAAAGATGGCTATCAAACACTCAGAAATCTTAGTCATTTTGATGACTAATAGCAGATACATGACCATGAGTCAAAGGGCAATTCATTTTATAACATATGATCTAGTTACACCCCTATGTCATTCGTCACAGAAATAAACAAATCAATTAAAAGACTCATATGGAAGCACAAAAGGCTCCATATAGCAAAAGTAATCCTGACCAAAAAGTGCAATGTTAGAGGTATCACAATGTTGTATTTCAATTATATTACAGAGCACAGTAACAAAAACATCCTGATACTGACACAAAAACAGATATAAAGACCAAAGGGACAGAATAGGAGACCAAGAAAGACAATCTATCACACAGTTGCTACCATCTAATTTTTTACCAAAAACATACATAAGAGAAAAATAGGAGGATATAAAGTTTAATACATGATAAAAGCCCAAATGTGTAATTATTAAGTGTATGTGTGAAAGATCTGGAGAAAAGAAAATCTTCAAGGATGGGTGCCATCATCATCTGGTGCCATCACGCCAACCAATGCCTAACTTTAACTCTTAGGTTGATGTTTAACCCTCTTAACCTCACTTTCCACATCTATAAAATAGAGATAGCTTACCTCACAAGATTATTGATATTTGGATAGTTTCTTTTTATATCTTTTCATTTTCCAAAATTTCTTCAATGAATACTTTATACTTCAAGTAATCAGCAAAAAAAGGTTCTCAAAATGATAATGCCTAGAGGGCCAACTACCTTATAAAAAGCTATTCTAAAGAAAGTACTTACTCCTCTGATTAGATAACCAGAGGCTGAACTCCAGCAATTAACAGCTGAGCAAAAGATCTAAAGAAGATATGGAAATAGTCATAAATTAGCTATAAAACCGAGTAAGAAGACTGATCTGCCAGCTCTTTTCCTGCAGAGCCTTTACTCAAAAGGAAGGAAAAAGTTCTGCCTTGAATGTTAAGCATTCCAACTGCCTCACAGTACCTGCCTGATCTTGAGCAGATTTCTGGACCTCTAGCAAAGCCTGTCTTCCTTATCTGAAAGGAATGAAGCTACCTCCTTTGTAGTTCTTACAGAAGTTAAAGATGAAAATGGACATATAACACTAAGCACACTGGCTAGATAGAACGAGAAATCACTCATTTTAGTTGGAACCTATCACCATCCTCCTTAGTATTTAGTTAACATAAGATCCTCCTGTAACAACTAAAACGTACACATTCTGTCAAACCACAGTTGGATGTTTCCATTATTTTTAGTCAATTATGTCTTCAAAGAACTATTTCATTATAAATTATCAAGGATACAGGGGTAAAAACAAACAGACTTTCCAATTTAAGTGTAGATTAGATTCTCATGATAAACTATTTCACATCTGAATTCTTAGCTAATTGCACTAGTAAGAGCACAACAATTCCAGGGGGAGTTTCACCAGCACGTCTAAGATCTTTGTACATGCACACATTAGTAAACAAATGAGTAAGTCATGTGCTTAAATACGTGAATGCAATCAATCACTACTAGCTACAATCTAGGTCAAGGCTTTCCACTTGATAAAATTAGATCAGAATCAGTGTTAAGATTTAGAAAAGCCTAAGGATCACTCAGTCTGATCCTTTTATTGAACAAATGGATTTAGGAAATGTAGAGAACAAGGAAAACATTCAAATGCTAATCTACTTTTTTAGGATTTAGTCAAAATTCAAAAAGAATACACAGGAAACCTCAGTAATTTTCAGCTCAGCAAAAGGTGTTACTATCATTACCACACTTTCAAGGTGTAAGTGGGAGCTTCACTTCTCACTTAACAGGATTGAATTTACAGCTCTGAATTCTGTTGCAAGACATTTCATTATTATAGTAAACAGGCAGAACAAAAAATAATGGTTAGTCATTTAAAAAGCTCTTATTTGGCATCTAATTCAAATAACCAATATTTTTCTTGTACCAGTCCTGGGGCTTGAACTCAGAGCCTGGGAGCTGTTCCTGAGCTTTTTTTTTTTTTTTTTTTTTGGTCGGTCGTGGGGCTTGAACTCTGGGCCTGGGCGTTGTCCCTCAGCTCTTCAGCTCAAGGCGAGCGCTCTACCACTTGAGCTACAGTGCCACTTCCGGTTTTCTGGTGGTTTATTGGAGATAGGAGTCTCACGGTCTCTCCTGCCCGGGCTGGCTTTGAACCGCGATCCTCAGATCTCAGCCTCCTGAGTAGCTAGGATTACAGGCATGAGCCACCAGCACCCGGCCTGTTCCTGAGCTTTTGTGTTCAAGGCTACCACTCTATCACTTGAGCCACAGCTCCTCTGCTGGCTTTTTGGTGATTAATTGGAGATAAGAATCCTCCCCACCCCCCCAAAAAAAAGAATCCCACAGGCTTTCCTGTCCAGCCTGGCTTTGAACCATGATCCTAAGATCTCCTCAGTAGATGGATTCAAGAGTAAATATTTCCTCATTTAATAAGATATTGGCTACAGGTTTGTCATGTATACCCTTTAATTTGTTGTGATACATTCCTTCTGTTCCTAGTTACTTCAGATTTTTTATCATAAAAGGATCTTGAATTTTTTTTATTTTTTAAAATTTTTTTTTTGTCGATCATCAGGCTTGAACTCTGTTGGGCGCTGTCCCTGCGCTCTTCCCCTCTAGGCGAGAGCTCTACTGCTTGAGCCACAGTGCCACTTCTGGTTTTCTCCTGGTTTATTGGAGATAAGAGTCTCAGGAAGTTTCCTGCCTGGGCTGGCTTTGAACCAAGATCCTCAGATTTCAGCCTCCTGAATAGCTAGGATTACAGGAGTGAGCCACGGGTGCCGGGCTAGGATCTTGAATTTTAAAGTTGAATCAAAAAGTTCTTTTGCATCATGAGACAACTATGAGATTTTCTTCATGCTTATATATTAAAACTTTAAAAATGAATGGCTTTTAAGCCTATGGAAACATGCTCAACTTCACTCATCAAAAAAAGTTAAAGGGCCAGGTGCCGGTGGCTCACGCCTGTAATCCTGTCTACTCAGGAGGCTGAGATCTGAGGATCTCGGTTCAAAGCCAGCCCAGGCAGGAAAGCCCGTAAGACTCTTATCTCCAATAAACCACCAGAAAACCGGAAGTGAGCTGTGGCTCAAGCGGTAGAGCACTCGCCTTGAGTGGAAGAGCGCAGGGACAGCGCCCAGGCCCAGAGCTCAAGCCCCGTGACCTACCAAAAAAAAAAAAAGGTTAAAGGGCTGGGAAGGTTGCTCAGTGGTAGAGTGCTTGCCTTGAATGCATGAGGCCCTGGGTTCAATTCCTCAGCACCATATAAGCAGAAAAAGCCAGAAGTGGTGCTGTGGCTGAAGTGGTAGAGTGCTAGCCTTGAGCTAAAGAGCTGAAGGACATCACTCAGGCCCAGAGTTCAAGCCCCACAACTGACAAAAACAAAAACAAAAAACATTAAAAAAACCAAACAGAAAAATGATTATCTTTAGAACACTGACTCTAGGGATCTCTAATGTTAAAACTGTCAGCAGGGGCTGAAGGTTTAGTTCAGTAGTAAAGCACCTGTCTAGCATAAATAAAGAAATCAATAACATAAAAATTGCCAATGATCACTGCTATTTACAAGCAGAATGTGCTCAAGCATGAATTTATTTATTTATTTATAAAATGTAATGCTTAAAATGTTTTGGAGAGGGCTGGGAAGGTGGCTCAGTGTTAAGAGTGCTTGCCTTGCATGCATGAGACCCTGGGTTGGATACCTCAGCACCACATAAGCAGAAAAATCCAGAAGTGGCACTGTGGCTCAAGTGGTAGAGAGCTAGCCTTGAGCTGAAGAGCTGAGGGACAGCGCCCAGGCCCAAAGTTCAGGCCTCACAACCGGCCAAAAAAACAAAAGTTTTGGAAAAAGTAAGGGAAAATGTGTACACTGTTATATTTTGAATGGAACTATAAATCTGCAGGGGGCAAACTTACAATAGCATAACCTTTGACATTTTGGCACTTTCACTTCTGGAAGTTTATGTTACACATAGACTCCCACATATAAGGGCTATCACAGGTATAAGGACATTCACTGTAGCAGTGTTGGTACTAGCTAAAATTTGGTAATGAAAAACTGGAAAAGAGGGAAGGAGAGACATTGTCCAAAAAGAAATGTACTCATTACCTGACTCTGTTCTTTTGTTTTTTTGGGTCCGGTTGTGGGGCCTGAACTCTGGGCCTGGGCGCTGTCCCTCAGCTCTTCAGCTCAAGGCTAGCACTCTACCACTTGAGCCACATCGCCACTTCCGGCTTTTTTTCTTTTTGGTTATGTGGTGCTGAGGAATCAAACCCAGGGCCTCAAGCATGCAAGGCAAGTGCTCTACCACTGAGCCACCTTCCCAGCCCTCATTACCTGACTTATATGACTGTAACCCCTCTATACATCATCTTTGTAATAACAGTTAAAAAAGAAACAAAAAAATTTAGTAACAGGTTGAATGCTTGTAATAAGAGATTGGCTACAATTATGGTAGACTGATAAAATGAAATATTATAGGCATTTAACAAATGACAAATATAAAAATATTAATATAGAAAAAATAAGAGCTTTAGATCAACAATTTGTTTTTGTTTTTTTTTTTTTGGTCGGCCATGAGGCTTGAACTCTGGGCCTGGGCACTGTCCCTCAGCTCTTCAGCTCAAGGCGAGTGCTCTACCACTTGAGCTACAGCGCCACTTCCAGTTTTTCTGGTGGTTATTGGAGATAGGAGTCTCACTGTCTCTTCTGCCCGGGCTGGCTTTGAACCACGATCCTCAGATCTCAGCCTCCTGAGTAGCTAGGATTACAGGCGTGAGCCACCGGTGCACGGCTAGATCAACAATTTGTTATATATAACATTGTTACTTTTTAATTTCACATACAGAAACAGACTTCAACATGAGCAAAGATATGCTTCATAGCACAGACTATACCCACCTTGCATAAGAAACTGGTAATAAGTCCCTTTTTAAAAAGGTCTGGGTTCACCAGTGGCTCAAGCCTGTAATCCTAGCTATTCAAAAGGCTGAGATCTGAGGATCACAGTTCAAAGCCAGCTTGGCAAGAAAAGTCTGCGAGATGCTTATCTCCAATAAACTACTCAGAAAATGTTGGAAGCGGCTCTGTGGCTCAGGTGGTAAAGTTCTAGCCTTGAGCAAAAGAAGCTCAGGGACAGCACCCAGGCCCAGAGTTTAAGCCCCAGGACTGGCCAAAAAGAAATGTCTATGTAGCTGAGGAGTAGGCAACACATAAGGTTCTGCTTCTTACTCTATATCCTTTAGTACATCTCAATCTCATTCTATTTACACTTATCCAAAAAAAACAACCTTTAAAAACTTTTTAAGTTTAAATACCTAACCTATGATGTATTCCAAATAAAATAACAAATTCTCTTCATAACAAATTTTCAATTTAAGAGTCATAAAATCAACATTTCAAGAGAAATTTTTTCTCATCTAGTGACTCTGTAATCAACATCAGTTTCCATATGATTAAAAACTTAAAATCTACCTGGGCTCCAGTAGCTCACTCCTGTAATCCTATCTACTCAGAAAGCTGAGATCTGAGGATCACAGTTCAAAGCCAGCCTGGGCTGGAATGTCCATGAAACTCTTATCTTCAATCAACCACCAGAAAAGCAGAAGTGGCACTGTGGATCAAGTGGTAAAGCACTAGCCTTGAGCTGAAGAGCTCAGGGACAGCACCCAGGCCCAGAGTTTAAGACCCATGACCGACAAAAAAAAAAAAAACCTTAAAATTTATTTCCAAGCAGAATGTATGTTACTGACAGTGAAGCAGATTTAGCATGGTAAAATTCAAACCTTAGCTGGGCATGCTGGCACACATCTATAATCCTACGACTTGGGAAACTGAATAAGAGGCCAGTCTGGAATATAGAGAGAGACTCCATTTCAAAAGAAAAAAAAGGAAAAATCCATCCCAAAACTTACCTAACCAGGTCTCCGTGAAGCTGTAAGTAAAGACTTTCTCTTCCTTCTCCAGCACATATTTCTGATGCTGGTGTCTCTACTGTGCAAAGGACAAGATGTAAGTCTGAGGAGAAAGAGGAAGAAGAGGAAGTAGAGGAGGAAGAGGTGGTAGTAGTTGCGGTGGCAGTGGTGGTATCTGCTCCATAAAGGTAAACACAGCCTCTCTTCACATCTTCTTTCAGCCAGTCTCTTTCTCGAGAACCAAACCTACTTCTTCTATTTAAACAATTTCTGCTCCCATTACGTTTCATATTTCTCTACAAAAAATACCAAGAGAAAGAAATAATTAGAATGTTTCATCCCACCTCTACATTTTATATTCACCACCTCTGCCCAAACATTCCTCCTCCTGCCACCAGATCTCCTATGTTTGCCATTCTCATTCTCAGCCCAGATAGCTTTCTTTACTGTTCATACCTCTAGTCATCATCAACTCTGATCCTCTTTTTTTCTGTTTTCAGAACAGTGTCAGGAGCAACAAAAGACTTACATACCTATTACCCAACTTGTAGGATTTTTTTCAGTATTTTCCCTATTTAGTTCAGATCATTATTCCAAAGAACATTCTCTATGTTTGTGTAATTCCTACATTTACAGCCAAGGCTACCTGGTACCACACCAAAATCTCCACTTCCTCTCTCTCCAGGAAAACAACATAGTACTGTACTTGGTATTTAGTATTTTGTGGATTTTTTTTATGTTTGCCATATATGTATACCATAAATAAATGTGTGTATGTGTGCATGGGCGCACTTGTACCCAGGGCCTGGGTGTTGTCCCTTAGCTTTTTTGCTCAAGGCTAGCATGCTGCCACTTGAGCCATACCTCCAGTTTCAGTTTTATGCTAGGAAATTGGAAATAAAGAGTTTCATGAGCATTTCTGCCCAGCTGGCTTCAAACCATGATCCTCAGATCTCAACCTCCTGACTAGTGCCCAGCACATAAAGTCTTTACAATAGCATTTTACCTCTTTTAAAACTTTATCTAAACCTTAACATTGGCTTAGAAATATATGTAAATAGAGCAGCTCACCCATACGAACACACCACAACTTAGCCACTCTCCCATTGATGACAGCTAGTTTGTTTCCAATGCTTCATTGATAGAAACAGCCCTTCAATAAAAACGCTGTGTTTTCATACAAATTTGTAAGTTTTCCTAAGGTCTTAACCTTTTACCTCATAGTCCAAATAAGCAGATACAGTGTTGATGCAATATTGCCCAAATATTCTTTCTATTCCTAGTATGTCTCAAAAATTACTTTTCCACTTTATATCCAAGGTTATGTGAAGTTCAGATACATATTGTGAAGTAAAGCAATCTCAAAGTAAAAACAACTGCTTTAATATATTAACTTTTTAGCCCAGTGAGCAAAGTGATGCATGCCTCTAATGCTACCACTTGAACCACAGCGCCACTTCCGGTTTCCTAGTGATTTATTGGAGATCAGAGTCTCACGGACTTTCCTGCCCAGACTGGCTTTGAACCACGATCCTCAGATCTCAGCCTCCTGAGTAGCTAGTATTACAGGCATGAGCACAAACTAAGCAACAGTGGCTCATGCCTGTATTTCTAGCCATCAGGAAGCTGAGATCTGATGATCACAGTTCAAAGCCAGCCCGGGGCAGGAAAGTCCCATGAGACTCTTATCCCCCTCATTATTTCAAGGTGTACTTATCGAGGCTTCATTGTATTGCAGGTTTAAAAAAAGAAAAAAAGTAAATAGTTACCCCTCAGGCTGGGAAGGCGGCTCAGTGGTAGAGCGCTCGCCTTGCATGCCTGAGGCCCTGGGTTCGATTCCTCAGCACCACATAAGCAGAAAAAAAAAAAGCCGCAAGTGATGCTATGGTTCAAGTGATAGTGCGCTAGCCTTGAGCTGAAGAGCTGAGGAACAGCACCCAGGCCCAGAGTTCAGGCCCCACAACCAGACCCAAAAAAAAAAAAGAAAAAAAAAATAGTTACCCCTCACCTATTGTGGGAGTTACATTCCCCGCCATAAGTGAAAATCTGCCAAGTAGCAGGGGACAACTATCTAAAGCTGCTCTTGGAAGTGGGGCTGTGGCTCAGGGTAAAGTACTAACCTTGAGCAAAAGAGGCTCAAGGACAGCACCCAGGCCCTGAGTTCAAGCCCCAGGACTGGCAAGAGAGAAGAAAGGGAAGGGAAAGGGAAGGGAAAGGGAAAGGGAAAGAGAAGGGAAGAGAACTCAAGGGCCATCATATTATACCACTAAGTCATTTGTGTGTGTCTGTGTATATGCTGGTCTTGGGCTTGAACTTGAAGACTGGCTGCTGTCCCTGATCTTTTTTGTTCAAAACTAGCACTCTACCACTTGAACCACAGCTCTATTTCCAGCTTTTTGGTGATTAACTTAAGAATCTCATAGGCTTTCCTGCCTGGGATGCTTTGAACCATGATCCTCAGATCTCAGCCTTCTGAGCAGCTAGGATTACAGGTGTGAGCCATCCATGCCCAGCTCCACTAAGTAATGTTTAACCATTAAATAGTTAATCACTGTCTATTTCTGAATAGCTCTCATTTTTCAATCTTTTAGAAAGATTAACTGGTTCATCTGACCAGTATTCTATATGGTAATCTTTATTCTAAAACAAAAAAAAGAGCTCCCTATTCTGTATTCCGTGGAGAAAAAACACTAAGCAGACATTATTCCACCCAACCACCAAAGTATGTCTTGAAAACAAACTTTCTCCAGTCCACTAATAGTCTGCTGACCTTCACAATTAAAAAAAAAGTCAAAAGACCTCATTAATTCATATTTGATTTTTTTCCTTCAGTGAGAACTTTTAACAAGTCCTTTGTAAATGTACATACATACTCATTTAAGACTATAAATTCCTTAAGAAATTTCACACTATGAAAACATATGTTGTTGGTTTTCAGTTACCTCAAGATAGGCTCTACCCTATGGAGAAAAACTGCTGAGCTATCACCTTAGTAGATTCTGTTCTCCAGAACCTTATTAATGGACATTTTTAAGATCTGGAGAATAAACAAAGCAAAGCAACAATCTGCATAGGCTGTTCAGCTATTATTAGCCACTGCTGAATTACTTAGTTCTTCCTTCTTCTCAGGAATGTCTTGCTCTACTGCCCAACACATCAGGTAACTATTAGAAAGGTCTGCAGCCAGTACTGCAGATGACAGTCCTCTGAACTGCTTTCTGTTTCTAGAATTTGTATTCCACATGGAGCTGCTAGATTGAGGGCCACTTTATTTTCTTCTTACTCTTATGTAAAAGCTGTTATCACAAACTTATCTAAAAGGGAATACAACTTTAATTATATCATATTAAACAAACAAAGAGAACATTTATTATTTAAAGATCTTTCTAGAGAGCAAAACTTTTTAGAGTAAGCCATAAAGAATATACTACTAGTTTTACGTGTGTGTGTGTGTGTGTGTGTGTGTGTGTGTGTGTATGCCAGTCCTAGGACTTGAACCCAGGGCCTGAGAGCTGCCCTTGAGCTTTTTTTGCTCAAGGCCAATACTCTTACCACTTGAGCCACAGTTCCATTTCTAGCTTTATGGTTGTCAATTGAATTTAAGAGTCTCACAGACTTTCTGGCTCCTGGCTTCGAACCACAATCCTCAGATCTCAGCCTCTTGAGTTGCTAGGGTTATAAGCATGAGTCACTCACACTCTGCTCAGTTTTTTGTTTTTTGTTTGGTCAGTTGTGGGGCTTGAATTCTAGGCCTGGGCCTGTCCCTCAGCTCTTCAGCTCAGGGTGAGCGCTCTACCACTTGAGCCACAGCACCACTTCCAGTTTTCTGGTGGTTAATTGGAGATAAGAGTCTCAGGGACTTTCCTGCCCAGGCTGGCTTTGAACCATGATCCTCAGATCTCAGTCTCCTGAGAAACTAAGATCACAGGTGTGAGCCATAACCGCCATGCTCAGTTTTATTTTTAACTCTTAAAATTACAGACAAGGTGTCAGATGTGAGTGACTCAAGACTGTAATTCTAGCTACTTAGGAGGCTGAGATCTGAGACTCTGCCAGCCCAGACAGAAAAGTCTGTGAGACTCTTATCTCCAACAAACTACTCAGAAAAATACAGTAGTGAAACTGTGGTTCAAGTGGTAGAGCACTAGCCTTGAGCACAAAGAGACTCAGGAACAGGGCCCAAGCCCAGAGTTCAGGCCCACAACAGACAAAAAAACAAAAAAAGTTCCGTCGCATTCAATGATTAGTTATAACTTTATATCTGCTACAGATTAAGCAAAAATTTTTAAAAGGGTTGTAACCTCAAAGCTATGGAAATATCTGAAGAAACTACCAACTTACATTTCAGCACTTTGCTAAATAAATTTTGGAAGTTTTCTTTTTATTTTGGCAGCACTGGTGATTGAACTTACAAGGAGTTAGGCACTACAAACTTAAGCCACCCTTCCAGTCCATTTTTACTTTAGTCATTTTTTATTATGCTTAGGCTGCTTGGGCTGTGATTCTTCTATTTGTTCATCTTGCTGTTGGTGGGGATGATAGGCACATGCCACAGGGCCCAGCCAATGTGCTTCCTCTGAAACAAGGATAATTCATGTGTACACTATGCCCAGTCTATGGTTGAGATGGAATCTCACAGACTTTTTTTTCCATCCCAGTCCTGGAGCTTGAACTCAGGGCCTGGGCACTGTCCTTCAGCCTTTATGTGCTCAAGGCTAGCGCTTTACCACTTGAGCCACAGCCCCACTCTGGCCTTATTTGGTACTGAGAAATTGAACCCAGGGTTTCATGCATGCTAGGCAAGCACTCTACCACTAAGCCACATTCCCAGCCCCTCACAGACTTTTATGCCTGAACTGGCTTTCTGAATAGCCATCTTTTCATCTCTGCTAAGGATTATGGGCTTGAGCCACTGTACTGTGCTGGGAATTTGTTTTAAAACAGTTTCGCCATGTTACCCAGGCTGGATTTGAACTCCTGAGCCTCCTTTGTCAGCCTCCTGAGAAGCTGGAACTACAGTTATATGCCATCACACTAAGCTGAGGGCCATATTTTGAGTAAAAAATTTCAATACCCCATATAAACAAACCTTGATCTAGTCTGTCTAAATTATACTGGCTTAATTATATTGGGCTTTTTTATGAAGATCTTTATCATTTCATGGTAATGGTGTAGCTGGGCGCCGGTGGCTCACACCTGTAATCCTAGCTACTCAGGAGGCTGAGATCTGAAGATCGCGGTTCAAAGCCAGCCCCAGCAGGAAAGTCCAGCCCCAGCAGGAAAGTCCATGAAACTCTTATCTCCAATAAACCACCAGAAAACTGGAAGTGGCGGTGTAGCTCAAGTGGTAGAGCGCTAGCCTTTAGCTGAAGAACTGAGGGACAGCTCTCAGGCCCAGAGTTCAAGCCCCACAATCGACAAAAAATAAATAAATAAATAAAAGTAATGGTGTTTGTGATGGGTTAATATATATAAATAGTTATATTTTAAAAAAAGGCTTTTCTGGTGCTAAGGACTAAAACTAGAACCTTGTACATGCTAAGCATGAGCTCTACTACTGAGCTACACTCAGCCCAGAGCTACACCCTTATTTTTTGGAAAAATCTCCTACCCCTACTCCCAACTGTCTTAAGAGAAAAATGTATGAACAATTCTGACTATTCTTTCCAGTTCAGAAAGTTTTCTACTCATTTATGTATTCTTTTCCAGTTCTGCTTTACACAAAGTCAACCACTGAGCTAGTTAAGAGAACATCTCTACAAGGAGCACACAAAACTTATTCTCCAGGAGCATTCCATATACTTTCCAGGATTTAAGTGTTAACACCATGCAGTAAAACAAAAGCTGAAAGGCCTTAGAGACAGCTTGTCACATCAGGACTTAGTACTAGAATCAAAATAAATCACAAGAAATTTTCTAATGGTTCCAAAATTGGAACCTCAGGGAACCAGAAGAAGATTATCTTCAGTAAAGGCTATCATCTGTTTCTTCTCTTTCACAAATCACTACCTCACCACACAAAAACAACACACACATACACACACACACACACACACACATTTATTTTTAAAAAGTCCAGAGCCAGGTACTGGAAGCTTATACCTGTAATCCTAGCTGCTCAGGAGGCTGAGATCTGAGAATGGTGATTCAAAGCCAGCTTAGGAAAGGAAGTCTATAAGACTCTTATCTCCAACTAACCACCAGAAAACAGGAAGTGGCGCTGTGGCTCAAAGTGGTAAAATGCTAATCTTGAGCAAAATGAGCTCAGGGATAGTGCCCAGGCCCTAAGTTCAAGCCCCATTACTGACACACTGCTGGGTTGTGGACTTAGGGTTTTGTGCATATTAGGCAAATGCTGTATGTTTCCAGAATGACTTTCTTCATATCGCATATCCAAAAGATCTGGAGTAATTATATTCCAAAATATGATTAATCAAATTTCAAAAGACCGGTATTAGGGTTTATAAAGAGGTCTGAGACAAACTCTGAAAAGTTAAATTTAAGTCACTGCAGTAAGACTGGAAGGTAACAGAAAACATTGTTTTACATTCCACAGAGTACTGGTTTATGCTGTTTCATGGATTTATGAATCCATCAAATCTACCTTATTTTTAATGTTGCCATCTTTATGACGTCCTACCAATAATCTTAATAACAAGAAAATATTACTCAACAACAATCTCCGCCACTATCAGGTACATATTCAACATCATACATTTTTACTGTTTTGTAAAACTACTTCTAAAACATATCAAATCTCATTTTTATTCCCTCTCTTCCTTCACAAGTTTTAAAATCCTGCCCACTCGTCTTCCAGAAGTCTAAAGGAATTCCATTTCACCTCAGGAAGGACACCTAGTTTACATATTTGATCGTGGGGGGGGGGGGGGGAGCCGGGGGCGGAGAAACTATCTGAAAGGCTAGAATTCCACCCACAAGCCCTCCCCTTAACCATCATGCCAATCCCCAGCCCATCTTCTGCATTCCTTCTGCATTTAAAACTTCTTGTCATCACCTTTTAGGCTCCACTCCCCCCCTTGTCTGCATCTGTTTTCAAATCCTCCCACTCCCCCAATTCGTGCCAAAAAGCCCCGCTAAGCTGCCTGTTGCATAACGGCTCCCCCATTACCGTCTCCCCGGATTGAGGGCCCGCATGCCCCTTTCGGCCCAGCCCCTCCTCCCCGCTGCCACGGGCCCAGCGAGTCCCCGGGAAGCAGCTCCTCCCGGGATTCTCCCCTCCAGGCGGGGCGTCGGGTGGCAACTTGGGTAGTAGAGCCCGAGGGCAGAGCGCGCCCGCTCGGGCCGGCGCAGCCCGCGCGCACCGCGGCGCCGGGCCAATCACCGCCGCCATCCTCCCGCTGGGGTGATGTCTTCAGGTGTCCGGGGACAGCCCTGCGTACTTGAAGCCCGGCTCCCACCCGTCAGGAGAGGCCGGCCGCGGCCCCCCCCCCCCCACGCCAGGGCCGGTCCTGGGGCCCCGGGCGCGGCCGAGGGCAGCGAGGGAGGCCCGGGGTGGTGAAGGCGGTGGGCGGCGGCGCCCGGGGGCCCGGAGGCGTGGGCCTGGCAGGCGGGTGGCGCGCGGCCAGGGATGGGCAGCGGTGGGGACGGAGGCGGCTCAGGCCTCGGCGGGGGCGCGGTGCGGAGGCCTCGGCAGGGACCGCGGTGCTTCACGCCCAGGGCGGAGAGGCCGAGCCGCGCAGCCGAGCGACTGACGTGGGGCGGGGGTCGCGGGCAGCCTCGAACGCCGCTTTTGGGCGGGGGCGGCCTTGGCCCTTCCCCGTTCCTTCTCCTCCCGTCTGCTGGCTCGCCCGTCTCCTCACCTTCAGGACCCGGATCCCTCCCGGCCGACGGTTAGTGGAGGTTTCCACAGGCTCCGGGGGCTCCAGCGGGCCCAGGGGGCCCGGCTCCACCTCCCCCATCGGCGCCCAAGACTGTACGGGGACGCCCGGCCGGCGCGACGGCGCGCGAGCCTCGGCGGCGCGCGCGAGCAGCGAGAGCCCCGCCCCGTGCGCCATAGGCCCCGCCCCGTACCGCCCCCAAGGGCTGTAGCCCCGCCCTCCGCACGCGCCCCCGGGCCGCGGCCCCGCGGGACCTGCGTAGCTGCGGGTGCGGCGTGGACGGCGCAGCCGAGCTGCATCCAGGCGGGCTGACAGCTGAGAATTGGGCGGGCGGAGTCTCCGGCACCGCAGCGGGAGGCGTCCGCTGCCAATCACCTTGGGCTGGGCGCCGGGGGCGCAGGGAAGGGCGTTTCGCTGCAGTCCCCGCCCTCCAAGGAGCAGCCAGAGGTCGGAGCCGGTGAGGTGTGTACCTGTCAATTGCGGCAGGACGCGCCCTCCGCTGAGTGCTGGGAGACTTCTCTTCCCAGTACCTTTACCCTTACTCTCTCCACGCGCAGAGCCGCTGGATGCACCATCGGGAATTGCTCCCCTTCGTAAGGGCCTTTGTTGTTTTGGAAGGTGCAAATTCGAACCAACCTCCTGTACAGCGCATCACTTCACCCTCCTCTCCAGCCTTACCTCTATTCCCTTCTATACTCCCTTTATATGGAACGATTACAATCCTGTTCTCGGCTTCAAGCAGTAATAGGGTCTGTGAGCCATTTTATTATTTGCAAAGCTAATTCAGGGGAAACGAATTCTAAAAGTCATTCTACAAGTTTTCCTTTTAGCTCTTGGGGTGATAGTTGTGTGGATAGGGGGCCAGTTTTGGAGTCTTGATGTTACACGTCAGATCTACTGGTCATTAGATCTATACCCTTGCGCATATCCTGGCTACTCAGGAAGCTGCAACGTGGAAGATTTCAGCCCGGGGTGGGGGGAATCCCAGCCACAAGGCCAGACTTAGCAGAAAAACCTGCGGGACTATCCATCTCCAAAATAACCGACAAAAAGTCAGGTCGGATGCATGGCTCCAGAGGTAGAGTGGCAGGATTGTAAGCAAGCCTAGCAAACACAGGACCCTGAGATCAAATCTTGGTACCACAGCAAGTCTCGAACTCCAAATTTCATCCCTCTCCCAATTTTCCAAAAAGTTCTCATTCCTCTAAACTTCATAGCCCTCTGATCTTACAAATTTTTATAGTTTCTTTTGCTCATATACATGTGTTGAATCTTCAAGCAACTTGTAAGGAATTAAATAGTAAAAATTAGTATCTTCTTGAGCTTTTAATAATTGGTTAAGATGGTATCATCTAATTATCCATTGGTTCCACTTGGCTAGTCCAAACCAACTATGTCTAGAATGTATTCATTGTAGGCCTAAAATAAGAGTCTCAAATCTAACAGAGTAATCTGTCTCCTTCTCTGAAGATATTTATCCACTTGAAAATATTTTACATGACAAGACAAAATTTGGCAAAGGTTCAGATCTCACACTTCTGTACAAGTATGGTTTACTATTTTCTTCCTTTATATATTATGTTGCATAGATCAAAATTCCAATTTCCACTAATCTTTATTTCTTGGGCTCATTTTAATAAATGAAAAATAGCTTACCTCTGCAAGTCCGGCATGTGTAAAGCTCTTACATTGCCCACCTAGTTTTCATTCAACTTTGACACTATTTTCAAAACTACTCAGTGTAGTTAAGATTTCCATTTCAGAGCTTGCTGGGTAGTTTTTTCCATCAAGAACATTGGTGTATATGGCACAGGCACTACTAATATGGAGCCAAAAGTAGAACTGACCAAGGGCAGTCAGACATATAGAAAGGAAAAGAATTTAGAATAAATATTTTTCTTTTTTGATTGGTCATGAGGCTTGAACTCTGGGTCTGGGTGCTGTCCCTGAGCTCTTCAGCTCAAAGCTACTAACACTCTTCCACTTTAGCCACTTCTGGTTTTCTGGTGGTTTTATTGGAGATAAGAGTCTCCAGAATTTTCTTGTTGGGGTTGGCTTTTGAACCACGATCCTCAGATCTCAGCCTCCTGAGTAGCTAGGATTACAGGTGTGAGCCACAGGCACGCAGCTAAAAATCTGTTTTTGAGGTATTATACATTACCTTCTTTAGATCTCATGAGTAAGATGTTCTTTACTGATGAATCACAAGAAAGTGAAAGATTTTGTCTCAGGACCAACTTTATGCTAGACAACAGCAGTGGTAGAAGGCTAACTAAAGTGATATGCTGAAAATTATGTACTTAACACTTCATATTGGTTAAGGTACCTCTTAAAAAGAGGATATAAAAGTCACGAGGCCAAATGATTCAGGGGATCATTTATGATGCTACTTTTAAAGGAACCTATTATATAAAACTCAAATTGAGGCTGAGTGCAGTGGCTTGTGCTACTTGGGAAATGGAGATTGAAGGATCATGGTTCAAAGCCAGCCCAGCAAAAAGTTCAGGAGAGCAAGTGTGGCAGGCACACCTGTAATCCTAGCTATGCAGGAAGTATAACACAGGAGGACTGGGATTGCAGTCTAAGGCCGAGAATAAAAGGCCTAAGACCCTATCTAAAAAGTAACTTAAACAAACAAAAAAAGGACTAGAAGCATGTGTCAAGTACAAACACAGGTCTTAAATTCAATCCAAGGTGGGAAAATCTCAGTAGTGATAACCAGTTGTTTTCTTTTAAAATCATGTACTGTCATTAACATTGAATATTGTCTCAAAGGTCACATATTCATGCTTTCCCCCAGTTGAAGGCAAAGTGCACTATGTATGCCAAGGGTTATATAACTACAATTTCTGGAAATGGTAAACAGCTGAGACTAACCCTAAAAATAAATTCTTCCGGGATTTTTTTGGTGCAAAAACCCATCTGCCCTCACCACAGGTTCATCATTATAAAAATCAGTTTTGATCATGCCAAGAGGTGGAAGTCTTTAGAATCCCTCCTTTCGCTGCTACAAACACAAGAGTTTTCCTACTCTTCACTACAAAATAGGAATAAACTCTGGAGATGGAAAATTCATGTCTATCAGACTTTAGCAGATGAGCCACGGAGACATAATTATTTAAATATAGTCCCCACTCCTTCACAAAATCACCTGGAGGTCTAAATTCATTGCTATTCTTTCAAACATTAAGCAAAATTAGGTTTTCTTTATTTGGGGTCCAAATAAACATTATTTACCTGGCTTCAAAATTTTGGTTTTCTTTTTCCTTTAGTAGGATGGAGCTCAAAGCCAGGGCTTCACACAGATTAGACCAATGTTCTACCACTAAGTTACACTCCAACCCATTAAGCATTTTTTTTTTCCAAATATGGAGACACAGGGCAATGGGGGGAAGGGAGATCACAGCATGGAAAACACTTATAAGTGAGATTCAAATAATTTGATCCTACTGGATTAATGTTCAAACCTGAACACAAGTCATTCTGCTGTTAGGTAAATATCTTGCGCCTATTTACTAGCTAAACTTTTTCATTGCAGCTATTAATTTTCATCTAATTACACTGTTGATGAAGGTGTCAACTAAATTTAACATTAGAAACAGATGAATTTTAACTAAGCCATATAGAAGACATATTTATGGAAATGTTACTAATCAAACAGTGCCAAAGGGCATTTCTGCATAAACTAGATAATGACCAAGGCCAACACCCTGTTCATTTTCAATCAAGAGACAGCCACATCTTCCCCTTTCTCAATTAAGGGACTTTCAAGGATCATCAGAGTAATAATAAATAACAGCTTTCTAAACAGCTTTCAAAAAATAATTCATATAAAGCCAGGCATAGTCATACATACCTGTAAGCCTGGCTGTTTGGAGAAAAGAAGCAGGAAGCCCAGACTGAGGCTGTGCAGACAAAAAAATCCAAACTAAATTTGGAATCAAACTAAAGCGAAAGGTGCTGTTGGCCTGGTTCAAGTGATAGAGCACTTGCTAGGGAAATATAAGGCCTTGAGTTCATCAGTACACGCACGCGCACGCGCGTGTGAGAGAGAGAGAGAGAGAGAGAGAGAGAGAGAGAGAGAGAGGGGAGGGGACAGAGTTAATAAATGTGGTGGTACAATGTCTGTAATCCTATCACTTAGGAGGTTGAGACAGGAGGATTGAATCATATGTTCAAGACCCAGTCTAGGACAGACAATGAGACCCTGATTCACAAAACAACCAAAAATTCATTTGAAACAGCCATAAAATATAGTCCATTTTGGCTGGTCAATCCTTTTCATTCCCAGTCACAGATACATTTGACCACTTTGCAAAAAGCAGCTTATAATTAAAGCCCTGCTACAGCTCTTAATACACATCTTACCTTGGTGACCTTGCTAAGAGAACTCACCTATGTGGAGAAGATAAGCATGAATGTAATCTTATTTAAAACTACCAACTGCCCTAAAGACTTCTTTCCTTTCTTGTGATACTTCTGTATAAAAGGGACATTAGCAAGTGCATTTAGCTCATCCAAGGCTTCTAATTCACTGGTAAGAAGCAAGGAAGCAAAGTTTAAATCATTGAGTATTGACTTTTTATTATCAGTCACTGTTCATAATTTGTTTCAACCAAAAGACAATACACACAGCAGAAATCTAATGCATCCCATGTAAATGTTTACATCCATTTTATTCCTCACTCGCCTCTAAGACTTATCATTTAATTTTAAATTTTTTTTTACATCTCAAAAATATGTCTGCAATAATTAGAACTTCATTAGCTGTTCCACTTGGAAACAGCCTTTTAATATTTTTACAGTAAAGAAGATGTGATGAGGCTTAATGAAAGTGTAACTTACAACATTATGGAAGAAAAAGGGACCTAACAGGACTACAGTGGGAGTTCACAAAGGAAAGTGATCAGAAGCTCTTTCCCATGAGATTCCCCAAATAAAAACAAAAACAAAACACACAAAGCACAAACATAGGTTCATGGGGGGGAGGGGGGGAGCAAGTTCCATCACTCCATCTTGAAGCCAGAATCAGCCTCGTGAAAGTTGGCAAAGCAACTGTGCAGAGCTGCTTCAGTATTTTCTTTGTGTCAGTGTTCCAAGGTCTGGAAAACTGTCTGTGGGACCCCCACTCATTGCTACTGCTTTGAAAACATTCCATTTCTACCAGCAGCCCCACCCTTCAGAGCCAAAGCTGGTCAAAAGTGTTTCAAACTTCAGGACTTTCTGAACCAATTCTTCCTCCAATGATCCTCCCCACTCACAAACTAATGAATAACAAGGACATTAACAACCATTCCTGAACAATAGCTTGTGAATATCTGCTTTTTGCTCTCTACCTCTCAGTTTAGGACACCACAGATAAAATACATTCACTAGGAAAAAAAAAATCCACATTCAATCTCCCTCTTTCCCCTAGTTCTCATGGCCCAACTATATTCCAATGTATAAGATAATAAAATTGAACTTCAAAAGCAGTCTTCCTTAACTCACAACCTCTTCTAGAAGGATACAAAATGAAAAGCATGTCATATACTAGATGGAAATACTCAAACTCTTAGTGCTGGGCAATTTTATTAAATGTCTATCCTCATATACAACTGAGACAAATCACACCTTTAACTTAGCAAGAGGAAAAGCTCTCCCCTCAAATGTTCCGTTGAGGAATGTTTCTTTAAAATGAGAAAGACTGTAAAATTAACAGATGATCACTAGACTGTGTAAAATTTCCACCATTCAAGCCAGGCGGTGGTGGTTCACGCCTGTAATCCTAGCTACTCAGGATGCTGAGATCTGAGGATCATGGTTCAAAGCCAGCCCAGGAAGGAAAGTCCATGAGACTCTTATCTCCAATAAACCACCAGAAAACCAGAAGTGGTGCTGTGGCTCAAGTGATAGAGCATTCACCTTGGGCTGAAGAGCTCAGGGACAGTGCCCAGGCCCAGAGTTCAAGTCCCAGGACCAACCAAAAAACAAAACAAAACAAAACACCAAAAAACTTCCACCATTACCCAAACCACTTCAAAGTAACAGCACCAAAGCAATGTGGAGGAGCTTCTCAGGGAAAGCACCCTTCTTACAGTTTTGTTTTGTTTTTTTTGAGATTACTTAGATGAATTCTCCCTAGGATTACTTGAGGGTGGAGAAAATAACAGGATACAAACTATTCTCCAAAAGGGAAATGCTGAGGTACAAGTACATGTGAAATTGTCTAAGTGAGGGCTCACTGCTTATCACCCTGGGGTTTTCCCATGGTCACAGAAACCAGGTGTTCCTCCTTTACAATGGCTCTGAAGTTGTAAAAATCAGTCTGAATTTGCTCCCCCTTGAATGACTATATTTGGGAAAGGAATTACTGAAATGTGCAAGTGTTCACAGAAATTAAGAGATTTCTCCTTTTAGCTGCAAGGCCAAGAAAGAGAACTAATGCTGATCCTAGAAACTAAGGCACACTGAAGCTTTCCAAGATCCAATCATTTGAAAGTCTTCACAACCATCAGTATCCTAGGCAGTTATTTGGCTCCTAGTCCTTCAGTATGTATTGTACCAGGCTCAGTCTCTGAAATCATTTCAATCCTACACAGCACCCTTTGTGTTAAGGCCAGATATTTTATTCCTTCTAGACAAAGCCCTAGGTGATCATAAACACTCCCTCAAAACTCTGATCTGGCACTGTCTTATACCACAGTCTTGGCGCAGATTTCTCAAGAGAGTCAACCCACTTCAACAAGAAGAAGAAACAAAACAAAAACACAAACGAACAGACAAAAAAAAAAAACACACCTGAGCTGGTTGGTTAGCCACAAACACAAGGAAGAAAATAAAGCCTCTACACAAAGAGGAATGTTAAGACAAATTCTATTCAAGAAATCCACCAATATTATGTTAATCCTATCATGTTTCACAGCATTAAATATCCATCCAATGAAATCAATTTACGTGGAACCTTTAAAGGCTACTTTTCATTACACAGGCAGAGCAGTTGTGTGAAATATGCACTAGTCCAACACTTACTTTACTGAAAACAGGAGATATTGTCCTGTTTTGGACTCAGCCAACCAGTTACCCAATAGAGTAAGTTTCAGTAGCTTTACTCTTATACACTGATAAGCCCAGAAAGTTTCCCTTTTAGAGCCTTTAGTTCAACTTCAGTTTGTCAAATGTTAGACTAGTCTAGCATCTGATACAGTGCTAGGCTGACAAGACACTGAAGATTTTTAAGTAAAGGCTTGGTGGAATTGGGGGGAGAGGGGGAGAAAAAGATATCTGTATTTATGTTTAAAACTGAAGCCAAAGTAGTCATACTGTACAGTACAGTAACAGTTGCAAGCATTTTAAAAGGTAGACCCCACTTGTTCTTGTTTCTGTAGTATTTAAGACATGATGCTTGCATACCTGAAGGTATATAGTACACTCAATATGTACCACAGCAAGTCACCTTTTACTTCATTCCAGCAAGTCTTAAGCTTTTGTAACATAGGAATCCTTTCTAAAAATCGCTCAGCATTCTTACTAGTTTAAGAAGCTCAAGTCTTTAATGCAGGTATTATTCATGAGAATGGCCTCTTTCAAGAGACCAATTATTCAGCCTCAGGGAAGGGGCATTCCTACCCTATGGTGACCATAAGACTTCCTTTGGCAAGGGACAAGGAAGCTACAAGGCTTCACTCCAACACCATAAAGTACAATATAGGAAGAGTTCTTTAACCGCGTGGTCTTTATTTCAGTGCCAGTGTTACAGATACAACACAAATGTTCCAGTTAGAAGAAGGAATTCAAACGGAATGCCAAGGTCCAAGCCAGGCTCAGGAAATAAAAAGGGAGGACTGGAGCAATGGATGACTCCAATATGCTCCAGGATGAGTCTGATACTGCTCTTCCTGAGCACAAGTATTTTGTTAACGAGTCTGCTCTTTAAAACTGGTTAAACTCCTCTTTCTACCCATATACCACAGTTCAAACAAGCAAGTGACAGGTTTGGGGGAAACTTTAAAATTTCTGGTTGAAATAGGGTCATTAATAACTATTAATATATCTTTCAGAACATGTCCATTTGCACTTGAAAGGGAGTCAATTTTGAAAATCATGGAGAATGCTCAGGACTACAGCTAGAGAATGGAGAGAAAGGGAAGCTGGAAGAGCCTTGGAAGTTTCTATTACAAATAGAGCACCATATCCTTCATGCCAAATCTCAACAAAAGCTCTTTTTAACTGCATCTGTCCAGTGTTTATAAATAACCTCTCAAGGTCTGACCAGTTCTGGATAACAAACATACATACATGTGTGTGTCTGTGTGTTTACAGCAATGCACAGAAAAGGCTACCAGGAGCCTAATGCCTCTTTCAAACCTTGGGGGAACCAATAGAAAAAGGCAGGGCTCCCTAATGTTCATTGTTACATTTCCATTCCATATGCCAGATGTGAAAAGCGCCTGAAGATGGTAACCCAGCTAGTGAGGAATAAATTCCCCACCTTGCCCAGTCCGCAGAGAAACAACAGTAAAAAGAAGGGACCACTCTTGGCTGCAGAGACAGGGTGAGTGTTTTCTCGCCATGAATTCCAATCCTTTCCTCCAGACCAGCTGCTTATTGCCTCAGGAGCCCAGGGAATGTTGATTCTGGCTGCAAATATAGGAGGGGTGAAGTACGGAAAAGGGGGAAGAGGAGGAAGAGTGCAAAGTAGCCTCCAGAAGCAGCCAGCCTCAACAGCAGAGGAGAGGATGTTAGTCTTTAACAATGCTTCAAGGTCAGCAGTAACTTCAGGAAAATCCTCCTCAACAGTTCTCTTCTGCTCCTCATGCCCGTGGTACAGTTGGGGGGGAGGGGGGGGAAACTTGCCAGCAATCACAACCTCCTTCCCAGAGTTCCTTTGATTGAGTGGGATAAGAATGAGAATGGTGCTGGACCCTCATTGCCAGGACTGAGGGGGAAAGTTGTTCACCTCTGCTAGATCTTGCATTGCTGAGCCCTTGTGATTATATGTGAGCTTGATCCTCATTCGCAGCTGTTGCTGTAAAGGAAAAGAGACTCATAAATATGTTCTAATAAAATCTTTCTCTATTGGTCCAGTCGACAAATGGGTTTTTGTTGTTGTTGTTCTTTTGGAGACAGGATCTCACTACCTTCCATAGACAGGCTCCAAACTCCTGGGCTCAAGCTATCCTCTGCCTTAGCCCCCTCACTAACCAGTACTGTTCCACCACACTTGGCTCTCTAAAGTGGTTTTTAATTTTAGAAGCCAAAAAAAAAAAAAAAAAAAAAACAAAGCCACATCTTACAACTAACATACAATGCTAGTCACTAGTGGCTCACACCTGAAATCCTAGCTATTCAGGAGGCTGAGATCTCAAAATTACAGTTTAAAGCCAGGCTAGGTAGAAAAATCTGATAGTCTTCTGTTAATTAGCCTGCAAAAAAAAAAAAAAAAAAAAAAACTGAAAGTGAGCCAAGCGCCAATAGCTCACACCTGTAATCCTAGCTACTCAGGAGGCTGAGATCTGAGGATCGCAGTCAAAGTCAGCACACAGGCAGAAAAATCCGGGAGACTCCTATCTCCAATAAACCACCAGAAAAGAACAAGTGGCACTCTGGCTCAAGTGGTAAAGTGCTAGCTTTTTTTTTTTGGCCGTGGGCTTGAACTCTGCGCCTGGGCACTGTCCCTCAGCTCTTCAGCTCAAGGCGAGCGCTCTACCACTTGAGCTACAGCGCCACTTCCGGTTTTCTGGTGGTTTATTGGAGATAGGAGTCTCACGGTCTCTCCTGCCCGGACTGGCTTTGAACTGCGATCCTCAGATCTCAGCCTCCTGAGTAGCTAGGATTACAGGCGTGAGCCACCAGTGCCCGGCGTAAAGTGCTAGCTTTGAGCTGAAAAGCTGAGGGACAGCATGCAGGCCCACAGTTCAAGCCCCACACCAACAAAAAAGAAACCTGGAAGTGGAGCTGTGGTTCAAGTAGTAGAATAACTAGCTATTATTCAAGCTTTGGGCCAAGGAGTCACAACATGTAATCTAGTAGAAGTGCATTTCCAGAACGTATCATGGGCCTAGAAGTACATTAAAAGGACATAGCCACTTATAAGCATTGTCCTACTAATACTTGCTGAGTATTTTTTTTTTTTTTCACTTTTTTTTTTTTTTTTTTTTTTTTTTTTTGGGGTCCGGTCGTGGGGCCTGAACTCTGGGCCTGAGCTCTGTCCCTCAGCTCTTCAGCTCAAGGCTAGCGCTCTACCACTTGAGCCACAGCCCCACTTCCGGCTTTTCTTTTCTGCTTATGTGGTGCTGAGGAATCGAACCCAGGGCCTCAGGCATGTAAGGCAAGCGCTCTACCACTGAGCCACCTTCCCAGCCCCGCTGAGTATTTTTTTTAAAGATCTAACTCTTACACTCCAAGTCCCTACAAAAATAAGGTAACCACATACTTGTCTTATGCTCTATGTTCAGGTATACTGTTAATTTGTTTACAAAAATCAATACTAAATATGAACATAAACTTTTCTGTTCCCAAAGAGGAAAAGAGAAAAAGCTAATTAATAAGTGAAAGTCAAGCTGGGCACCGGTGGCTCCCACCTATAATCCTAGCTACTCAGGAGGCTGAGATCTGAGGATCACAGTTCAAAACCAGCCCGGGCAAGAAAGTCTGTGAGATTCTTATCTCCAATAAACGACTAGAAAACTGGAAGTGTCACTGTGGCTCAAGCAGTAGAGTGCTTGCCTTGAGCTGAAAAGCACAGGAGAGTGCCCAAACCCAGAGTTCAAGCCCCACGACCGACAAAAAAAAAAAAAAAAAAAAAAAGTGACAATCACTGATTTAGAGAACACACTAAGTATATTTTACTTTCTGAGGCCAATTTCAAGTGTTAATATACTAAGAAAATATTTATTCCAGGTATCAGATGGTCAAAGGAATTTGTGCTAGTACTAACAGCACAAATACAGTAAACAGCAGAGGAAATACAAAGGGGAGGAAAATATAAAATTTTTATGAAGAATTACTAGAGATCTTCCAAGGTAAAGAAATCTTTTACCCAACATACTGATTTACTGGAAGTCCAAGTTGGAGAATCACCAACCTAGGCAAAATGTGAGATCCTCTTCAGAAAATAATGACTGCAAAAAGAGCTGGGGCATGGCTCAAGTGGTAAAGTGTCTGTTTACCATACATAGCAAAGCCAAGTTCAAATCCCAATAACAAAAAAAAAGAAAAAGTTTCTCTGAATTGTTTTCAGAAAGTTTCAATGTCAGTCATTTAATTACTATTAAATAAAACCAACTTACTTTTGGGACAATATAGCAAAAATATTGCTCAATTTCAGTTTCTAAAGCTTTGACTGCTTCTTTTAAAATGATTTGGCTAGGTTTATAATCTTAGCTACTTGGGAGAAGAATCAGGGACCAGAGACTTAATTTCAACCAGTGACTGGGTATAGTGGTGACCATCTGCTTTCATCCCAAGCTATAAAGTAATAAGCACAATGTCTAGGTTGAGGTTCAAAACCAGACTAGGCAGAAAAGTCCATGAGACTTTTATCTCCAATTAACTATCAAAAAGCTAGAAGTGGAGCTGGGGCTCAAGTAGTAGAGCACTAGATGAGAAAAAAAATGTCAGGGACAGTGCCCAGACCCTGAGTTTAACCCCCGGACCAGCACAAAAAGAAAAAGAAAAAGAAAAAAAAAAAAACAAAAAAAAAACCCCAAGCAGTACAAAAAGGGGCCCCATGTAGTGGCTCAAGTGGTAGAGTGCCTTATCTAGGAAGCACAAGACCTGAGTTAAAACCTCAGTACTAAATAAGTTAGTTAATTGAAGAATCCACTTTTGCCATCCATATTTAGCAGTTACAGCAATAAATATGAGTATTATAACAAATCTTTCCTCAGATTTCAACTTTTTTGTTGGTTGGGATGCTTGAACTCAGAGCCTGAGTGCTTTCCCCAAACTCTTTTGCTCAAGGCTAGTGCTCTACGACTGTGAGCCACAGCTCCACTTTTGGTTTTCTGGTGGTTAACTGGAGATGAGTGTCTCACAGACTTTTCTGTTCAGGTTCGCTTTGAACTGTAATCCTCAAATCTCAGTCTCCTGGGTAGCAGCTAGGATTACAGGTGAGTGAGCCACCAGTGCCTAGCAGATTTTAACTTTTGCATAGATCTAATAGTCTAAGCTTGCCCTTCTCCAAAAAATATACCTTTAATCCTCAAAAATAGAGGAATTTGTCTGCCAAGCACTGGTGGCTCACTACTATAATCCTAGCTACTCAGGGGGCTGAGATCTGAGGATTGTACTTTTCTCTCATTAACCTACCAGTCCTGGCAGCAAAATTTGTGAGATTCTTATCTCCAACTAACCACCAGAAAACTACAAGTAGAGCTGTTGCTAAAAGTGGTAGAGCACTACCCTTGAGCAAGAGAGCTCAGGGACAGCACCTAGGCCCTTTAGTTCAAGCCCTAGAACTGACCAAAAAATAAAAAATAGAGAATTTTTTGTTGCATTTTAATAAGATATCATTAAAACATTTGATATCTTGGACTTGATCTATTTTCTACAAAAGAACAAAGAAGTTGCACCAGACATTTTCATAATTTTTGACTGAATCAAAAGAATCCAGAGAAACAAAGCTAAAGTTTATTTTAGGAGTTTATGTCTTGCTCAGATACTGGCTTCAACTGTGCTACTCACCTTCTGTGGGTTCAGAACTTTAATAACTTGTGTGATGGTTCCTGTATTAAATGCTGGGACAATGCTGCTGCTGGGAGATAGAAGCTGCAGCTGGAATGTCTATAGAGGAACAAAGGGCATTATTTAGAAGAAGGAATACACAATGTTAAATCCAAGTTGTCATCATCTAAAAAGTTAAACATGCCAGGTGCCAGTGGCTTACTCCTGTACAAGTCTAAAATCTGAAGATTGTGGTTCAAAGCCAGCCCAAGCAGGAAAATCTATGAGACTCTTAACTCTCCAACTAATCACAAAAAAAGCCAGAAGTGGCACTGTAGCTCAAGTGGTAGAGCATAGGAACAAAGGGACAAAAGGAGCAAAAGGAGCATAGGAACAGCAATCAAGGCCCAGAGCTCAAGCCCCAGGACAAAGAAAGGAAGAAAGAAAGAAAGAAAGAAAGAAGGAAGGAAGGAAAGAAAGAAAGAAAGAAAGAAAGAAAGAAAGAAAGAAAGAAAGAAAGAAAGAAAGAAAGAAAGAAAGAAAGAAAGAAAGAAAGAAAGAAAGAAAGAAAAGAAAGAAAGAAAGGGAAGGGAAGGGAAAGGAAGGGAAGGGAAGGGAAAGGAAGGGAAAGGAAAGCAAGTAAATAACCTGGCTGTTAAGCCAAATAACAAATTTATCCTAAGTTTTGCATATTTATTTTCCAGACACCAGAAACAGGTAAGCATATGAGCACAGCTGTCACAAATTGTATTTGTAAAAAGTCTGTATTAGGCCTTTGATCATGAAAACTAGAAACAGGTCACTCTGCCCTTCTTCTTTTCAAATAGTGACCAATTCTTGTTCAGGCACCTTCACTTAGTAGTAACTTATCAACCATACAAGAAAAAAAAAAAGGGTGCCTGTGGCTCTTTTAAGGGTGAAAAAAGCCAGAAAGAAACCAAGAGAAAATTTTTCCAAGAATAACAAATCAACATACTAGTCATCAACAACAGGACCTTATGCTTTTGTATAACTGAATGACTAGGCCCCAAAGCCCCAAAAACTTGAACTTTTTGTTTTATAAAGCCTGCACAATCTGGAGTGGGTCAAGGCCTCCCTCTATGTGAGAGGCCTGAAAGAGCCAGCTTGTTAATATGTAAGTGGAACACATCAGGATTGCTCTAAGACAGACACAGAAAAAGTACATGTAGAATGTGTCTGTATGGCAAAGAATCTAGATGAGTGAAACACCATAATTTGAGTACTGATGAATCTTATTTCTTAGCAAAGATGAGGAATAAAATTGCTACCAACAAGTTAGGCTAACATTACTATGCAAAGTAGTTGTTATACATACTGCGATTTAAAACACTTTATCTGAGAGAGAAAGACAATGACAGAACCAGAAGTCCTCTCCAAAGTCAAAAATTACAAGTGAATATTCAACCTCACAAAATAGATTATTATTTGGAATCTTACTCATAATTCTATTTTTAGAGTGAATTATGTACGTTAAAACGTCATTCATTACCACTACATTGCATTAAATTTAAGATACCAACTTTAATTCTTATTATTTTATGTACTACTAACAAAGATTAGACTGGCTCATTTAACAAGGACAATTTCAGAGACATTAAAAAACATTACCTGACTTACATAACTGTAACCCCCTCAGTATTATCACCTTTATAATTTTTTTAAGAAAAAGTAAAAACCACTAGGCTACAGTAGCTAATACTTACTGAGCACTAAATACATGGAAAGTGCTTCCATTAGTTCCTAGCACAAAAATTTACTTATTCTGGGATTTGTAATCCTGGGAAGTAGATTATCTAGGAAGCAGTTGTCGTTATCACTACTCCCACTGTCAGGAAGCTGAGACACCAGGTTAAGTGATTGCTCCATGTCATAACTAGCATCAAAATCCAACAATAGCACTAGAATTCACTTCTGGATCTTAATCACTTCACATTAAATTTTGAAAAATAGCTACATCATTCCAGCTTCAAAAAGAAGGTAGCAAAGAAGGTAGGAAGTTAGCAGTAACCACAAATAAAACATCTTCAATTCCTAAAAGCATGTCACCTGAATGCCATACTTCGGGTCATTGCAAAGACTAAGCAATCCAGTGATTGGCAAAGTATGGCCTTACACCTGTGTTTATAAATAATCTTTTATTGGAACGGAGCCATCCTCATTTTATTTACTTACTGTCACTACTGGTTTCTGTATTATAACAGAAGTACTGGGCAGCAAAAGATATAAAGTAAAATAAGTAATGTCTTTTTGTTGATGTTGTTGGTCATGGGGCTTGAACTCTCGGCCTGGCTCTGTCCCTGAGCTCTTCAGCTCAAGGCTAACACTCTACCACTTCAGCCACAGTGCCACTTCCAGTTTTCTGGTTGTTTATTGGAGATTAGAGTCTCACAGACTTTCCCACCTGGTCTTTGAACCACGATACTCAGATCTCAGCCTCCTGAATAGCTAGGATTATAGGTGTGAGCCACTGGTACCCGGCTAGTAATGTTTTTTGTTTGCTTGTTTTTTTGTTGGTCATGGGGCTTGAACTCTGGGCCTCAGTGCCATCCTTTAGCTCTTCATCACCAAGCTAGCACTCTACCACCTGAGCTATAGCCACTTCCAGTATGGTACATTGGAGATAAGAGTTTCACGGACTTTCCTGCCCAGGCTGGCTTTGAACCGAGATCCTCAGATCTCAGCCTCCTGAGTAGCTAGGATTAAGGCATGAGCCACCAGTGCCCGGCTAGTAATGTTTTTTGTGGGGTTTTTTTTTTGTGTTTTTTTTTTTTTTTTTGGGGGGGGGGTCCGGTCATGGGGCCTGAACTCTGGGCCTGGGCACTGTCCCTCAGCTCTTCAGCTCAAGGCTAGCACTCTACCACTTGAGCTACAGCACCACTTCTGGCTTTTTTCTTATGTGGTGCTGAGGAATGGAACCCAGGGCCTCAGGCATGCAAGGCAAGCGCTCTACCACTGAGCCAACTTCCCAGCCCCCAGTAATGTTTTTTATACAAAGCTTTTATTCAAAACTTTTTAGGGATTTAGCTCAAAGTCCTGTGTTCTAACCCATAACTACAAAAAATAAAAGTTCCCTTTTTCAAATATTTTCACTATTCAAAAATGGACATAAATACTCATAAGATGTGTTCTGAAGCCAGCTACTACTCAGGAGGCTGAGATCTGAGGATCGTGGTTCAAAGACAGCCCAGGTAGTAAAGTCTATTAAACTCTTATCTCTAATAAATCATCAGAAAACTGAAAGTGGTGCTGTGGCTCAAGTGGCAGAGTACTAGCCTTGAGCTGAAGAACTGAGGGACAGCATGCAGGCCCAGAGTTCAAGCCCCTAACTGAGAAAAAAAAAAAAAAGATGTGTTCTGAAAAAAACTTCAATTTCAAAGAACAAATAGTAAACTAGATATTAATGAAAGAAAAAGGTTTCTCTCACTTAATTCTATATTCGCCTTTGAGTTTTTAAATAATTAGTGTTGTATAATGCCCTGACTATTTTCTAGAAGTCTGCTCTTTCATTATCAGAATTTCCTTTATCCTTCAAACTACTAACTATGAGAATATCTGGAGACAAGTAAAACTTACTCAACTGAAAGTAACATCCTTCAGTGAACTATCACAATTTCAATACTGTTGAAGAGTGAAACAGGCAAATTTAATCTCTAAACATTACACTCTTCACATGCATGAAATATAAAAAAACCCTCAGCCAATCTTTTTTTTTTTTGGGTCTGGTCGTGGGGCCTGAACTCTGGGCCTGGGCGCTGTCCCTCAGCTCTTCAGCTCAAGGCTAGCGCTCTACCACTTGAGCCACAGCACCACTTCCGGCTTTTTTCTTTTTGCTTATGTGGTGCTGAGGAATCGAACCCAGGGCCTCATGCATGCAAGGCAAGCGCTCTACCACTGAGCCACCTTCCCAGCCCTCAGCCAATCTTTTTAAAGGACAAAAGAAGTACCTTTGGTACTGCAGCCTGGAAAACAAAGTCCGTCATGTCTAGCTCTGTGCTGTTGGAGGCCTGTATCGTTATCACTGTTACACTGGGATTGGTGTTTGACCGTTCAAAGGTGAATTCTATCTTCAAGCCATTCTTACTGTATGCTGTGATGGAAGGGATACCTGGGAAAGTAAAAGAAGATCAGACTTACTGTGTTGGCCTAATGCTTGGAAATTATTACTTCCTTTCCTCAACCATCTCTCCTGGCTCAGTGCTCCATGATGGTGGTAACGACAATAACTGTACCTGTAGCGATGTCATTGAAGAGGGGCTGTGACGAAAGTCCGTCCAACAAGAAGGGGGGCTGGGATATCTGTGGGACTGAGGCAGGGGTAGGAGCAGTAGCTGGAGCACCTGAAAGAAATATTCCAATGGAAAGTCAACCTTAGCTAGTATGTCAAAACTTAGCAAGAAAACATAAAAGAATATTACAATGATCTCAAGGAAAGGATTCTATAAACAACATGCAAAAAGCATAGACCATAAAGAAGAAAAACTAAAAATTCCTACACTTTCCACCCATTAAAAAATCCCACTGAGCCAGATGCTGGTGGCTCATACCTGTAATCCTAGCTACAAAGGAGGCTGAGATTTGAGGATCGCAGTTGAAAGCCAGCCTAAGCAGGAAAGTCCACGAGATTTTTAACTCCAATTAACTAGAAAAACCAGAAGTAAAGATGTGGCCCAAAATGGTAGAGCACTAGCCTTGTGCAAAAAGAGCTTAGGGACAGTGCCCAAGCCCTGAGTTCAAGCCCAGTCACTGACAAAATAAATAAATAATCCCATTGGAGGCTAGGGAAAGATGGTTCAAGCCTGTAATCCTAGCTATTCAGGAGGCTAAGATCTGAGGACTATGGCTTGAAGCAAGCTCAGGCAGAAAAACTGAGATTCTTAACTCCAATTACCCACCAAAAAGCTCTAAGTAGGGCTGTGGCTAGGATTTGAATTCAGAACCTGGGACTGTTCCTGAGCTTTTTTGCTCAAGGCTAGTGCTCTACCATGAGAACCACAGCTAAACTTACGGCTTTTTTTTTTTAATGGTTAATTGGAGACAAAAATCTCACAGACTTTACTGCCCAGGCCAGCTTCAAACCTAGATCCTTAGACCTCACCTTCCTAAGTAGCTAGGATTATAGGCATGAGCCACCAGAGCCTAGCTAACTAGAAGTACTTTTGATTAAATTCTTGTATGTGTACATAGGGGAGCTTGTACAAAAGCATTCTAACAAGACAATTTCTAATACTGAATTATTAACAAAGACAAACAAGCAAAATGTTTACCATAAGGACAATGGATAAATTGTAGAATTAAAATATTAGATATATATAATAGTAAATATATGAATGTTAGATATAAAGTATTCATAGATAATTTCCACAAATACACTGTTTAGCAAAATTTAAAGTCCAAAAAACAAATTCATTTGTACAGCATTTAAAAAAAGAGACTCACAAACAATACTAAATTAACAAATACTCTAAGAATAGGAAACGCTAGTGTTAAACATTACTATATATACAGGGTAGGCAGCAGTTACTGTTGGAATCAAAAGGAATAGGAGCTTGAGATGTAGCTCAGCAAAAGATTTGTATAGCGGGGCTGGGAAGGTAGCTCAGTGGTAGAGCGCTTGCCTTGCATGCCTGAGACCCTAGGTTCGATTCCTCAGCACCACATAAGCAAAAAGAAAAAAGCCGGAAGTGGCGCTGTGGCTCAAGTGGTAGAGCGCTAGCCTTGAGCTGAAGAGCTGAGGGACAGTGCCCAGGCCCAGAGTTCAGGCCCCACTACCGGACCCAAAAAAAAAAAAAAAGATTTGTATAGCATGGGCTGTGGGGTTTGAGTCCCAATATCACAAAAAAAAAAGTCAAAAAGATGAAATAGGACAAGTTTGGGGGGAATGCTCAGCAAATAGCAATGTTCCTAATGGTATTTTGTTTAACAAGCTGAATGAAATAAATCACTATATTACCATTTTTATTTGATCTTCCCAAATAAGAACAAGTTGAGAATCAAATAGAAGCAGTCTGAAGCAAGCAAACAGAAGCAAGTCTGAAAATATTTTTTAAAAACATACAAGAGGGGCCAGAAATGTGGCTTAGTGATAGAATGCTTGCCTAACATGCATAAAGCGCTGGGTTTGATTCTTCAATACCACATAAACAGAAAAAGCCAGAAGTGGTACTATGGTTCAAATGGTAGAATGCTAGGCTTGAGCAAAAAGAAGTTCAGGGGCAGAGCCTGGCCCTGAGTTAAATCCCCAAAATGGCAAAAAAAAAAAAAAAAGGCATAAGAAAAATATCAACATAAAAAAAAAAGAAAGAATATACTTCAAAGATTTCAAACCATTTATATAATTGAAATATATACTATTTGTAATAGAATTGGAGGCATAATTCAGCGAGAGAGCACACACTTAGCATGTCTAAGGTTATAAATTCACTTCCTAACATCCACACTTATTAAAAAAAAGAAAGGGCTGGGAAGGTGGCTCAGTGGTAGAGCGCTTGCCTTGCATGCCTGAGACCCTGGGTTCGATTCCTCAGCAAAAAGAAAAAAGCCGGAAGTGGCGCTGTGGCTCAAGTGGTAGAGCGCTAGCCTTGAGCTGAAGAGCTGAGGGACAGCGCCCAGGCCCAGAGTTCAGGCCCCATGACCGGACCCAAAAAAAAAAAAAAAAGAAAAAGAAAAAGAAAAAAAGTAGGGTGCTAGTGGCTCACACCTGCAATCCCAGTTATTTAGGAGACTGAGATCTGAGGATCACAGTTCAAAGCCAACTCAGGCAGGAAAGTCTTATCTCAAATTAACCAGCAAACACCCAAAAGTAGAGCTGTGGCTCAAGTGTTAAGAGTGCCAGCCTTGAGTGAAAAAGCCAAGCTAGAAAGCAAGGCCCTGAGTTCAAGTCCTAGTACTAACAAAGAAATAAAACAGAATTAACACAGTAAATTTAAAATTAAAAAAAAAAAGTTTGGGATATCTTTTTTTGGGGTGGGAAGGGGAGGTGTTGGTCGTGGGGTTTGAACTCTGGGCCTGGATGCTGTTCCTGAGCTCTTCAGCTCAAGACAACTGCTCTACCACTTGAGCCACTGCGCCACTTCCGGTTTTCTGGTAGTTAATTGGAGATAAGAGTCTTGCAGAATTTCCTGTCCAGGCTGGCTTTGAACCACGATCCTCAGATCTCAGCCTCCTGAGTAGGTAGGATTACAGGCATGAGCCTTGGACGCCTGGCTGGGATATCTTTCATAGTAATATAAAAGATAAAAAAAATAAAATAAACTAGGACAAAACTCTAATATACTAGGCAAGGGACATAGCTCAGTAGCATATACAAGGTACTAGATTTAATCGCAGCACCAAAAAACAAAACAAAAAAAAAGCATACTGAAAATTAGCAAAGAAAGTAGCAATATAGATAGGGAAAGAAAGTACAACAAATAAACTAAACACCACAGGATATTCAGTTTAGCAGTTTATCAATGAAATGTTCATAATAGTTCCAGGTTTTTTTATCTACCAAAGTAATTTCCTACCATTTCTTGCTTTCTCTTTTAAATATTTTTATTATCTTTAAGTAGTTGTACACAGGAGTTGCCATTCAATAAAGCAGTTTATGAGTATAATGCATCTTGATCGATGTTACTCCCTACCATTTCTCATTTCAAACAAATATAGAAATGTATTCTTGGAGAAAATCAGAGTTTACCTAAGATACATGTACAATATATGGGACCTTAATTCTCCCAAGTTTTATCCTTTCTCTCCTGTACAAGTAAACAGTTTAGAGGACCAATAGAAATTCACTGCTCCAAATCCTCCAAAAATACACACTACATTTAATCACTATACAATAAAGCATAATTATCAAGATGGATTAAAGAAGATAAAATTCCAAACTTTTAACCTTAAAAATACAAAGAAAATGGGGAAATGTGTTTAAAACATACTATGAAAAGGAAAAGCAAAAAGCTAAGCTTCTAAATATTTTATCAGTTTTCTTTTACACTTAACACTAAGGAAAACAAAATGACATATTGAACTAAAACTCCTTTATACAATTACTTAAAGGTAATTTCACAAAAGGCCAAAAACCAAACATGAAGATTGTAGAATAAATGAGCTAAGGACATAAAAGTATTCAAAAATCAAATTTCATTTGCAATGCAAATATGTTACTAAATATTAAACATTCCCCAAGATTGAACAGATCAACAAATTAATACAATGTTTTTAATATATTTTATTGTAAAGATACTGTACAAAGGGGTTACAGTTACCTTAGCCAATGTTTTACCTATTATATCGCCCTTTATAAAAAGATATAAGATGCATGTGACTATAAAGTAAAACAGAAAGCCAAATAAACTGAGGAAATATTTGGTAAACAACATCCAAGTTTCCCTCTGTGTCATGCACTGAATGAGAATGGAGTCCTCAAAAAAATCCTTAGTTTAACCAGATTCAGAAAGACTTTAGTCTATAAAAGTAATCCAAATTAAGTACAAACTGATGTACTCTTTGTTGAAGCAATTATATAAGAAAACTCTACGGAAGTGGCACTGTGGTTCAAGTGGTAGAGCCCTAAACCTTGAGCTAAAGAGCTGAGGGACAGCACCCAGGCCCAAAGTTCAAGCGAAGGAAGGAAGGAAGGAAGGAAGGAAGGAAGGAAGGGAGGGAGGGAGGGAGGGAGGGAGGGAGGGAGGGAGAGAGGGAGGGAGGGTGAGGAAGGGAGGGAGGGAGGGAGGAAGGGAGGGAGGGAAGGGGAGAGACAGAGAAAGAGAAAGAAAGAAAGAAAAGAAAGAAAGAAAGAAAAGAAAGAAAGAAAGAAAGAAAGAAAGAAAGAAAGAAAGAAAGAAAGAAAGAAAGAAAGAAAGAAAGAAAGAAAGAAAGAAAGAAAGAAAGAAAGAAAGAAAGAAAGAGAAAGAAAGAAAGAAAGAGAGAAAAAACTAAACACAAATATCCAACTGTAACTGAGTAAAAACCAGTGCACAAGCTAGGCACAGGTGACTCATGCCTGTAATCCTAGCTACTCAGGAGGCTGAGATCTGAGGATCACGGTTCAAAGCCAGTCTGGGCAGGAAAGTCCGTGAGACTCTTATCTCCAATAAACCACTAGAAAACTGGAAGTGGCATTGTGGCTCAAGCAGTGGAGCGCTCACCTTCAGCTGAAGAGCGCAAGAACAGTATCCAAACCCAGAGTTCAGGCCCCACAACCAACCAAAAAAAAAAAGGTGCACATTCTTTTTAACTTTTTTTTTTTTTTTTGGGGGGCGGGGGAGGGGTCCAGTCATGGGCCTGAACTCTGGGCTTGGGTGCTGTCTCTCAGCTCTTCACCTCAAGGCTAGCGCTCTACCACTTGAGCCACAGCACCACTTCCGGCTTTTTTTTTCTCCTTATGTGGTGCTGAGATTGAACCCAGGGCCTCATGCACGCAAAGTCAAGTGCTCTACCACTGAGCCACCTTCCCAGCCCTCTTTTTAACATTTTTATTATTTTTTTTTGTTGGTTGTGGGGCTTGAACTCTGGACCTGGGCTCAAGGCTGGCACTCTACCATTTGAGCCACAGCGCCACTTCCGGTTTTCTGGTTGTTAGAGATGAGAGTCTCACAGACTTTCCTGCCCAGGCTGGCTTTGAACCATTATCCTCAGATCTCAGCCTCCTGAGTAGCTAGGATTACAGGTGTGAGCCACTGGTGCCCAGCGCAATTTTACTTGTAAAGACACTTTTCCAGTTATATTTATACTGCAATTCAGGATGACAAGAAGAAACAGTGATATTCTTAGACTCTGGGGGTTCATAATATCACTAAACATATCAATAACAAATGTCTACCAGAAAGAACATGACCAAAAACTCAAAAATACATTGCCAAATGAAAAATTATTTGAGTTATAAATATTTTCTCCTCTGGTTTCTTTAATAACAGCAAGGGTTAGAAGGGAGGGGAAAAGGTAGGCAGTAAATCAATAGCTTACTATGAATGGCCATAGACTTTGAAAACTAAGCATAAATAGAAAGAAACTTAGAAAAAGTTCTGTCTTGAGACACCAACTAAAGGCACAGGTATCTTGGGACACTTGCAAGCCTAAAAGTCCTCTCTATGTAAAAAATACTATGAATAGTTTATTCTCCCAAAGGAAAAGTTACCCTAAGGAATCCTTATGAATTATATTCAGTGAATGAGCATAACAGCTTATATCCTACATGTTGTAAAAATTCTGTCTTATGCCGTAGACATGGCTCCAATGGTAGAGTACCTGCTTCACATTTAGACACTTTCATCTTCAACTGACTTATATGCAGGAAAGTCAGTATTCAGTATTACTTTTTCCCCAAGGTCTCTATCCACATCCAAGCATTAAATAGTTCCCATGTAGTCTCACCTGTAAGGGTGATATCTCCCAGTAAATCAAGAAGTTCTCCACCAGCAGAAGCTGGTTTGCTTGTAGGTGCAGTTGGAATAACAGGTGTTATGTCATTTCCTCCCAACAAATCCAATAAATCATTGGCCTAAACAAGGAAACAATAACTCAAGTCATTAGTTTTTGTCTAAACTACATATGACACAAAGCTCTTCCAATTTTTTAAAAATAAGGAAGGAAATCGTCAAGTAACTCAAAATATTAAAAGAATATAGATAAGAAATAAGCTACTCTGTACTACTGGATCATCAGGAGCCCTATACAAGCAAGTGAAAGACTACCTGGCTGGTGGGCTGTGGCCCAGAAGGTGGTGGTTTAGTCTCTAGTGGAGCTGGTTCTGTCTCCCCATTTGTCTGCACAATCTCAGTTGGGCCATTTGTGGTCACTTTTTCCATAACAGGCATCCTCTCCAGTAGGGCAGACCTAGAAGAATCTGAAGTGGTTAAATTCTAGGCAGTTAACCTAAATTCCCCACCTCAAGCAATAATTATTAACAAGTTTTAAATCTAACATGGAGAGCAATCTCCCACCCCCCTCTCAAAATTATATGATTACAAGCATAGATCTAAATTCCTGACTGGATTAGGAATATGCAAAAACCCATGAATAAATAAAAATGTTCACCTACAACCCAAAACATGTATTTCAATAGTAGAGTGGGATGAACAAAATGTAAATCAACACATATTAACAGTCAAATCAAGAAGGTGATTCTGGCTGTCTCTGTATATCACCTTTATAATAGTAATTTTTTTAAAAAGATTCTAACTAACCCCATTCACAATACTCCCCCAAGAAATAAAATATTTAGGAATTAATCTAACCAAAGATGTAAAAGAACTATTTAACGAAAACTATAAAAACTTAAAGAAAGAAATTACAGAAGATACTAGGAAATGGAAAGACCTTCCATGCTCTCGGACAGACAGACTTAATATAGTGAAAATGGCAATACTGCCAAATTAATATACAAATTCAATGTAATTCCTATTAAAATCCCAATGACGTACATTTCTGAAATACGGGAAACAGTCCAAAAATTCATATGGAACAACAAAAGACCTAGAATAACCAAAACAATTCTAGGCAAAAAAGACATGGGAAGGATCTCAATGCCGGACTTCAAACTCTACTATAGAAACATAATAACAAAGACAGCATGGTACTAGCACAAAAATGGACCCAAAGACCAATGGAATAGAATAGAAGATCCAGAAATAAAACCACATGACTACAGTCAGCTGACATTTGACAAAGGAGCCCAAAGACATACAGTAGAAGAAACACAGCCTCTTCAACTACTGGTGCTGGGAAAACTGGGAGGCCACATGCAGAAAACTAAAGTGGACCCCAGCCTATCACCATGCACCAACATCAACTCAAAATGAATTAAAGACCTTAAGATCAAACCTGAATCTCTGAAATTACTGCAGGACAGAGTAGGAGAGACACTTGAACTTACAGGCACAGGCAGGAATTTCCTGAACAGAGTCCAAGGGTCACAACAAACTGGAGAGAGACTTGACAAATGGGACTACCTTAAAATAAAAAGTTTTTGCCCAGCTAAAGCTATAGCAACCAAGCTAGAAAGACAACCAACTAACTGGGAAAAAAATATTTACCAGCAATATATCAAACAAGGGGTTAATACCCAGTATATACAGGTTACTCAAGAAACTAATCCCTCCCAAACCTAACAAACCAATTACTAAATGGGCAAGGGAACTAAAGAGAGACTTCTCAGAAGAGATAAAAATGGCAAAGAAACACATGAGGAAATGTTCACCATCCCTGGTTGTGAAGGAAATGCAAACAAAGACAACCCTGGCATACCACCTTACCCCAGTCAGAATGGCCCACATCCTAAAGTCAGCCAACGACAAATGCTGGAGGGGATGCGGAGAAAGAGGAACCCTATTACACTGCTGGTGGGAATGTACACTTATACAACCACTGTAGAAAGCAGTCTGAAGGGTCCTCAGAAAGCTAAATATTGACCTCCCTTATGACCCATCATACCACTTCTAGGCATCTATCCTGAACAACAGGAACCAGTATACAAGGACACGTGCACCTCCATGTTTATTGCAGCACTGTTCACAATAGCCAGAATATGGAAACAACCCAGATGTCACACCACAGATGAATGGATCCAAAAATTGTGGTATCTATACACAATGGAATATTATGCAGCTATTAAAAAATATGGGCTGGGAAGGTGGCTCAGTGGTAGAGCGCTTGCCTTGCATGCATGAGGCCCTGGGTTCGATTCCTCAGCACCACATAAGCAAAAACAAAAAAGCCGGAAGTGGCGCCGTGGCTCAAGTGGTAGAGCGCTAGCCTTGAGCTGAAGAGCTGAGGGACAGCACCCAGGCCCAAAGTACAGGCCCCATGACTGGACCAAAAAATAAAATAAAATAAAATAAATAATGGCATTTGCAGGGAAATAGATGGAGCTAGAAGAAACATGCTGAGCCAGTAAGCCAAGAGCAAAGAGGCACATGGTCTCCCTGATAGGTGGATGTTAAATCCAAAATGTAAGGTGATAACGACAAAATTAACAAGACTTAAGAAACAAAGGACTTCCACTCATCTGGTTGAATCACTACTAAATAACCCCATGCTGCTGATCACATGTATGGTATATATGTGCACACCGGAAGGAAACCAGGAGGACAACACAGAACTAGAGGGAATCAGGGAAAAACATACAACAGCGGGACCCATCAACTGCACTGGACATTGATCAAAATGAACTAAGCAACTCAATGGCAGCAATGGAAGGGAGGGAACAGCGGGAAAGAGGGGACAGCTGATGCTATGCAAAACAAAAGAAATGTATATATCACCCATGTGGAAGAAATAACTATTGCAAAGCTCATAGAACTCATAAATGTTATAGACCACGATAGACAATTTGCCCCATGAAAGTTAGAATGTGTTTGTGACTTTAACTAAGCATCACTATCCCACAATACTGTGAAATTGGCAAATTATGCAATCACTTAAATCACAATAAAGAATTTGAAGAAAAAAAAAAAGATTCTAACTGTGTAACACAGTTCTGTAATCCTAATATTTGATGTAGGAAAATTGCAAATTCAAGGCCAGGCTGATCTGAGACCTTATCTTTGAAAAAAATATATATATAAATAATAAAAGATACTGCATAATGAAGGAAAAAAGAGATGAAATTACCAAAATATTTTTTTTTTTTTGGGTCCGGTTGTGGGGCCTGAACTCTGGGCCTGGGCGCTGTCCCTCAGCTCTTCAGCTCAAGGCCAGCACTCTACCACTTGAGCCACAGCGCCACTTTCCGGCTTTTTTCTTTTTTGCTTATATGGTGCTGAGGAATAGAACCCAGGGCCTCAGGCTTGCAAGCCAAGCACTCTACCACTGAGCCACCTTCCCAGCCCCGAAACTACCAAAATATTAAACAGCAATAGAATCTAAATGAAATTACTTCTCTTACCAAAAAATAAAAAAATAACACAATCCTCTCACTCTGTAACCAAACAAAATGGAAAATGAAACATACTTTACATGTCCAAGGGGAAAAGGAAATGAAACAATAGAACACAATAAATTTATATCTTAGTGGCTAGGCAAAACAGAAAATGGGACAAAACAAAAGCAGTCAAGTAATGAGAACTAAATAGATCCAGCATACAGAATGATTTTCCTTTAGGGACTATTGAAATCACGTAATGGGGATGCTAGAGGTACTTAGTTTCTTTTGCTCACCTCATGTGGTCATATTTCTTAAAAAGTGCATTATATTCTACTGCCCTCTGTTGGAGTTCCACATCAATGCTGCTTCCATAAATGGAAACCACTTTCTTAATTCGGCTGCGGGATAAAATGATAAATCAAATGCAATACACAAAAGGAAATTCTAAACAAGCAAGAAGAATGTTTAAATCACATTTCACTTCTTTTTTGTCTATTGTGGGGCTTGAACTCAGGGCTTGCGCGCTACCCATGAGCTCTTCTGCTCAACGCCAGGGCTCTACCATTTTGAGATACAGCTCTACTTCTGGTTTTCTGGTAGTTAATTGGAGGTAAGAGTCTCACAGACTTTCCTGCCTGGGTAGGCTTTGAAACCATGATCCTCAGATCTCAGCCTCATGAGTAGCTAGTAATTGTGTGTGACCAGTGCCCAGCCTGGTTAATATTTTTAATATTTATCTTAACTTATATAATTTTTCAAAAACAAAACATTTTTTTCTTTGGCTTCATTCATCTAACTTCACCATTACTCTATTATAATTATGTTAGACTTTTGTTTGTTAAGTATTCCAGGCCCTAAAATACACTACAAAAAAAAAGTGTGAATTAAGCCAGCCACTGGGGGCTCACACCTGTAATCCTAGCTACTCTGGAGGCTGAGATCTGAGGATCACAGTTCAAAGCCAGCCCAGGCAAGAAAGTCCCTGTGAGACCCTTATCTCCAATTAACCACCAGAAAACTGGAAGTGGAGATGTGGATCAAGTGGTAAAGCACTAGCCTTGAGCTGAAGAGCTCAGGGTCAGCACCCAGGCCCAGAGTTCAAGTCCCATGACTGACAAAAAAAAGTATGAATTACTATGCCACAAAATAAATTTGTGGTCATTTCTCTTCTCTAATAACTTTACAATAAGGTTGGACTATGGCTCAAGTGGGAGAGCTCCTGCCTAACATTAGGCACAATAGTTTTTTGAGTCCAAACCCTAGTACCAACAAAGGAAAACAAAACAAAAAAATCTTTAAAATAAGCTTTTAGAATGAACATCTTAACCCAAATTGTTCTAGCTCACAAATATTAAAAGTCAGAATTAACAGTCTCAAAAGATTTTACATTTAAAAAAAAAGCATCTGGGCAACCACTGGCTCACACCTGTAATCCTAGCTATGCAGGTGATTGAGATCTGAGGATCATGGTTCAAAACAAACACTGGCAGAAAGTTAGGAAGACTCTTATCACCAATTAACCACCAAAGAGCTAAGAGTAGCTCATGGGATAGAGGGCAAGGATTGAGGAAAAAGAAAAATCTCAAGGACAGTGTGCCCAGGAGCTGTGCCCTAGGACTGGTACAAAAAATAATAAAGATTTTAAAAAATAAAGCAAAAGATCTAAAAGAAATGTTTGCCTGGAAAACGAAGTACTTCATATATAAATATGAAAAAAAAGGAAATTCACTAAAATTAGCTTTAAAGGGGAGAGGAGGACAAGAAAAAGCAATAGAAAGGTGATTATGATAAAAGTCAAATTATCAAATCCATTATATGCATGTATAGAAATATAATGAAACCTCTTTGTATTATATGCTAATAAATAAGTGAAGCTGGGCACTGGTAGCTCACACTTACAATCCTAGCTACTCAGAAGGCTGTGGACCTAAGGGTTATGGTTTGAAGCCAGCCTGGGCAGGAAAGTTCAAAGGAAATCTCCAGTTAACCACCAGAAAACCAGAAGTGGAGCTGTGGCTCAAAGTGGTAGAGCACTAGGCCTTAAGCAAAAAAGCTCAAGGACAGCACCTAGACCCTGAGTTCAAGCCCCATGATCAAAAAATAGTGAAAAAAATAGTCTAATGTAAAGATTTTAATCAACAGAACACTCATGGTTTTATTCCTATTCAAATAACTTAAAATATTATAATAAACTAAACTTTTTATGTGAAAATAGCTACTTTCTCTATTTTTAAAGTGTCAGAAATGAATCATAAATTATTAACTTTCTAGCTTCAAAATTTTCTGATAGGATGAGATAAGGACAGAGAACGAAGTATATATGAAATAAGAATTAGGTATGAATTGATCCTTATGAACATGAGTAGAATAAGAAAATACAAACTCATTTTATTATTTTCTCTGCTGCTATCCTTGAAAATTTCCACAATAAACCATTTTTATTGTGTATGTATATGAGCATGCACATGTATGTGTATTGTGTTTTGCTGGAAATTGGAGCCAGGACCTCATGCATGCTAAACCAGATGTCTACCACTGAGCTACAGCCAACCACAATAAACCATTTTTAATTACAAAACAATCTATTTAGCCAACTTTTCTTCAATACTCACTTTACAGTGCAGGTGAATCGAGTAGAAAGCTTCATAATGGCAGTGAGGGCATAACCTCGTGTCACAGAGGTGGACATGTTAGAGATTAGAACACTTTCTAAAATATCCAAGACTTCATCCTCTGTTACCTAGGGGAAAACAAAGAGGAAAAAAACATGCAGAATGAATGGTGACACTAAATAACTGAATCTTACAAAATCAAGTCAGAATGCTGCCAACCATCACAAGAGCCTTGAACACAACCTGCACGTTGCTAACCCACCAGTCAAAAGTAGAGTTCAAGCCAGGCATCAGAGGCTCACTCCTGTAATCATAGCTACTCAGGAGGCTGAGATCTGAGGTCGAAGCCAGATAAGGCAGGAAAAGTCTGTGAGACTCATCTCCAATTAAGCACAAAAGGCTAGAAGTAGAGCTGTGGCTCAAGTGGTAGAGTGCTAGCCTTGAGCACAAAATCTAAGGAGGAGCACTCAAGCCCAGAGTTCAAGCCCCAAGAATGGGAGAAAACACAAAAAGTGGGACTGAAACACATATTATAAAGTGGCAGAAGAATTATAAAGAAAAATCTGAATAGTTCAAAGACACAACTTTCTGAAGTCAGTCCTCTAATGAGCAAATTAAAACAAAGAAATATGCCTCATTTCTTCTTGCTCATCAGCCACAGAGTAAAAGAATAAATAATTCCACTTGCTAGGGAGAGGAATGAGCCTAATACATTTGTGGATTTTGTTTTTAGTACTAGGGACTGAACACCTTACCACTGAGCTCCATTAATGTTTCAATGTTTCACAATGATCCATCCCCAAAACTAGCACATTTCCCAACATAATTCTAGTACTAGTTAGAATAGTTTTCAAAGCATGAACTTCAGCTCCCTATTAAACACTACTCTCCCACTCTTCTCCCTTCCTTAACCAAAACTAACAAGGGGTACCTGAATAGGCTCTTCTTCTTCACATTGGCCAGACACAAGAAGATCACCATATTCACCTATACACCATGCAGCTACTTGTACCAAAGGTTGCTGTAAAATAAAAATTCAAGGACTTCAATATTGCCAAAAATACTTAATGACAAGCACAGATCATTTAATCATAAAGGAAAGAAGGAGTACATGTACAGTGTTAGAAATAGTGATGAGTCAGAAGAATAAATAGAAAGTTTTCTAAGTAGAAAGGCTAGCAAATGAAGTACTTACTTGAGAATAATCACCAAGAATTGCTTTATACAAGCGCTGGACTGTATAAGCATGCATTTCCACACTATTAGTTATTAACTGAATTAAGTTGGGGACTGCATCATCACGAACATAACTTCCTGCCTAAAAGGAAATGCAGAGTTATCACTATAAAAAACAAAGCAATGGTAACATTGTTTATCAACATTCTGTTTAATATTAGTGTAAATTAATTGCAAAGGCATCAGTGTGGTATTTCCGGACATATACGCAATATTCTTTAACCAGATTCACCCAATCTATTATATTCTTAGTCCCCTTTTCTCCTTTACCTTTTGTAAACAGTATTTAGTAGGTTTCATTATTTTATCTTCATATACACACACACACACACACACACACTATATATATATATATGTGCTATGTAAATAGAGTATCATATACTTGGATCACCTGCGCCGTCTAGCACCCTTTCCTTCTCCCTCCCATTAGTTTCTCCTCTCCAGACAGTTCCCCTGCAATTCATTTTAGGTCTAGGGATTCCACATGAGCAAAACCATGAAATATTTCACTTCTGAACTTGGCCTATCTTGTTCAACATATGATTTCCAGTTTCATCTACTTTCCAGCTCATTTTTCCAACTATTGTTAAAAAGAAACTACTAAAGAAAATTCTCAGCAATAAGCCTACTTCTATTCTTTTTAAACTTTAAAAAAATATTAAAATTTTAATATTCAAAAATCTTGTCTAAAGGCAAATTATAAAGGGTTCTTTTTTTTTTTGGTCCTTGAGCTTTTGTTGTTGTTGGTGGTGGTGGTCATGGGGCCTGAATTCTAGGCCTGAGTGCTGTCCCTGAGCTCTTCAGCTCAAGGCTAGTGCTCTACCACTTGAGCCACAGTGCCACTTCCAGCTTTTTCTGTTTATGTGGTGCTGAGGAATCGAACCCCGGACCTCATGCATGCCAGGTAAGCACTCTAGGGCTGAGCCAACTTTCCAGCCCCATCCCTGAGCTCTTTTGCTCAAGGCTAGCACTCTACCACTTTGAATCACAGCTCCACTTCTAGTTTTCTGGTGGTTAATTGGAGATCAGAGTCTCATGGACTTTCCCACCCAGGCTTGCTTTGAACCACTATCCTCAGATCTCAGCCTCCTGAGTAGTTAGGATTATAGACATGAGCCACTGGCACTCGGCTAAGGTTTCAAATTTTTCAGAGAATAGCCAGGCACTAGTGGCTCACATCTGCAAACCTAGCTTCCCAAGAGGCTAACATTTGAGGACTGCAATTCAATGCCAGCCCAGGCAGAAAAGTCCATGAGACTCTTGTTTCCAACTAACCAGCAAAAAGCTAGAAATGAAGCTGTGGCTCAAGTGGTAAGAGCACTAGTCTTGAGCACAAAAGCTTAAGGATAGTACCTAGGCCTTGAGTTCAAGCACTCCCCCCCAAAAATAAATATAATAAATAATTATTGATAACAAATAAAAATATATAAAGAATGCATCTACATGTGTGTATATACATGTATACATACTTGTATATATACATGTAAGTACATATATGTGCATATAAAGTGTTTTTCTCTGCTCAAAAGTGGAAAATTTCAAAAATTTTAAGAAGTATATTCATTGAGAACTCAACTAGAACAACCACTCCCTGGTGTTAAAAATCATATAGGCAAATTACAGTATGTTACTCTGGGAAAGCGGAAGGTATAATGAGTATATTAACAGTTCAAAAAGGCACATTCCGTCAGAGGCAGGAAATGTCAGAGGCATGAGATCATTGGTATGGAGTATTTGTCTTGTATGCTTCTTGTTGGCTACTCATGACCATCTGCCTATATTGATAATTTTGTATAGCTTAAGAATGATGTTAAAAACAGCCAAATGGCCCTGGGAAGAATAAACATTTCCCAACTGTTCAAGCAGACCAAACTTATTGCCACATGGGATCTGAGTGCTCACTGTTCCATCTGATTAGTACATTCTTCTCCAAGATCTTTGCCTGGCTTGTTCCTCACTTCACCAAGATCATTACTCAAATGTTACCTTCTCTGGGACCTGATGTCACTACTCCACATAAAACAATTGGTCAGTTTCCATATATCCCACCCTAACTTGCTATCATGCTGTTTTAGGTTTTTATCATAGCACTTATGTTACACATTTTTCCATGAATTTCCAATTTCCAATCTCTCCCACTAGAACGTAAGCTCCATGAGAACAAGGGCTTTATCTGGCTCACTTCTATATATATCCAAGTACTTAGCATAACTGAATAAGAAGCTACTTACCGTTGTCAGAACACGCATAATTGTGTCTATATGCCACCGTTTAGAAGGTGCATACCTGAAAAACAAAGACAAGGGTAGAAAAGTTGAAACTTATAAACTGTACTATATTCAGTGATTTTTCAAAAACCCCATCTGTCCTCTGTCCTACAGTCTTTTCTAGGTTCCCTGGTAAACTGACATTTGAACAGCTAACCTATCAACAATCACCATTTCAAAAGATGGTGAGATATAGTTGAATTCAGATGTTTCCCATAATACTGAAATAAGAATGGCTGAGGTGAGAAATGGGACTATGTTCCAGTTTCTCAGAAAACAAATCATATAGTCACAGTATAAAGAATAAAAGAAGAAAGCAGATATTTCCTTGACCCAGACTACTCCAGGTCTGAGAACTCGTTTCCTTAAAATTCAGAGTGGAGGGCTGGGAAGGTGGCTCAGTGATAGAGTGCTTGCCTTCCATGCATGAGGCCCTGGGTTCAATTCCTCAGCACCACAAAAGCAGAAAAAGCCAGAAGCGGTGCTGTGGCTCAAATGGTATAGCACTAGCCTTGAGCTGAAGAGCTGAGGGACAATGCCCAGGCCCAGATTTAAGGTCCCACTACCGACCAAAAAAAAAAAAAAAAAAAATCAGAGTAGAAAGAATAATCATATTACTAAAATCTTACGGTATTTCCTACTTCAAGGTTGACACAGAACTTCTACTGAGACGCTGTAACTTTTCTATCTTTTCATTAAAAAAAGCATCACAAGGTTAAAGGACAAGCTATAGGAGGAAATTACAAGTGGGATTTTGTTTGGTCTCAACATACTTAAATGCTGGCTATAATGGTTTTCTCATAGATAACATAATTCAGAGCGAAATAAACGTTATGTATTTTTTTAATGTTTATAGTCTTTCCCCATGTTTAAAGATGCATTCAAAAACCTCCAAGCTCCTTTTACCAATAACTAAAAACTAAATCTTACTTTTCTGCAGCAAGAAAGATTCCAGATGCACAGTCTGCTTTAAATTCTGGCTCACATGAATCCAGAAAATAAAGTAATTCCTTCATCATGCCTCGGATATTATTTCCATTTACCAGAGCAAAACTCAATTCCATTGCACGCCTTGCAGCGGGAAAAGATTAAAAAAAAAAAAAAGAAAGAAAAAGAAAAAGAAAGAAAGAAATTACAACAAGAATGAAACAAGGATCCAGGTATGTTCCCTCCGAATACCAAAAGCACTGGCAGACGTATTAAAAGTCTTTGTCCAAACTTGTAATCTCAATCTTTATGAGCAATATAACCAAGGAGATTTATTTGTATGTAATCAAAGTTTTGATATTCTCAATCATGTCTTAACACTTTCCTTCAAAAATCTCAAGTTGAGCATGAATGGCTCACACCTGTAATCCTAGCGACTCAGGAGGCTGAAATCTGAGAACTTCAGTTCAAAGCAGCCTGGGCAGAAAAGTCTGTGAAACTCTTATCTCCAATTAGCCACTGTTAACCTGTTCTGTACAAACAAAAAGTACTGGCTATCAATAAACGCTTGTTAATTGAATGGCTGCAGAGAACAATTTAAATCTTTGTTATGGATTTGAACACATAACCAAAGTTAACTGGAACTAACCATAGCTGGATTTTTTTCAAATATCTACAATTCTAAAAGAATCTCCAGAATATTCCATTGAGGAGATTTATGCCTTTTGAGAGGGCTCCTAGCAGTGAGATGCTAACACATTTGCTTCCAGTATCCTAGGGTACAAGTACTATGGAAAATGTGTGCTGTCAGTAATTTGAGCTTCAGCATTGTGTTGAGACACTTAGCCGATGGATCACTCCTTATTTTCATCCTCCAGCACACAGAACATAGTACCTATGCTTACTTAGCCACTTATTTGTTGTACCTGTTATATTTATCAAAGACAACTAGTGTATTTCCTACTGGTCTCCTAATGGACCTAAACTGCTCGTCAATGTTTTCTAAAGCAGGATTTACTCTGGAGAGTTCATCCATGAATATAGTGACTAAATACATAAATGTCAACATTCTTCTCTCAAAACTAGTACAAACTATCAAGTAGGGAAGTACACAGAACAAATCAATAATCTGATTTTTCTCACTTCATTTAACAGAAAAACTGAACTGAAAAACAGCTTGTTACCGTTTTATTGAGACATCCAAATCTTTTAAACAGTCCACAATTGTGCTTCTGTGCCTCTGTACAGCATTATGATCTGTTTGCACAGTCTTCAACAAAGATGTCAGTGCTACATATCTAGATAAAACGAAGTTTGACAAGAACAGTGAAAATGTAGTTTAAGCCAGCCCAGTGGCTCACCCTGTAATCTTAGCTACTCAGGAGGCTAAGATGTGGGTATTACAGTTCAAAGGCAGCCCAGGCATTAAAGTGTGTGAGATTTTTATCTCCAATTAACCACCAGAAAACTGGAAATGGTGCTGTGGCTCGGAGTGGTAGAACAGTAACTAGCCTTAAGGACAAGAGGCTCAGGGACAGCACCCAGGCCCTGAGTCCAAGCCCCAAGACTGGGCAAAAAAAAAAAAAAAAAAAAAAAAAAATATATATATATATATATATATATATATATATATACAGTTTAGGACTATTTACTCATCTAAATAACAAAAATGTTCAAAGGACGAGGGAATGCACATATGTACAGAACACAGCTTTGATTAACCTTTGCTTTCACAAAGAACATGTAAGCCTTCCAAACAGAAAAATAAAACAAGCATAGGTATATTTTCAGGCTGTCTTATCCCCAAAATGCAAGAGGTACTTATTTTAATTTTACTGCTTGAAAATTCTCTTATTGGGACCAAACTGCTCTGTAAAAATTTGAGCTTAAAAGTATTTTTAGAACATAATTGAGAGTGTCACAGGTTTATTTTCATTTCTATGATTAACATGATTTAAAAGAAAAAATATTCCTGATTAGAAAATAAAAGCAGGCAAGAAATTAAGACTTATTGCCAATTAACCACCAAAAAGCCAGAAGTGGAGTTTTTGCCTTGAGAGCAAAAAGCAATAAAAATAAGAGTGCAAGGCCCTGAGTTCAGGCCCCACTAGTGGCACAAAACAAAACAAAACAAAAAGCTAGACTAAAACTAAGATTGGAACTGTATCATATAAATATACACATACATATACACACGTATCACATTTTATATCACATTTATATATATAGATATATATATTCCTTCAATAAAATCACATTTGATAATCATGAGTTTATAATACTCAAAATGTAAGACTTTTTTTTAATTGACTTACCTAATATTTTTGTCATTGTTCAATAAGAAACGACCCAGAATATTTATGGCTAGAACCTAAAAAGAAATAGCATAAGTTAAAAAATTAAACATTTAAGCCGGGCGCTGGTGGCTCACGCCTGTAATCCTAGCTACTCAGGAGGCTGAGATCTGAGGCTGGCGGTTCAAAGCCAGCCTGGGCAGAAAAGACCGTGAGACTCCTATCTCCAATAAACCACTAGAAAACTGGAAGTGGTGCTGTGAGCGGTAGAGCGCTCACCTTGAGCTGAAGAGCGCAGGGACAGTGCCCAAGCCCAGAGTTCAAGCCCCAGGACTGACAAAAAAAAAAAATTAAACATTTATATTGTTTATATTGTTTCTGCCTAAGAAATCAATTCCTAGCCTGGGAGAGTAACTAATTAAGGTAGTACTTGGTATCTATAGACTGTTAGAAAAAAAAGAAAAAAAAACTGAACTTGTAAAAAACATAATCTGTTTCAATAGTAATTGCTAGATTATTCTAAAAGGTTTCAACATTACAAAATACAATTAGCCTTTGCACCCGTTTCTTCACATACAACTCTTAAATTCCTTGGAATTTCACTGTATCACTTGGTTGTAATGAGTTAACTTAATGGCCACCTGGATAGCTTCAAGATTGTCTGTCTTGCCAAGAGAACCAACCAAATAGCCTGGAGAGTTGGAGCTTTCAGCTGGAGGAAGACGTGCTGAAATTAATAAGCTGATCACCAACAGGCAGTGGGAAAAAAAAAAGAAAGAAATAGAAAACTATCATCCTAGAGCCAGCCGGTGACTCTAGCCTATAACTCTAGATACTCAGGAGGCTGAGATATGGAGGATTTAGGTTCAAAGTCAGCTAAAGAAAAAAAAGTCTGTAAAACTCCATCTCTTGTTAACCAGTAAAATGCTGGACTAGAAGTGTAGCTCAAGTGATACAGCCCCAGATGAGAGTAAGAAAGCCAAGAACTCAAAGTCTGAGTGCAAACTTTGGTACCGGCATACATATTTTTTAAAAAATCACCTTATTAACTACTACAGCTAAAGCTTCTAGTGAATACCAAAACTGATGGGCAAAAGTCTATAAATAGATTATTATTTATGTGGTTTAAAAGTGTCTGTCACAAAATATCTTTAAATATAAAAAGAGAAAAATAATACCTTCACAGTGAAGAGACCCAGCAGACACCTAACCAAATAATAGTTTAAACCATAAAATGATCTACTGAAGAGGGCACATTATTTCCATGGTAATTTTGCCAAAAAGTATAATCATAATCCATAAAGTCATGACAAAAATATCAAATAGACACAAGTTGGGGTACATTTTATTTAGAATGTATTTCTTCTTTTAAAGTTTCAGCAAGGCTAAGGTGGCTCATACCTATAATCAAAACTACTCAAGAAGTTGTCAAGCCAGCCCAAGCAGCAAAATCCATGAAACTCTCACCTCCCAATAACTACCAAAAGGCCAGAAGTAGAGCTATGGCTCAAATGGTAGAGCACCAGCCTTTAGTGAAAAAACTAAAACAGTACCCAGGCCCTAAGTTCAAGCCCCAGTACTGACACAGATTAATAATAATAATATAAAATATGTCAAAGTCATAGTAAATGAAAAAACAAAGACTGAGGAACTGTCATGGATTAGAAGAGACTTAAGGAGACATGACAAACGTAATGTGGAATCATGCACTGGGCTCCTTAAACAACAACACCAGAAAACTGAATAAAGTCCATAATTAATAATATAGTGTAAATATTAGAAGATGCCTACTTTTGCAAGATCTTTTTTTGTTGGCTTTGTTTTTTGTTTCTTTTTTTGCTTTTTGTCAGTCATGGGGCTTGAACTCTGAGCCTGGGTGCTGTCTCTGAGCTCTTCAGTGCAAGGCTAGTGCTCTACAACTTGAGCCACAGAGCCACTTCCAGTTTTCTGATCATTTATTGGAGATGAGAGTCTCACAGACTTTCCTGCCCAGGCTAGCTTTGAACCATGATCCTCAGATCTCAGCATCTTAAGTAGCTAGGATTACAGATGTGAGACACCAGCACCTGGCATTTTGCAAGATCTTAACATTAGGTAAAGGTGGCTTAAGAGTACAATATGTAGCCGGGTGCTGGTGGCTCACACCTGTAATCCTAGCTACTCAGGAGGCTAAGACCTGAGGATCTCGGTTCAAAGCCAACCAGGGCAGGAAAATTCATGAGACTCTTATCTCCAATAAACCACTAGAAAACCGGAAGTATCGCAGTGGCTCAAGCAGTAGAGAGCTTGCCTTGAGCTGAAGAGCGCAGGGACAGCACCCTGGCCCAGAGTTCAAGCCCCACGAGCAACAAAAAAAAAAAGAGTACAATATGCACGGTAATTATTTTTGTAACTTTTAAGTCTAAAATTATTTCAAATAAAGGTTTTTTAAAGTGACAAAAAGAAAATGAGTAAGTATCTACAGACACATCTGAATATGAATAAAGCATCTAAAAAAAATGAGTTTCATTCTAGGAGCATGGAAAGGGAAAGCTACATGGGAAAGCTATAAGGCAGAGATTTTTCTCCCGGTGTTCCTGTGGTATCACTTGACTTTCTGATTCTACATGTTCATTCATTAGACAAAAAGAAATTCACAAGCTGAGTGGTGGTAGCTCATGCATATAATCATAATTACTCAGGAGGTTAAGAACCAGGGTTCAAAACCACCCAAGCAGAAAAGCCCACGAGACTGTTATCTCTACTAAAAGAGCGGGAACTGGAGCTGTGGCTCAAGTGGCAGAGTGCTAGCCTGGAGCATAAAATCTCAGAGTCAGCATCCAGGCCCTGAGTTCAAGTCCCAGGATCCACACCAAAAAAATCACTCAAATATTGTGTCTTGTCTTCTTTGAAATAATGAATACAACTCAGTGTAGTCCTAAAAAACTTAATCTGAAATGTTTCCTCTTCAACAATATCTATCTAATTACACCTGCCTTCTTACAAATGTAATTATTATAATCAGTGTTAAGCTTTCATTGGGGAAAAAAATTACATTTTGCATAGAGAAAATATAGCATTATGGGTACTGCCTGTGTGCTCGTTTGGTGCAGGGGGACCTCTTTTGTGAAGCGGCATCTGAGGAGACTCTGGAGCTAGTGATAGCCGACAAAAAGCCCAAGGAAGGAGTCAAGACTGAGAACAATGATCATATTAATTTGAAGGTGGCAGGCAGGATGGTTCTGTGATGCAGTTTAAGATTCAGAGGCACCATTTAGTAAACTAATGAAAGCCTATTGTGAACAACAGGGTTTGTCAATGAGGCAGATCAGATTCCAATTTGATGGGCAGCCAATCAATGAAACAGACACACCTGCACAGTTGGAAATGACTGAAGATACAATTGATGTGTTCCAGCAGCAGACAGAAGGTATCTACTAAAAAAGGGAACCTGCTACTTTGCTCCAGAACTTTGTTCTTATAGACCAAGAATACATTCTTAATTAGAAAACTGCAATTTGGTTCCACCACATCCTGACTACTACAGTATATTTTTCTCTATTCTTTCATTTTCCCCTTTCCCATTCCTTTACTGTACATAAAGTAACTGGCGTATGTGCACAAAGCATATTGCTTTTCTTTTTTTTCTTTTAAACTAAATGGCAATGGTAGATTTTGACTGGCATCAAATGGAGATGAGATGGGGGAAAATGCTGGCTCTGTGAAAATATCCCCCTTCTTCATCTGTGGCATGCGCATTCAGCTTTTATCTTTATGTTTCAGTAAGTTACTTTTGCTCTCCCTGTTTTAACAAAAAAAGAAAAAAACAACAAAAATCCTTGCATACTTTGTTTGACTAGAGAATTTTAATGTTTTCATTTATCATTGTAAAACCAGGAACAATTTTATAACTTTTTTGTACTTAGCTGTTACATGTAGAGCAATCTGTCTTTAAATAGGGGTAAATTACTCTTAAAAAAAAAAAAAAAAAGAATCCTAGATGGTTTTCCCTTCAAGTCAAGTGTCTTGTTGTTTAAATAAACTTGTTTAAAATGAAAAAAAAAAGAAAATATAGCATTATGAATTTTTACATCATTCCTTCATAGTAAAATCAAGTTCCATATGGAATCTATTTCCAAGTCCAAAGTAGTTCTCAATAAAATGTCTAGGGGGAAGAAAAGATCTATAAAGACTTACTCGTAGTCCACTCTCTGATTTAATATCCATGATAGTCAAAACTGTTTCATAAAGAATAGCGTTTCCTACGTTTTTACTAGTCTCTGTATTAGTGGCAACCTGAAAAAACAGGAGATAATGTATAAGTGATAAGATAATGCTTCCAAAATTTTCCAGCAGTAGACATTTCCAAACAGTAAACAAAAATCTGTTCCAACTAGTCATCACACGACGATGTGACGAATATGTGCTACAATCCAAGTTGGGCCAACTCACCTGTGCTAATATATCATTCATAGCTTCACTTGAGTCATCGTCATTTCTTCCTAAAATTCTTAATAACCGTAAGATTCGTACCTAATGTACAAAATATGAGAATCATCAACAAATTATGTATAGCAAAAAGGGATCTAACTTGGCATGAAATTCAAATAACTTAAATGAACTCTTAGTTCCCCAGCAAAACAATCAATAATCAAACAGAAGGATTTTAAACATTTTTTAGAAGCTAAATAAGCTTCTACATCTAATTATATTATCAGACAACCTACCCCCCCTTCATTACCTCAAAGTTAAATAATACAATTTGCAGAAACCTATTATAGTGATAATCAAGTAAGGAAGGAACAATTAATTCTATTAAAACTTTCAGCTTAAATAAATGGAGAACTTTGACTCTTGTCTACTCATTAATATAATTAATAACTACAAAATTTCCATACAGTACAAACTAAAGGAAAAGATATAGTCTACTCAAAAGTCATTCAATTCTTATATACTCAAAATACGTTTTCAACCTTACCTGCAAAAAAGGGTCACTGATACCAGAAACATCATGTTCTGGAGAATATCCGGACATAATGAGGTTCTTTAGAATACGAACTAACTGGGGCACAAGCTGTAGAAAAGAAAGATGCATTAAAAAAAAAAAAAAAGTGATTATGTGAGACTGTCGTTGAATAAGCAGGTCCTTTGGTTTAGAAAAAGGATCTGAGTCCAAGAAAATTCTATTGATATAAACATATGGTGGATATTTGAAAAACATAATTTGGGAGTACTTATGCCAAAACCCAAGAAGGAGGTAGTTTGTCTGGACAAAAACAAAACAAAAAAACTACACTATTTTTACTCCAGAGATATATATGCAAAACTATTATGAACAACATTGACCAGAAAGCCTATTTTAATCATGTAAAACAGATGTCTATGGGCATACTTCCTCTCAACTGCTATAGTACTTGACATACACACGTGGCAAAAAATGTTCAGCATTTATTCATTCAAACATCTGTATATAAAAGGTTATCATACCAAAATATAACTGGTAATCTTACTAAAATTATATTTAAAATATACCACAAATCAAATAGAGAAAAAAAAATCTATCCTCTTAAAGCTAGTTATATCCTTTTCCAACAAATGTCAGGGATACCAAAGCCATCAACATTACCCAAATGGAAAAGATGCAGGAAGAAAATATACCTTTCACCTTAAGAAGATACCAAAGCCAAGAATAATTCCCCTACCTGTTCTTAACTCTTATGACACAATTTTGTTATAATTTAATGGCCTATTTTCTGATCTTACCAATGTGATTAATACATTCCTTATGGTCAGAAATTCCCTTGTCCTTTCTTTACTTAGTCTCATTGAGACTCATAACACATAGTAGAAGTAATATTATTGCCAACCCACACTTACTGATGCTATAAGTATTAACACTCATTTCATTTTTGTAGGGAACCATTTGATTTTGAAACCCTACTCCAAAATGTTTGCCTCAGGAGGAATTTTTCCAGTCTCCCAAGTGAAAACTTAATTTAGCCAAACAGACTATTCTAATGACATAAAGTTAAGTAAACTACATGGCATCTTTTTTGTAGGCCATCTGCATAGTCCCAACTCTGCTACAACCCAATGTTTTCCTCATTGTATTTAAACTCTATTCCTTCCAGTTCCTTGAGCCTAAAAGGGGACCAAGATTAAAATGAAAGCCAAGCTATACCCAAGGCATGCACCCAAAACATTCAAAGCATTAAGGCCACTTCTAAATGCAAGAGAACACAATCAATATGAGCTTAAATATTTAAGTTTGGCCATAACATCTCAGAATTTAGTGATTCATAAGTCATCACTAAATTATCTAATTTGGACAACTCCAAGAATAAAACATATCTATGCCCCAGAGATCTGTAAATTCTAAACAAATCCTTATAAAACCTGTCTACTGTGGGCAAACTTGTATATAGATAGGCAGCTCACCTTGCATACTTCCCAATGGTCTGCTTTTTTGTACTACACATAACCCTAATTATTTTTTAAATTCTGGTTTAGTTCTTGGAGAAGTCCTTTTTTCCTTGGGCTACTAAATTCAGAAATTGTTTTAGTCACTGCTAAAAGGCCAGCACATCACATAAGATTACCCTGGGACAGAAAGCACATGTCTAAGTGTTCAGCATACAAATTCTTGGAACCCAGCTTTATTTTCCAAACAAAATGCAAATTACTAAAACTGATGACAGGACAAACAAAGTAAGATGACAAAGGGAAAGGCTGCAGCCATGAAAATCAGTTGATGCCCACCTGCACTACCTCTAAATTCTTTTAGTAGTCTAAAACTTCTACGCAAGATTAAGTCCAGATAAGAGGTAAATAAAAGCTTGAAGTCTTAACTGAAAGCTCAGAAGTACACATGGAGCTTTTTGAAGTATGAGATTACCCACATATGATTCTAAAATATCTACTTCAAAAAGAAGCAGTGTTTTGTGTCAGTTCGCCAGACAGACCTGGAATTGCAATCACCAAAGTTGCTGGGAAACTGCTCAGTTTCTCAAGTGAAGATTAGGGAAAGGCAAAGGGGGAAGCTTACAACTGAGGGAAGGCTGCAACTGAAATCCAAGGCTGTCTTGGGAGTCAGGAGTTTTAAGTGACAAGACAAAAACTGGACTGGAGAGTTAGCCAAAAAACTAGAACAAATAACTCACAGTATTAAGCACAGCTTCAGCATTAGTATAGTTTAAAAGCCACACTTGTGGATGGATACACAAAAGCTACTAAAGACCTAATGCCAGCATGCACCATCTAAAAGAGGGTTAATTCTTACCTTTTCATTCTAACATACAGCAGGATTCCAAACAGACAACAGGAACAAAACATACAAAGCAAGCATTAGGGACAGATACGGGTCTCATACTATTTTACAATAATTTAATCAAGACATGAACATCTAAGGGGGGGTAAAGCCAAAAAAAAAAAAAAAAAAAAGAAAGAAAGAAAGAAAGAAAGAACTGCTGTTAGATCTTAACTACAAAATGAGCTTTATGGAGTGATTAGCAATAGAAAAGGAATTAAAAGCATATAACTTTCAAAAACAGATTCTGGATGTTTTCTGCTGCCTCTAAAAAAATAAGAAGAAATGAAAATGATCACTTTAAAATGCTTTAAAAGATGTGAAGAGGCCGAGCACTGGTGGCTCACGCCTGTCAATCCTAGCTACTCAAGAGGCTGAGATTTGAGGATCATAGTTCAAAGTGTGCCAGAGCAGGAAAGTACATGAGACTCTTATCTCCAAATAACAACCTGAAAACTGGAAGTAGAGCTGTGGCTCAATGTGGCAGTGCTAGCCTTGAGCAAAAAAGTTCAGGGGAAGTGCCCAGGTCCTAAGTTCAAGCCCCCCTACCAATTACAACAACAACAAAAACAGCTTGGCATGGGTGGCTCAGGCCTGTAATCCTAGCTACTCAGGAAGCTGAGATCTGAGGATTGCAGTTCAAAAGCTAGGCCAGACAAGAAAGTCTGTGAGACTCTTATCTCCAATTAATGCACCGTGGCTCAAAGTGTAGAGACTACCTTGAGTTTGAAAAAGCTTATGGACAACACTGAGGCTGTGAGCTCATGTCCCTCAACTGGGAGAGAAGGGGCAGAGAGGGAGGGGGGAGGAAGGAAGATAGCGGGGGACTTTAAAAAATTAGAGCCAGGTGCCAGTGGCTTACTCCTATTATCCTAGCTACTCAGGAAGCTGAGATCTGAGGTTCAAACCTGGCTCAGACAAAAAAGTCCCCAAGAGACTCACATCTCCAATTAACCACACAAGGACCAGAAGTGGCACTGTGGCTCAAGTGGTAATGTGTTAAATTTAGCACACAGTGGCTCAGGGACAGCACCCAGGCCCTATGCTCAAGCCCCACAACCAACAAAAAAAGAAAACAAAACAAAACTAGGTCTTGGGCTAGAAGCATGGTTCCAGTGGCAGAGCATCTGTTTAGTAAGCATGAGGCTGTAAGTTCAAGCCCAGCACCACAATTTTTTTTTTTAAGCTAGGTTTTTCACCAGAGAAGTCAATGGCCTACAGTGACCAATATAGTAAAGTAATAAAAATCCTATTTCAGTTTGTGCCTTAAAAAAAATTATCTTTAAAGAAAATCTTATCCCGGGCACCAGTGGCTCACGCCTGTAATCCTAGCTACTCAGGAGGCTGAGATCTGAGGATCGAGGTTCAAAGCCAGCCCATGCAGGAAAGACTGTGAGACTCCTATCTCCAATAAACCACTAGAAAACCGGAAGTGGCGCTATAGCTCAAGTGGTAGTGCACTCACCTTGAGCTGAAAGAGTGCAGGGACAGCGTCCAAGCCCAGAGTTCAAGCCCCACGACCGACAAAAATATATATATATATCTTATTTGTAATTGACCTCAGGTTACATTTCCTGACTCAATGTAAAAACAGCAGATAAATACTTGAGATTGGTTTGTCTGCCAATAATGAGAGAAGACTTCTATTCTGAAAGGGAAAACACTCTACTAGTGCCAACTCTTAGATGCCTAAATCTGGCTTCCAGCCCTACCACACAGCAAGGCTAGTTAAATCCTTTCTTCAGCTCTATAGCTTGCTTTCAAAAGAAAATCGTAAGTGAGAAAATCATGTACTTTTCAGGAAATTCATTTCTTAATAAAGAAAAGCTTAGGCACACAGAACAGGACCTACCTTTCTAAAATGTGCAAGCATATCTGGGCTTCGCTCACACATTTCTGTGAGGAGGACTACAGATGTATGAAGGACACCTGAAAGAAAAGACCAAATAAACTAAAAACAAGGCCCTACCATTGAGTTCCAGAGAAGAAGGCTTTGAGTTCCTGAAAGTCAATTCCAAAAGGATAGCTGCTACTTTTACTTTTTAATCCCCTAAAGCATCCAAGCATTATGGGGAATACAAAGAAGGTACTTAATAGAAGCCTGCTGACTTAACATTGGTCAAATCAAAGCATTTTTGAACAATTATGTGATCAAAATAATTACTTTAAAAATGACATGTCTATTTGAAAATATCCAGGAAGACTCACAATCAATATAAGCTACATTTCTTTTGCTCCATACCTACCATGTAAGCTATTAGTTCAGTCTTCACAAATTACAGAGAGAAAAATCTTAGTAGGATTTTAAATTTCCAGATAAAATGTACCAAAATTCCAAAATAATTATAATAACAAAGTTGTTCATTCCAAAATCAATAAAGAGAATATCACAACGCTTTTCACTAAGTAATAAATGAGGGACGTAAACATTCCTTTATTCAATAAGTATACTTTGAACATACTGTGAATGTATCACTGTATTAATCAAATTAAATATATAGTAACTTTTTTTCTCTTAGACCATACGATACATAAATTTTCTTCATTTAGATAAAATAAATTGGGGAAAGAACAGTCACATTCCACTTAATTCCTCTGAAATTTTATGTAAATGTAACTGAATACTCATTAAAATTCCTGTTACAAGTAACTCAGAAGAATTTTGTCAGTCGCTGGGCCTTGGGTGCTGTCCCTGTGCTCTTTTCGCTCAAGGCTAGAACTCTACCACTTTGAGCCACAGTGTCATTCCAGTTTCTCCAGTGGGTAATTGGACATAATCAGATGTTCCTGGGCTGGCTTTGAACTGCAATCCTCAGATCTCAGCTTCATGAGCAGCTAGGATTACAGGCATGAGCCACCAGTGCTTGACTTCTTTAATCTTATACTTTTGTTGTTGTTGTTAGTCATGGGGCTTGAACTCAAGGCCTGGGTACTGTAGCTTTTTCACTCAAGGCTAGTGCTCTACCACTTAAGCCACAGCGCCACTTCCAGTTTTCTAGTGTTTAAATGGAGCTAAGAGTTTCATGGACTTTCCTGCCCAGGCTGGCTTTGAACTACGATCCTCAGATCTCAGCCTCCTAAGTAGCCAGGATTATAGGCATGAGCCACTGGTGTCCCACTGATTTTATACTCTTAACACATAACAACGAAGAAAAAAATTTGGTATAAAATAAAAATTTAGTATAAAATAAAAAGATTCACAGATATGAGACATCAAGGGTAGGATATTTATACATCACACTAAATATTATTAAGAGAACCAGAGTTGAAAGTTAAGTTTACCTCAATAGTAAAGCAATAATTATAAACTAGGGGATATCTGAGCAGACCTTCCTGGAAAACTAAGCACACCAGACTGACACATCCTTAAGCCTTTTCTCTTTCCCTTTCTCCCTCAGTACTTCATGAGTCCATCCAAATCATATTACCATGGTTCTTCTCATTCAATAAATTTTTTGTTGCTGGCAAAAACATCTCCATAAGTTCAGGAACCTTCCTGATGACATGAACAGCACACAGTGCTGCCTATTAAAAAAAAAAAAAAAGAAGAGGGGGGGGAGGAGAAAAAAATTATTTCAAGTAAGTCAAGGATAGAACAACCAATCTTATTTAAAAACAACAACAACAAAAGAATTCACCAACTAATTCACTATTAGGAAAATAAAGAAGATGGATATGTTTTATTGTTTATGAATGAACTAGGTCTTTGTAGTATAGACTGTTGTAATAATGACCAACTTCTAGCTGACCTGTTCCTTTGTTAACAAATGGACAAAAACTTTCTAGATTAGAACCTGGTTAATATAAATTATCATACAAGTTAAAACAGAAATTATGTGGAGTTCTAGTGAGTAGAAATAGAGGACTTCCATCTTTAAAATCATTCCTGAGTAGGATGAGAAGATATTAAGACATCATTCAACCTAAAGATATAAACTGCAGATGCTATATATTTGACATTACATTTTTTTCTCAATATCCTGTCTCCAACTGACTCTTTTAACACAAAGAAAATTATTTGGGAGAAGGGGGTAAAGAGAAAGGGGAGGATTTGAAATATACTTAATATCCACTAAATAAAATACAGTCTTACTAACCTATTTACCAGAAAGAAACGTGTGTTTGAGATTGATTTTCGTTACCCACCATCAAAGTAATCATTTGAATCAAATACCATAAAAGCTTAGAGAGATTAATAAATTTTTGTTAATTCTTCACATGTTATATGACAGTGAAGGCACTAATCTGAAGGAATATTTATTTAATGTAATGTACCTGCTAAAGAGGAATAGAGCCTGCAGTCTTCAAGAAAAAGTAATGGCTTACAAATTAAGAATTTAATTTTGTGCACAGTTATCATTAGCTATCATCATAAGAAATGGCTTGGCTTTTACAATAACACTTGTTAATAGATTCAGCAAATAGCAATTAAGATGATATTTCTTGAACTTCATTTACAAAGGTTTCAGGGTTAAAGCATAATTTAAAACTGAATAAAATGTTTATACCAATAAGTGAGAGTAGGTTAATTAGGAGAAAAGGATCATTTCTCATAAATTTAAAAGAGTTCTATATCATTCCCTCATAATTTTCTAGGTTCCAATGGCATCAGTAGAAAGACATGAGCACTAATTATTAGCATAAAAGTTCACACGTAAAGATCTTCGTTTTACTACTGTTTAGAATTAGATAATTTATAAAGTAACTAAATGTGCCTACCTAGGACATCCAGTACATCTTTAGATGAGTTTAGATTCACATACAACCATTTAAAATATATTTATTACAGAAAGAAAAATATAATACCATCTAGCTTTCAAAAATAATCTGCTCTCTTATCGCCATAATGCCCTCTAATCCAAATACTGACATTCATTACATTACCTTTTTTCTTAAGTAAGAGTTGGAAGTTTTCAAGAGCTTCTCTACCTCTCCTGCAAGATCTCTGCACATCTCTGAGGAGCCCATGCAGCCGAGGGTACAAAGTGCTAGCCCCTGCACAAACTGCGTGCTGTGATTAAGATCACTGCAAAAGAAAGAAAGGCAGGTAAAAAATTTTCTCTACCAGTGCTGCCCACAAAGAAGCTGTACAACTTCAAAAAGTAGTTTGGGATGACTCAGATTTCTCTCCAATAATTTGTAGTATTTTTCCAGTAATTACTAGTATTAATTAGAAAGAAAAAATTTATTTCAACATTATAAATTTCCAGTACAGTGAACTTACTGACAGTACCTCCTATAGGTTAACTACCTTGGAAGCCAACCTGAGCTCCACAGTGCGATTCTGTCTTGTGAAAAAAGAAAACTTCTGCTCATAACAAAATAGTAAAAATTATTAGTTTTATTAAAACCCAACTTTTTTTTTTGGTAGAACTGAGGAATGATCCCAGGACCTTGTACACATTAGGCAAGTACTTTACCACTGACTTATACAGCCAACTTTAAACCTCAACTCTTTTTTTTTTTTTCTTTTTAAGACAGAGTCTTACTATGTAGGTTAGCCTCAAATCCACAATTCTTTTATCTCCATCCCGAGTGTTTAATTTACAGGCTAAATCAACTCTGAGTGTACATTTTCAAAATATTCTAAAGGAAGCGGTGACACTGTCAAAAAAGCAATGTACATATTACCTTTGTGAAATGCTAATTTTTCTATGTAATACCTTAATAATAAAAATTAGATTTAAAAAATATTCTGTATGACAAAATGGGAAGTATGCATAAATTACAACTGCACAGTGAAGTAAAATGAAAGCCTCAGAAAAAGCAATTGTAAATCTGTTTCATTTGTAAACTGAACTATGAACTAGCTGTTTTAAAAACACAAATGACAAATATGACAGTTTGGGTATGTGGTAGATATTCTCTGTACAAAGAGTCATGGAAGCCTCTAACTTCAGGAATAACTGCTAGGGGTGAGCGCTGGTGGTGAGCACCTGTAATCCAAGCTATTCAGGAGGCTGAGATCTGAGGATCGAGGTTCAAAGCCAGTCTAGGCAGGAAAGTCTGTGAGACTCCTATCTCCAGTAAACCACCAGAAAACTGGAAGTGGTGCTGTGGCTCAAGTGGCAGAGTGCTCGCCATGAACTGAAGAGCTAAGGACAGCACCCAGGTCCAGAGTTCAAGCCCCATGACTGACCAAAAAAAAAAAAGCAAGCTGTAAAGTAAAACTTAGATGGCACTGTGGCTCAAGTGGTAGAGCACTAGCCTTGAGCAAAAGAAACTGAAGGACAGCACCCAGGCCCAGATTTCAAGCTGACAAAAAAAAAATTAGAATTTTATAAAACTTGTATTTGCAATATAAGCTGAATGTTTTACCAATATTTACCCCTTTCTGATGAAATTAGTGGTAATACTAACTGATGGTTTTTTTTGTTTGTTTGTTTTGTTTTTTTTTTTTTAATATTTTTTTTTGGTCGGTCGTGGGGCTTGAACTCTGGGCCTGGGCGCTGTCCCTCAGCTCTTCAGCTCAAGGCGAGCGCTCTACCACTTGAGCTACAGCGCCACTTCCGGTTTTCTGGTGGTTTATTGGAGATAAGAGTCTCGCGGTCTCTCCTGCCCCGGCTGGCTTTGATCCGCGATCCTCAGATCTCAGCCTCCTGAGTAGCTAGGATTACAGGCGTGAGCCACCAGCGCCCGGCTCTAACTGATGGTTTTGCTTAATATTTGGTAATGAAATGCATTAATATCAGGAAGATATGCATAACTTGGTGAGCTAATTTTTCCAAATGGACCCATTATAGTTATAAAAATAACTACTCGGGCTGGGAAGGTGGCTCAGTGGTAGAGCGCTTGCCTTGCATGCCTGAGGCCCTGGGTTTGATTCCTCAGCACCACATAAGCAAAAAGAAAAAAGCCGGAAGTGGCGCTGTGGCTCAAGTGGTAGAGCGCTAGCCTTGAGCTGAAAAGCTGAGGGACAGCGCCCAGGCCCAGAGTTCAGGCCCCACAACCGGACCAAAAAAAAAAAAAAAAAACTACTCAGAGTAAAAACAGACCAATTGGTCTTAACATAATAAAGCACTAGAGGCTGGGAAGGTGGCTCAGTGGCAAAGCATTTGCCTTGCATGCATGAGGCCCTGGGTTCGATTCCTCAGCACCACATAAGCAAAAAGAAAAAAAGCCGGAAGTGGCGCTGTGGCTCAAGTAGTAGAGCGCTAGCCTTGAGCTGAAGAGCTGAGGGGCAGCGCCCAGGCCCAGAGTTCAGGCCCCAGGACCGGACCTAAATAAATAAATAAAGTGCTATGGCATCACAAACAGCCTCAGAGTCAGCACTGCACCTTACCTTTAAGAAATGATTACTTATTAAGAAATATAAAGAAGCCGGGCACTGGTGGCTCAAGATGGTAATCCTAGCTACTAAGGAGTCTGAGCTCTGAGGATTATGGTTCAAAGCCAGCCAGGATAGGAAGTCCGTGAGAGTCTTATCTCCAATTAACCACCAGAAAACTGAAAGTGGCACTGTACTCACATGGTAGAATGTGGGCTTTGAGCAAAACTCAAGTACAGTGCCCAGGCCCAGACTTCAAGCCCCTGACTGACCAAAAAAAAAAAAAAAAAAAGAAGAAGAAAGAAATGGATATGTCACAGGGGGATGAGATTATTGAAGGGAGTTACACAGATCAAGATACATTGTATTCATATCCTGCTGTATTAAATGACCCTCCTTTGTACAACTACTTAAAGGAAAGCACACAAAAGAAGGAAGAAAAAGAAAAGGAGGGAAGAATGGAGGGAGGGAGGGAAGAAAAAAAGGATTTTAGGACAGTATCAAGTAACATCTCTAGTTATTTTTAAAAGCCATTATGCTTCCCTTTTCTAATTGTGCTATCTGGGAAAGGCTATATTTTCTTCACTTACTCATTCAATATGACATAACACAGGAAACAATGTAGAAGCACATAGGTGCATTCAACATCTTCTTTTAGGTTAAACACTGAAGAGTTATGAAAATTTAAAATACTACCACTCCACGCGATCTTGTTTTTTATGTGTATAGGTCCTGGGGCTTGAATTCAGAGCCTGGGTGCTGTCCCTGAGCTTTTGTGCTCAAGGCTAGTAGTGCTCTACCACTGAAGCACAGCTCTACTACCAGATTTTTGGTGTTAACTGGAGATAAAAGTCTCATCAACTTTCTGGCCCGGACTAGCTTCAAACCATGATCCCCAGATTTCATTCTCATAAGTAGCTAGGATAACAGGAGTGAGTCACTAATGCTCAGCCTAAAAATTTTGGTTTTGTTTTTGCAATACTGAGGTTTGAGCTCTACTACTAGAGCCACACCCTCAATACGTTTTTTTTTGGGCTGACCTCACACTATGATTCTTCTACTTACACCTTCCCAAGAGCTGGCGTTCCAGACATATAACACCATACTCAACTTGTTTGTTTTAATGAATTAATTAATCCCCCCCAGCTAGGGGATGCCTAGCTGATCATACACTGCAATCCTCCTAGTTTCCATCTTGCATGTAAAAGTATTTTATTTTTTATAAGGAATGTTATTTATGTTAACATACAAGAGATCCACTATTAGAACTCCTTTTCATCTAATTGTATTCTTTTTTTGGTGCCAGTACTAGGCTTGTACTCTCAGCTTCACAAGGCTAACACATAAACCACTCCTCCAATTCTGGTTTTTTGCTGGTTAACTAGAGATAAGTATCTCTGGGATTATTTCTGTCCCACCTAGCTTCAAACCTCAATTCTCAGATCTTAGCATTATGAGTGGCTAGGATTACAGATGTGAGCCACCTCCACCTGGATTACAATGCAGGTTCTTAAGATACTAGATTTAATTTTTTAAAGGAATTAATTCTAAGGACTTTAACTTCTTAGAGTTTTTCTAAGTCAATGTATAATAAAACAAATATTTTATTATTAAACATAAAAACTATTGATACACTATGGTACCCCATAACAAACTCATAAAGATATATATGAATATGCAACTTTTAAAAATAATTGAATAATTCAAAACAAAGTAAAATCTTTGATCAATTCTCAATTATTTGGGAAAAAAAAAGTTCTCTCCCAAAGGCACCGGGGTCTTAGCTGGATATCATTCAAACTAAATACAAGCCAGGCAAGGTGGTACAAGAAGAGGATGGTTGAGTTCCAGACCAGTCTGGGCTAAAAACAAAATTCTTTCACAAAAACAAAAAACAAAAAAAGCAAAAACAAATAGAAAAACTATAACATGTAGTCTCCTAATAGAGAAAGTATGAAGGCTATACACAAGGACTGTCATTTGAGTGAGTCCCATTTTCTGCATGGGGAGCAGGAAATGTTTCTTTCTTCTCCACTTCTTCTAATTCTTCCCTTTTATACTAAAACATTTGCTATTTTTTTAAAAAACTAAAAGATTTCTTCTTTATCTATGCGCCTCATTCTTCCCTTTTAATCAAGCTAAATCTACACTTAGGTTTCATATTAACTCTCTAACATGAACTTGCTGCCAGGCAGAAATGCCAAACCATTAGCATGTGATTCAAAGGTTGAGTAATACAGGCAACAGAGCATGTAGGAATAAAAGTTCAAGGAACTCCCTTAGAGATCTATGAAGTAAACATATTTAAGAATTATACCGAACATCTAGAACATACCCTCAAGGACACCCAGGATTTCACTTTCCCCTTTGCCATCCCAGTATTTGCAACAGCTCCTGGCATATAACAGGTGTGCAATAAATTGAATAGATGAAATCAATTTAGTAGTCTCAATATTAATAATTATTTCATAGACAAAAAATAGGAATTCTTCCCAAAAATAAGTCCATAGATTCGTTGTATTTAAATGTTGCATGTAACAATTGCAATTAAGTCATAGCTGTCATTTAATAATTTGGTTATCCATTGAAAAAAAATTATCACTAGCTTCTAACAAAAAAAAAAAAGAGTACAAGTTTTAAATATCCGCAAATCTAATCATCTAATTCTATATCCTTAACTTCTGCTTTTACTTTCTCTTAAATACAAATAAAAAAAGAATTCTAAAAAGGTGATTCAAATCACAGGTAAACCAAAACCAAACTTAAATAAACCTAAAAGTACTAAAGGCCAACAGAACTTTCATAGCTTTCTTTTCTTTTCCTCTTTAAGACGTGTGTGTGTGTGTGTGTGTGTGTGTGTGTGTGTGTGTGTGTGTGTGTGTGTGTCAGTCCTGAGGCTAGAACTCAGGGCCTGGATACTATCTCTGAGCTTGAGCTCAAGGCTAGTGCTCTACCACTGTGTGTGTGTGTGTGTGTGTGTGTGTGTGTGTGTGTGTGTGTGTGTGTGTGTGTGTGTGTGTGTGTGTGTGTGTGTGTGTGTGTGTGTGTGTGTGTGTGTGTGTGTGTGTGTGTGTGTGTGTGTGTGTGTGTGTGTGTGTGTATCAGTCCTGAGGCTAGAACTCAGGGCCTGGATACTATCTCTGAGCTTGAGCTCAAGGCTAGTGCTCTACCACTGTGTGTGTGTGTGTGTGTGTGTGTGTGTGTGTGTGTGTGTGTGTGTGTGTGTGTGTGTGTGTGTGTGTGTGTGTGTGTGTGTGTGTGTGTGTGTGTGTGTGTGTGTGTGTGTGTGTGTGTGTGTGTGTGTGTGTGTGTGTGTGTGTGTGTGTATCAGTCCTGAGGCTAGAACTCAGGGCCTGGATACTATCTCTGAGCTTGAGCTCAAGGCTAGTGCTCTACCACTTTGAGCCACAGTGCCACTTTTAGTTTTCTGGTGGTTAACTGGAGATAAGAATCTCATGCACTTTCCTGCCTAGGCTGGCTCTGAACTGTGATCCTCAGATTTCAGCCACCTGAGTAGATAGAATTACAGGCATGAGCCACTGGCAATCTGGGCTGACCTCAAACTCAAGATACTCCTGCTTCGGCCTCCTGAGTGGTAGAATTATGGGAAGATGCCATACCCAGTTGAGAGAATTTCCCTAAGGATGCTAAAAAGAATTGCTAATTTCCTGCTCAGATCTTTTAATTTATCCATACAAGAAGTATTTCTCAGATGGTCAGCAAGGTAAACATAACCAGTACCATCAGACAAGCAGCCATTAGAGTTTTAAAGAATATTATGCACCAGTGGCTCAGTCCTATAATCCTAACTACTTAGGAAGCTAACATCTGAGAATCAAAGTTAAGACCTGAGAATTGAGGTTTAGAGCCAGCCTGGGCAGAGCCAGGGGTGGTATCAGAGCAGGGTGGGGAGAATCTCACTATAAAATCAGTCATAGTAGTATACATCTATTAAGTTAATGATTCTAGCACAGACAAGAGGATTGCAAGTTACAGGTCAGCCTAGACTACACAGCAAGGCCCTGTTATGAAAAAAGAAAAAAAGCATTAAAATTTAAAGAGGCCCGGCACAGCAACAATGCATGTCCATAATCTCAGTACTTAGGAGGCTCAGACAAGAGGATTGAGAATTCAAGGCCAACTTGTGTTACCTACCAGGCCAGCCTAAGCTATGTAACAGGACCTTCTTTTTATTTGCAAAAGGGGGGCGCCCTGGGCGCTGTCCCTGAACTTTTCAGCTCAAGGCTAGCACTCTACCACTTGAGCCACAGCGCCACTTCCGTTTGGTTTACTGGAGATAAGAGCCTCACAGCCTTTTCTGCCCTGGCTAGCTTTGAACCACAATCCTCAGATATCATCTTCCTAAGTAGCTAGGATTGCAAGCATGAGCCACTGGCGCCTGGCTACAAGACTTGATCTTTAATTTAAAAAAAAAAAAAGAGCTAGGCACTGGTGGCTAATGCCTGTAATCCTAACTCAGGAGGCTGAGATCTAAGGATCACAGTTCAAAGCCAGCCAGGGCAGGAAAGTCCATGAGACTCTTACCTCCACTTAACCATCAGAAAACTGGAAGTGGCACTGTGGCTTAAAGTGGTAGAGTACTAGCCTTGAGCAAAAGAGCTCAGGGACAGCTCCCAGATCCTGACTTCAAGCCCCAAAACTGTCAAAAGAAAAAGAAAAAAAAAAGAGAAAAAAAATCACAGAAATCACAGATATAAGTACAATTCAACACAAATAAAAATCTCAGGAAGATTAGAACACTGATATGAAAATCCTCTCTTTACTTTTATATATTCAGAATATATTGTGTGTGTATGTCCACTTGCACTGATAATGGGAATTCAGCCCCATGTTCTCACTAAGCTTTTCCTGATCAAGGCTGGCACTCTACTACTTGAACCATACCTTCACTTCCAGCTTTTTGATGACTAATTGACAAGAAGGCCTCTCAAAATTGTCTGCCTGAGCTAGCTTCAAACCATTATTCTCAGATCTATTTCCTGAGCAGTTAGGATTAGAGGCATGAGCTCACCTGTGCCATGTCTTCTTTTTTTTTGGTGCCAGTCCTAGGGCTTGAACTCAGGGCCTAAGTGCTGTCCATTAGCTTTTTCTGTTATAGTATTAGGGCCCTAATTCCAACCTTTTGGTAATTTATTGAAGATTAAGAGTTTTATGGACTTACCTGCCCAGGCTGGTTTCAAATTATCATCCTCAGATCTCAGCCTCCCAAGTAGCAAGGATTATAGAAATGAGCCACCAGAACCAAGTTACATGTAGTTTTTAATAAATGTACAGTTCCATTATTCATAGTCTTCAAAGTCCTTGAGATCTAAGATATAAGTCTACATTTTACCCATTTTTTTTCTTTGAAGGGTCAAATGTTTGTTATTATGCCTAAAAATGCACATTTGTCCTTCGTTTTCCTTTGCTTAGCACCTTAATACATAAGCTAATGAGTCAAAAGCAATTCAGATACAATCTATCAAGTAAACATGTAACTGGTAAATAGAAGCTCTTAATGTCATATTATGAAATTCCTTAAACAAGCAAAATAGTTGTTAGAGAAAAGGAAGGTAAGCCTTACTTTTTGATACAGTTGGTCATGAGAAGATGGACATCTTGTCTTTCATCTAACAGCAGCATTGCTCCTAAGTAGCCAATGCGTTTGTCTGTAAATTTTTGAGAGGCAATAAGTTTGAGGCACTCCAACTGCAAATATAAAGAAGAAAATGATATTAAGAGCCTGCTACCACAATCTAGAAAAGCAATGTTCATAGATGACCGAAGTGTAGACTTGTATCATCAAACCTCCTAAATGAAAAAAAGGACTGAAACTTTTAAACGCCTCAATAATAGTAATCAGATTATGAGAGATTATACTGTCAAGGTCTCATACCATTTGCCACCCAAATAATTAAGTTTTAACTTAGTTCATACAAACACAAACGAGTCTAGTATTTAAGATATTACTGGGCTAAATTTCTAATGTTATCCCTAGCTTACATTAATTATTTAACTCAGATTTAAAGTTTAGTTCCTATTTTGATAATCAAAAACTTCAAGCCAGGCACAGGTGGCTCATGCTTATAATCCTAGCTATTCAGAAGTCTGAGGATCATGAGTCAAAACCAGGCAGGGCAGGAAAGTCTGTGACCCTCTTACTTCTAACAAATTACTCAGAAAAAAGCAGAAGTGGCACTTGCTTCTCAAGTGGTAGAGTGTTAGTAGTTAATAAAAGAAGATCAGGGATAGCACCTAGGCCCCGAGTTCAAGCCCCAGGCCAACACCAACACCACCAAAAAAAAAGGAAATACATAAAAGTGCCAAACAGTATCTTAAACATCAGAAAAGCACAATTAAAGAAGGGAGCCCATAACTGATTTTAAAATAATGGAGAAAATAATATGAGTAGAGGGGCTGGGAAGGTGGCTCAGTGGTAGAGCACTTGCCTTGCATACTCGAGGCCCTGGGTTCGATTCCTCAGCCCCACATAAGCAAAAAGAAAAAAGCCGAAAGTGGCTCTGTGGCTCAAGAGGTACAGTGCTAGCCTTGAGCTGAAGAGCTGAGGGACAGTGCCCAGGCCCAGAGTTCAGGCCCCAGGACCGGACCAAAAATAATAATAATAATAATAATATGATTAGAGTATAAATTTGGAGTAGTATGAGAGAAGGGAGGGCGAGTGAAGAATCAAATAAAGAAAAATCCAGAGGAAAACTCAATAGTGATATGAACCTATATTATTCCATATGATTTCTACTTTACATAATCCTTAGAGATAATTCTTCAGGGTTTAAGTGCCCTTGTAATTAAATTTGACCTTTCTTGAAAGTCATAATCATTTGAGTATACTTTATCATTTCATCTTGACAACACAGAAAAAACAAACATTCCCTCTGGAACAGTGGTTCTCAACATTCCCTCTGAAACTATGCTCTCCTTTAGAATCAGTCAAGTACCCTGAAAAAAGAAGCTCCGATGGAAATCTGTGTACCCAGGAAGCTAAGAACCTATAAGACTATTTTCCCATTATGAACTTGGAGATGAGCTAACAGTTCCATAAATAAAAATTGCTGTTCTCAATAGACATGTATTTACAAAAATTCCTAAGGCCAGCTGGGAATGTGGCTTAGTGGCAGAGTGCTTGCCTAGCATGCATGAAGCCCTTGATTCTATTTCTTAGTACCACACAAATCTCTGGGTTTTATTCTTCAGTACCACAGAAAAAGCCAGAAATGGCACTGTGGCTCAAGTGGTTGAGGGGTAGCCTTGAGCAAAAGAAACTCAGGGGACAGTGTCCAGGCCCTGAGTTCAAGGTCCAGGTCTAGAAAAAAAAAATTCCTAAGTTGATTGACTATACTATCAGGAGTATGTCAAAGAAGTCTCCAAGAGCATAACTAGGAGCTGGGTGCTGGTGGCTCATACCTGCAATCCTAACTACTCAGGAGGCTAAGATCTGAGGATGGTGGTTCAAAGCCAGCCCTGAAACTCATCTCCAATAAATTACCAGAAAACTGGAAGTGGCACTGTGGCTCAAGTGGTAAAGCGCTCACATTGAGGTGAAGAGCTGAGGCACAGTGCCCAGGCTCAAAGTTCAAGCCCACAACTGGCACAAAAAGAAAAAAAAAAGGGAAGGCTCTTTCATTTATTGATTGATTGCCAACCCTGGGGCATAAACTCAGGACCTGAACCTTTTTGCTCAAGGCTAACACTCTATCACTTAGCCACAGCTCCACTTCTGACTTTTTGGTGGTTAACTGGAGATAAGAGTAGCATGAACTTGCCTGCCTGCGCCGGCTTTGAACCAGAATCCTCGGATCTCAGCCTTCTGTCTAAATAGCTAGAAATTACAGGCCTAAGCCATCAATACACAGCACACATTCAACTAAAAGTTTTTTTTGTTTTTCTTTTTGGGTCTGGTCTTGGTGCCTGAACTCTGGGCCTGGGCGCTGTCCCTCAGCTCTTCAGCTCAATTAAAAGTTTAAAAACAGTTTCTGAAACACTTTATCAATGTATGCAGAAAAAAAAAGGAGGGGAGGGGCTGGGAAGGTGGCTCAGTGGTAGAGCGCTTGCCTTGCATGCCTGAGGCCCTGGTTCAATTCCTCAGCACCACATAAGCAAAAAGAAAAAAGCCAGAAGTGGTGCTGTGGCTCAGGTGGTAGAGCACTAGCCTTGAGCTGAAGAGCTGAGGGACAGCGCTCAGGCCCAGAGTTCAGGCCCCACGACCGGAACCAAAAAAAAAAAAAAAAAAAGGAGGGGATAGGCAGAGTATCTGCCCAGCAAGCATAAGGCTAACCCCAGTACTGTCAAAAGAGGACTTAAAATACAACTCCAGTAAATGGAGGAAATTTTAAGTAACTGGAATTATAATATAACTTAATAACCATTTTTAAATAGTTAAATTCATAAAGAACAATTATCATGCTATCCTGTCATTTCTGCTGATGCTTGTAGGAGCTTGAGATATATGCTTGTTTCTAATCTCTAATCCCCAATGGCTGTACTTCATTCTTCTGGTGGTTATTTTATATTCCTAGCTTCTACAGATTTCTCTTTTGTGAACACCAGTATTTAATTTCTGCCTTAATATACTTGTTTACTTAAGCAAACTTCTCCCTCTCCCCTACTTCCCATCCCAAAGGACTGGTAATGATCTCTTTTCCTACTCAGATCTTTAACAGAAAAAAAAAAAAAAAAAAAAAAAACCTTCCTTCTAATTGGGAGGCTCTGTTTTGAGATTCTATGGTTACTACCAGCGTAACCTCCAAAGAGACATTTCTCTAATGTAGTACATTCCTACAGTGTACCAACAATGTGGTAGACCGCCACTGTAAACAAAGCATGTATTATGACTGTTACCTACAAGCTACTGTAAAAACAAGAGCACCTAGTTCGGTTTTAAGAAAAGACAGAAGCTTGCCGGGCGCTGGTGGCTCACGCCTGTAATCCTAGCTACTCAGGAGGCTGAGATCTGAGGATCGCGGTTCAAAGCCAGCCCGGGCAGGAGAGACCGTGAGACTCCTATCTCCAATAAACCACCAGAAAACAGGAAGTGGCGCTGTAGCTCAAGTGGTAGAGCGCTCGCCTTGAGCTGAAGAGCTGAGGGACAGTGCCCAGGCCCAGAGTTCAAGCCCCACAACCGACAAAAAAAAAAAAAAAAAAAGAAAAGACAGAAGCTGGGAAACGATGGCTGGCTCATGCCTGTAATCCTAGCTACTCAGGAGGCTGAGTCCAGGGTCCGGGGTCTGGGAAAAAACAAAAACAAAAAAACTCCAAGCAAGGTTCCTATCTCTATAACACATGGTAGATGAGAAAGAAAACCATCTGAGCTAGGGGTGGGGCACCTTCCTAGTCCTCTTCCACCTAAAGGTCTTGGTTTCTACAGCTATGACAGCCACCATTCCCTGCTTTCAGGGTAGTCAGCAGGTGACCCTCAGAAAGAATGCTAGCAGGGGCTGGGAAGATGCTCAGTGATAGAGGGCCTGCCTTGCATGCATAAGGCCCTAGGTTCTATTCCTCAGCACCACAGAAACAGAAAAGGCCAGAGGTGGCGCTGTGGCTCGGATGGTGAAGTGCTAGCTTTGAGCTGAAGAGCTGAGGGACAGCGACCAGACCCTAGCAGGATACTAATCAGCCATTAGCAACAAGCTTAGGAGACTGGAAGCTACTGGCCCCTCAGGGAACAAATACAAGGCCTTAGAACATTTCCCAAGATGGGTACAGCAGAATCATCTGAGAGAGCTTTCCTTCCTTCCTTCCTTCTTTCTTTCTTTCCTTCTTCCTTTCTTTCTCTTTCTTTCTTTGTCAGTCATGGGGATTGAACTCTGGGCCTGGCCACAGTCCCTGAGCTCTGGAGGCAAGCACTCTACCACAGCACCACTTCAGTTTTCTGGTGGTTAACTGGAGGTAAGAGCCTCACTGACTTTCCTGCCTAGGCAGGCTTTAACCTCAATCCTCAGATCTCAGTCTCTTGAGTAACTAGGATTACAGGTGTGAGCCACCAGCGCCCGGACAAGAGCTTTTTAAACTATAGGTCACTCCCAGAAAATTCCAATAGGGAAGATTTGGGATAAAAACTGACAATTTCATTTTTACAAAAATTTTCTGGGGGACTTTTTTGTATATATGTTGGTTCTGGAGCCTGAACTCAGGGCCTGGGCACTGTCCCTGAGCTCTTGTGCTCAAGGCTCTCCCGCTTAAGCCATAGCTCTACTTCCAGCTTGCTATTTGGACTGGATGGTGTTTTTTCCTTCTATCAGGAAGTGAGGACAGGGGAGGGGGAACACCTGAAGATTCCTATTGAATTTTTTTCTCATTAAAAAACTTACTTTATATTTTATTCAAAATTGCATACAATGACCTACCCACTAGTTTTTTCAAATCTTAACCTTTTGTATGTCTGTGTTGTGTACTCTGGTCCTGGAACTTGAACTCAGGGCCTGGGCACTGTTTCTGATTTTTTTTTCTTTTTTTGCTCAACACTAGACTTCTACCACTTGGGTCACAGCTCCATTTCCAGGTTTTTGGTAGTAGCTGGTGGCTCATGGGTTTTTCTACCAGGGCTGGCTTTGAACTGTGATCCTTAGATCTCAGCCTCCTGAGTAGTTAGGATTTCAGCTAGGATACCAGCTACGTTATTTATTTTTAAGATATATATATATTTTATTTTTTATTTTTTTAGAAAGCATCTCACTAGGGCTGGGAAGGTGGCT